ATTTAACAGGTGGAAAGTTTTAAGCCCAAAAGTAATGAATTTCTCCTTTTTCACCACATTAGGGTTACACTCCCATAACCATGTTTAGCTTTAAGGGGTGACACAATTTTGTATTTTACAGAATATTATGATGACCTAGCTCAAATTATTTACACGAACCTAAAAATCACAAAACGGGGGAATATGTACATTGAGGTCAACAGGATAAACATCAAAATAACATTTGCGGATTGGTTAATTGTCTCATCTTAAATATGAAAGTGACAAAATGTCATTTCCTGATATCTCAGAAGACATGGAGTATGACCAAGAAATAACATTGAACTCCATGCTCATACCACAAATTCAATGTTAGAAGGTGAGAAATGCACGAAATTTTCAAATCAATGACAAACTTTTTCATTATGTCCTTGTTTATATATTGACTGCTCGAGTGACAAATTTTACAAAATTGACACAAGAGGATATCTTTATGTTGTGAGCATTGAAAAATAATATTCCGATTAATTTGTAGCATCATATTATGCAACACATGTTGAAATGCATGAATAATACCATGCATCTTCCATATGTCATATTCATAACACGCATAATGGTACACTATGACGTGGATTTGACTTTGGATTCCACCATCATGTTGGGTTGAACTCATTATTTTAGTAAACGAACGTTGAACAAATTAAATGTTGTTCATGTCAACGAAGTGTGATAACATTAAAGGTCTTATCCACCATGAGTCAGTTTAGTCGTATTCAGTCTCCCGTGATGGTCAAATATTATCACAAATTTGAGGGATTCAGGACATACAAGCAAAGATGCAGTAGATGGAAGATGATTTAGTTAATCTACATATAACTGTTAGGATAGGTTTCGACAGAATTCATGATAGCATTGATCATTTGGAGGAGCGATTTGACGACTTTCAATACCTATTTTAATAAAATTGATGTCTTAATGACTTAAAATTTATATTCATGTTGATTATTATGTATGACTAAGAGATTCTGACAAATTTTAAATAGTTGTTTCTATTAACTTTGTATTTTTTTGTTATGTATTTTTTTTATAATTTTATAATTTATTATACAATTTATTTTATCAATTTTCATTCTTAATCATATACTTAATTTTAATTTTAATTTATAATTAATTTTATATAATTTTATTAATTTAAATTATAAATTTATATAATTTAAAAAAATTAAGTTAATTTGTTTTTCAAATTAACCGCATATATTTTATTTTATAATAAATTCATATAATTAAATAACAATAATAATATATTTTAAATAATATATCATATGTAATTTTAAATTTATATAATTTAAACAAATTAAGTTAATTTGTTTTTCAAATTAATTTCAAACTCATATATTTTATTTTATAATAAATTCATATAATTAAATAATAATATATTTTCAATAATATATCATATATAATTTTAATATTATTTACTTAACTTATATTTTATTCTCAAATGTTTATTTAAGAAAAGAGCAAAATAATAATTTAACAATTTTATTAATTAAATCTTAATTTTTTAAGCTGTCAACTTAATTACATCATTTACTTAATTTTTATCTTATTTTCTCTCATTTCTAATTAAATTTTTTCTTAATCCAAACAATTCCAATTTTACCTATTTTTTCCTTTAAATCCACTCATTTCTTTGATCCAAACACATCCATAGATGAAAAATTTATAACATTTAATATCTCAAATATTATAATTAATTCTAAAAATATTATTATTCTGGTTTTAACAAATAATTAGGTATGAATTTAATTTTCGGACTCTTGATTATTTGATTTTTTTCTGATTTTATATATTTTAATTATTTTGTATATTTTACACGTTATTAAGACAATAATAGACTGACAAATAATTGTTTTTTAAATAATATCCATAGAATTTAAAATAGATAATTTTTAAATATATATTTTTTAATTATAATCTCATAGAAGATGAGTGAATAATTAAGTTAATTTTAAATTATGCATGCATCTTCCATTAGTATGCAAAGTGGCGGTCTTTGTGATTTTTCAAAAAAATGTGTTACCATGGTTTTGGTGTCCTTAGTGTCTCAGGATCTAACTTAATATTCATGTCATGGAGTTTATTTTTTCCTTTAATAATATTTTTTTGTTAAAAATATGTATATAGTTTTACTATTTTAAAAGAATTGGTAGTTATGTTTTAAAATTTCTAAATTTAATCATTCAAAAATTTAAAATATTTAACTTTTGTTTTTATTTTATATATAAAATTAATATTTAGTGATAGTTTATACCTTTATAAAAAAGAGTCAACACTTTCACTCAAATGTTATATCATTAATTAAAGTAAGTTAATTACATGCACAAAAATAAGTTTAGTGATAGAATTATTTTGGCAATTGATATGAAGTTGTATGTTAGAAATGTTCCCAAACAATTAATTATACGATGTTAATTGTTCGCTTTAGAAAGAGATATCTCCAGATATTGACTATAAACAAATATTACAGGTAAACTTAACATCTCACCTAATTTAAAATATTTAGGTTGTGTTTGAACGATATATTTTATAACTTTAAGGAAATTTAAATATATCGAATTTAAATTTATTTTGTTTAAAATGATTTATTTGGATAAAATAATTTAAATTTATAAAATTTTAATAAAATATTTAAATCATTATCAAATATAAAAATATTATTATTATTATTATTATTATTATTATATTATATATTAGATTTAATTTACAATATTTGATCATTATCCTCACGGTTAAAGTTAAATTGAGATAAATCATGATATATTAGATCGAATTAAATCATATTAGACACATCAAACTAATAAGAAAAAAGGTTAAAATCAATAAAAACAATTTTATTAGATTAGGAATGTTGAGTCTAGTTGGATTAGACTAATAATTTGGGATGAGTCAAGTTATGTTCGGAGGAGTCAAGTTGGATTAAGATAAATTGAACCATTGTTGAGTCCAGATGTATAACTAAAAAATATTTCAATTCAAATTGAGTAAAAAAATTTATATAAAAAAAATATAAAATTTAAAAAAAAAATCTCACCTTGAAAATTGATTTCAACCCATCAAAATACAAATTTATAAATTTTTAATTATTTTTAAATTCATTATCTAACCAATCAATTTTGTGATAAAACATTTTAAATACTTTATCAAGACGAATTACTCTCGGTAATTTTTCTATCTATACACAAGGTTAAAAAAATACGAGATCGTTGAAGATGATGAGGATGGGATTGAGAGTATACGAAAAAAGTTGGGTCCTAAAGGGTGTGAAGAGATAGATGGGGAAGATAAAATGCAAGGGTGTTTCTTCTTGCACCCCATATTTTTTTTGTCCTGTACACTCATATTCATATTGTATTGAAAGCTTAATTCATTTTTTTAAAGCTTTCTGAAAATGTTTACGAATCAATTTTTTTAAATATTTTCAAAAAGCTAATTTTACAACGCTTAAAAAAAACTTTTTTAAAAAGTCAATCTAATAAAAAATTTGATTCTAAGAAGCTTTTAAGGTCAATTTAAACAAATTTTAAAATAAATTTATTTAAAAAAATTAGATTGACTTTTTAGAAGCGTTCCAAAATCAATTCTCTAAAATATTTTTAGAAAGTTGATTCTATGAACTTTTTTGAAAATCTTCTGGAAAGGTCAACTAATTTTTTTTTTCATAAAGTTCATTCCAATAATTTTATAGAAGAGTAGATCCAAAGTAATATCACTGTCGATAAATTTAGTGTATTTCCTCTATCACTTCCTCGCTTGTTCGTCACGTCCTCCAATGCCCGTTCTGCCATTTCCCTCTTTGCACTACGTGCTGATCCAATTCCGTCAAGAACGACATCGATGATAATGTTCCCCGCAACGAGGAAGAAAAAAAGGTGTAAGAGTGTGGAGTTACACCCGAAAATTAAAAATACATAGCATATTTTTATTATTTAACATACATTATATGGGTGCAAGAAGAGAATACAAAGGTGCAAAGGTGCAATAAGAATCTACCAAGATACAAATGCATATTTTTGGGTTTTGTACCATTTTCACGGGCCGAACCCAGTAAAGAAGTCCTGATATAATCTAGTATCACGTAAACTAAGTCCGGGCCCAGTATATATTAAAAAATATATATTTTAAATGTTAAATTTCTAATATATTTGAAAAGTGGTTTCTGGAATGTATAATTTTTAATTTAAAAATAAATAAATTCAGAAGTCAAATTTTAGATGGAAAAAAATTGTCATTAAATTGTTGGATGTTAGTTGAATATTCACTTTCTTGAATTTTTAAAGAAATGAAAAAATTTGCTTAAGAAGATGTTTGAGTAAGAATTATGTAAGAGCATTTTAAGGCACAATGACCTATCAAGTTCTAGAAAAAGAATATCCCATAAGCTAATAAAGCACATAACACTGTAGAAAATACTTTTCATAATTTAAATTTTAACATTTTGAAAAGTATTTTAAAAAAATTATATGGATCCAGAATGGGGTGAGGCCCAACTACAGATTTAGTGCAACTCCTTTTATGGTATTGGTCATGTTTTATGAATAGTAAGAAACCCACACGAAAACATAAACTGAATTTATTCCAAGCAATTCGTAACGTGTAAAAGTAGGACAATAATAGTGGTTTATTGACTGATGATAAATGTTTTTTTATCTGACAGGGGCATATTTTACTGCAAATGAAGTATTTGTACAAAACCTAAGAAGGTAAATAATTTGGTAACCTATGTTTTTTATTTAGTATAGGAAGGGGTTAGTTTAGAGTTACTTATGGTAAAATAAGAAAGAAAAGATTGGGGGAATAAATAAAGAAAAGAAAAATAAAATGCAAAGTAACGAGGGGGGTTTGACAATAAGGTGGAACAATCAATGAAAGAAGCTTTAGTAGTCGTACTCCATTGACATATTTGTTTTTTCGTAATAGTATTGTGGCCAAGTTTGGATTTGAAGCAAATCGGGAACAATCGAATGGCATCTTCGTCTTCTCCTATGGACCAACAACTCAGAGAGGAAGATCGTGAAGAGGAGCACCCTCAGCCTATGCCACAACCTCAGCCTCAGCCAGTAAAAGAATGCGTCCACAAAACCAAAACGATTCAGTTTCTCGGACGCACCACTCCGATCGTTCTCCAAAACGACAATGGACCATGCCCGCTCCTCGCTATCTGTCAGTGCATTTCGTATCCTAGGGTTTCGCCATTTCGCATCTTTTATTTGTTATATTTAATTCCTAAGATACCGTATTCTCTGTTTCCTTTCCTCAATTTTTTATCACAACCAAACTGGATTATGATATGATATGGAATTCCCCTTTTTATGTTTCTTCTTTCCTAATGGTTGCCTCATACTATTAATTATCTCCTCTATTTGTTGTTAGTTATTGATTCTTGAAGTCGATGACATGTAATCTTTTTTTTTTCCGATTTCGAACCATTTATCATTACTTATGAATCATCATGGTGTTTGGTTATTCTTCTCTTCGTTTTCACATGGCACCATCCTCCCCCTTCGTGTTCATTACTAGGCGATTTTTTCTTTCCTACGGGAGATTTTACCGGAGCAAGTGATTTTTTGATAGATGCCAATTTTTACAATAAGAATATTTTTCTATTATACCTGAAAGCGTATCACAAACGAATGCAAAACATAGAAACTTCTAATAGTTGGGTTTAGTTGCAACTTGCCTTGAAAAACTTATCAGAATTCACATACCAATTCTTTTCAAATTGGTTGTTGGCTAAGATGCCATCACTACCTGCTTGTTTATCTGTCTCTCTTAGGTCTTAGATCCTCATTTTTATTTTTAGTATTAATTGTGTCAATGCTTTCACTCTTCTGTCAAGTTACCAGTGCCCCCTGTTCAAAGTTTCTCAATCATGAATCGAGGTATGTTACCTATTGTTGAATATACCTACGGATTTCTGCAACATCCATTTTATTTATATTTTTTCCCCTAGCTAGTCTTATTTCCTGTAGTATGAATTGCTGCAAAGTCGCTGTATGTTTTTCAAAACTCTCTTAACCTTGGAGGAAATGATATTATTTATGCCTGGAAATCTCGCAGATTCACTTCCTTTTATTTATTAGGAAAAAAAAAATGATAGTTCTGAAAACTGTCTATCGATGTTCTAAATAAAGCGAAATTGTGGCAGAATTGTGTAATTGAATCACAAAGCAATTGGAGCATGCTGCAAAAGATATTGTTAGCGGCCGTTGTGGCTGTGGTAGCAGACAAAATGAGGGATGGAACACTATTGACATGGATCACAAAAAACTTATTTTATCTATGAAGCAGCATCATCTAGGGCTGTTTTAGTGGTCAATTCAGGATTTTGCCCTCTCCTTCTGGAACATAATGAAACCCTGTAACTTTATCAATCACATTTTGGGTATCCCAACCTCTGCAGCCTTAGTTCTCCATTGTAGGCATGTCAACTAAATTCAAACTTATGGGTATCTGTTTGACCTTACCCCAACTTTGACAGGAAAAAAACCTTCTTTGACTATGGTTGAGTTTGGGATTTTCCTTACATGTGAAGTCAAGGCTCGGGGAGATAACTCCCTGCCCTGGACCTGTTGTGGCCCCACCCCAATACATGTATATATATACATATCTGCATATGCACACACACATATATCCCATTAAGATTTAAGACAAAACAATAAATTCCAAATATTTTACATTAATAATAAGTGGCCTAAAATATTCAATGACTAGATTAGATGTTGGTAGTGTTTTACCATCCCAGGCTTAGGTATTCCACTATTTGTGAATCTCTCTATCTTTATATGAATACTTAATACTTCAAAATGAAAATGAAATATTGAAACTGCAGGGCTTCGACATAAATATGAATATATTAACGCATCACCCTTTTCTTCAATTCTCTGATTGCTTTTTAGTCCATGTTAGGTGCTGCATTCTTAAACCTCTTGCATTGCTATTACATCATATTCTCTTTTGATGGAAAGGAAAATTCTTATAAATTTTTGTCTATAGTTTAAATTTATTTGCGATATTTATAGTTTAAATTTTTTAAGTGGGTTTCCCAAACCTGTAAAAGCCAATAGGCATGGAGATGTGTTTAATATTTTTGTCTATCATGGAGAGCCAATTCCAACTGGTTGCTATGTTTACTCCATAATTTGTGGTCATCCCTGGCTTCAGAGGCTCTTTTCTGATAAACCTGTTACAATCTTCAGCTGACAGTGAGCTTTTCTATCTTGCTCTGTTCTGTCCCAGCATTTTCTGTTTCGTAGTCTTGGTCTTTCACTCACGGTCTTGTGCTCTTTTCTACATTTTAACCCTTTACAATTTTTATTCTAATTGGTTAGCACAGTGTACGTTTTCCTACCCTTTATTGTCAGCCATTCCATGTCACTCTTTGGGATTGACGACTATGGTATTATCTACACCAATCATCTACCAAGAACTATCGTGTTCAAATGAGGGAAACTCATACACGACACATGAATCTAAATAAAGGATGTGGACATTTATTTTTGTGTTTTAATGATTACATGTTCTCTTCTCATCCTCTTGTGATTTAAATGACCACCTATTATTCTTATTTTCATATGTAGTCAGTTATTTCTCATCATACCAATTTACTAAAGTTGAAGTCTTCTAACATCAGGTCACCTCTGTAGGAATCCCTATTATATGTTTTTCCTTCTGATATACCGTTTCTTCAGTTTCTGTTCAATTTTATGTATTTTTCATTTCTTTTGTGCTTCTATTTGGATAGTGTAACGTATGATCTGCACAAACTGATGCTCTCTACTCTTAGATGATAATTTGGAAACTGTAACATAACTGTTTGTTTCCTTATATGACATGCTTAATTTTTACACTTTAGAAGGGTTTACTTGCAACGTTTGTTTTATTTTTCTTGCTTTATAGCATCACAATTATTAATTAATTGATTATATATTGCAATGTTGCAGGTAACGTTCTTCTGCTTAGAAACAACTTAAGTTTGAGTCCAGATATTGCTGAAGTCTCACAGGAGAAATTGCTTTCATTGGTTGCTGAACGGTTAATTGATTCAAATAGTAATGTGAATGTAAGAGCTGCATTTGTTGTCACCGGTGATATCCACTCTTGTTATGTAAGTTTATTTGACAATTTTTCTTCTTGTCTTTTAGAACAAAGATGCAGGCTATGTTGAAAATCAACAACAGAACATTGCTGATGCAATTGACTTGCTCCCTAGGCTTGCTACTGGCATTGATGTAAATATAAAATTTAGGAGGTTAGTTAGCTCATTTCTTTTGGCAGGCGTGTTCAACCATCAACAATTCTGAAGTTCTGATAAGAATTACGCATTAATTGCAGAATTGCTGATTTTGAATTCACTCGAGAGTGTGCCATATTTGATCTGTTGGACATCCCTTTGTATCATGGCTGGATTGTTGATCCTCAGGTATTTTTTTTTTCACCCTCAATCCAAATTAATTAGTTCTATCTTGTCATGTATTTTGTGATTCTAAATACAAATGATTAAAATATTTGAACTTTTTTCATGTTATCAATTGACAACTTAATGATTATTTTGAATTTGGATGCAAGGTAAGGACATTTTGTATTTTTTTTTGGGGGGGGGGGGTTGTTCAACTATTTATTAAGGGATATCATTAGGCTATCAAAAATAATTTGAAGGTAGTTATAGAACTGCAATCCTTTAGGATGCCAAATGAATTTGGAAAGTTCTGGAAGAACGTGTCCTTGCCGGCTGTTGGCATTCAGCAAGGTTCTACTATGCCCATAAAAATACTTGAGAGAAAATAAAAGAAATATTATAATATTTGGGTGAATCTCCACATCCCAAATCACCTCATTTATAATGGAAGGTCGTAGAAATACATTGATTACAGGGGAGATGAAAATATTAACGTCTAGAAGATACAACTCAGATAGATACAACTAATTAATACCAATCTAGTAAATATAAATCTTGTGAATCTAACACTTCCCCTCAAGTTGGAGCATACAAATTATATGTGCCAAACTTGGAACAAATAAACTTAATTCAAGATCCTCTCAGACACTTTGTCAATGCATTTGCAAGTTGATCATTAGACCCGACAAATTTAGGACCGATTTCTTTGGACAATAACTTTTCGTGAATGAAATGATAATTAATTTCTATATGTTTTGTTTTCTCATGTAACATTGGATTTGAGGCAATGTGGAGAGCAGCTTGGTTACCACAATATATTTTCATTTGTTAAACCTTACAAAAGTCTAATTTTTGGAGGAACTGATTTACTCACATAAGCTCACAAGTAAGAGACACCATTGTCCGGTTCAACAATGGATTGGGAAACTACATTTTGTTTCTTGCTATTCTAAGAAATGATGTTTCCTCCAATGAAAACACAATATCATGTGGGGGAGCGGCTCTCCATAGGAGACCTTGCCCAATCAACATTACAATACCCAAAAACTTAAGTATTTCCTTTATCTTCATATAATAAGCCTTGCCCAAGAGCTTTTTTTATGTATCTTATGATGCGGATGACAATATTCTAATGATCTGTACAAGGAGGCTACATGAACTGACTCACAAGACCTAATGCGAATGATAGATCAGGTCTAGTGATAGTAAGATAAATAAGTTTTCCAACCAACCTTCTATATCTTTCTGAGTTAGAGAAAACTTCCCCCCCGTTTTGCCATTAATTTCTGATTTGGGTCCATAGGGCTATCTACAGGTTTACAATCCATCAAACTGGTCTCTTTTAGAATATCAAGAACATATTTCCTTTGAGAGATTACAACACCTTCTTTTGACTGGGCCACTTCAATACCTAAGAATTATTTGAGACTTTCAAGATGCTTGGTTTGGAAATGACTGCATAAGTGTTCCTTTAATTGGGATATTCTAGTGACATCATTTCCTGAAATGACAATATCATCCACATACACTATTAAGTAAACACATTTTCTAAGGGATGTGTGACAATAGAAAACTGAATGGTCTGCTTCACTATGTTTCAACTAAAGGCTTGAACAATGAGACTAAATTTTCCAAATCAAGCTCGTGGAGATTGCTTTAGACCATAGAGAGAACAACACAACTTACACACCAAACCAAATTCCTCCTGAGCAACAAACCAGGAGGTTGCTCCATATAGACCTCCTCATCTTGATCACCATGAAGACATTTTTAATGTCCAATTGATGAAGTGACCAATGTCGAATAGCTACCATAGCAAGAAAAAGAGATGAATTGTAGCAATTTTGGCTATTGGAGAAAAAGTATCACTGCAATCAAGCCATAGATCTAAGTGTATTCTTTTGCAACTAATCTGACTTTGAGACGGTCTACTTCACCATTGGGACCAACTTTAATGTTATAAATCCATCAACATCTAACAGTCTTCCTACCGGCTGGAAGGGGAACTAATTCCCATGTATTATTATGATCAAGGGTCTGTAATTCTGTAATCATGACTTGTCGCCATCCAGGATGATTAAGTATTTCATGCACATTTTTAGGAATAGTAATAGAAGAGACAAAGGATATAAAAGAGCAATAAGGAGATAGTCTATGATAACTTAGAAAATTATAAATAGGATGTGGATTACATGTAGTACGAGTACCGTTGTGGAGGGCAATGGGTCAAAATGAATCATCATTATCAGGAATTGTGGAAGAGGTCGATGATTGAGAAGTACCTAATGAAGAGGGCTCATTTTGAAGCATTGGACTAGTCACTTGGTACTCAATCAATGGTATAGGAAGGACCAGTTGGATAGACTGAACATCCAGGACGAATGAAGAAAAGAAAGGAGTTTGTTCAAAAAAGGTAACATGGGCAGACATGTAAAATTTATTGGTTTTAGGATAGTAGTAACAATATCCTTTTTGAAGATGGAAATAGCCCAAGAAAACACACATGATAGCTCAGTCGGAGAGTTTGTCCGATCCTGGAGTTATATCATGAACAAAACAAATATATCCAACACAAAAAGGAAAACATGAAAGAGAGGTTCATTGGGAAAAACAATGGAATAGGGAACTTTATTGTTAAGAGAAGAAGATGACATTCTATTAATAAGAAAATAGGTAGGGAGGACAACATCACCCCAATGATGGACCGATATATTGGTCCCAAACAATAAGGTACGTGCAGTTTCAACTAAGTGTCTATTTTTCCTTTCAGCAACACCATTTTGATGAGGTGTGTGAGGACAAGGAGACTGATGTAAATTGTCATGTGATCTTAAAAGTGTAGAAAAATCAGAAGATAAATATTTTTTGGCATTGTCACTTAGAATTTTTAATGACTTTCCTAGATTGATTGAAAATTTCATTAAGGAAAGATGTAAAGATAGGCTAAAGTTCAAAACAATCTTTCATTAAATAAACCCACATACATTTTGAAAAATCGGCAATGAAGGTAACAAAATATTTAAAACCAAAAGAAGAAACTCGACTTGGTCCCCAAACATCAGAATGAATGATAGAAAAGGCGGACTCACATCTAGATTCAGAATGTCTAGGGAAGGAAGATCTAACATGTTTTCCTAATTGACAAGATCCACATTCTAAAGTTTGAAGATGGCTAAGTTCTGGAACCATTTTCTTTAACTTTGCCAAGTGGGGATGACCTAAATGATCATGTAAAAGCAGGGGGGAAGGAGATGCAAAATAGAACATTGATGAGTTAGATCCAAAGTAGAAGAGAAGAGACCTTTAGATTTATGTTCTTCTCCAATTAGTCGACTCGTCCTACATTCTTGTATAACAAGAATTGACATAAGAGATTACAAAACAATTTAATGATTTTTTTAAGCTGACTTAAAGAAATGAGATTAAAAGGACAAGCAGAGACGAAGAGAACAAATTTTATTTGTAAGGTAGGAGAAAGGGATACTTGACCAATTCCTTGAGAAACAACTTTGGATCCATTACCTAGGGTTGTAAGATGATTTTTAGGAAAAGAAAGAGAAAAAAAATAGAGGTATTACTACAAATATAGTCAAACCAGAAGCATCTGAGTTAATAACATATGGACTTTGACCCTCCACAAATTGTGAAATGCAGGAAGCTGACATGTTGAGTGTTGAGGTTAGACTGTTAGACTTCAACCTCAAATATTCTTGACATTCCTCATAAAGAAATTTTGGATCAACAATTGTATATGTGGAGACATTGACTGCTTTATCAGGGAAACCATGAAGAGAGGAGCAATTCTCTTGGGTATGCCCCATTCTTTTATAGGACATACATTCATCCTCCTCTAGTTCCACGATTTCCTTTCCCATGAGTTGATACCATGACAGAAGATTCTGTAGATTCTTGAAACTGTGTATTTCTAAGAGTTGGAACACAAAGAAGTCGTGTTGTCAAGTTGTCCATGGTTGGAACCTCATGACCAGTTAATATTTTATCCCTAATGTGATCAAAATCTGAATTCATAGCATGAAGTATCATTACCATATAAAACTTGTCAAACTTTCCTTTAATTTCTTCTAGAGAATTAACTTCTAAAAACATCCTTAGTTATTCAACTGTAGGCCTCCGATAATAAAGGACATCATATCATGATTTGCCTGTTTAAGAGATGTTAATTTGTGGAGCGCTAAATGTCCTTTGCAAAGATACTTTGGGCTTTTTTCCAAAAAGATTTGCAAGTTTTAAAAGTTCAAAGTGTTCCCAAAATATTGGACCACACAAATTGCCATAATTCAGCACACAACTGAAAATCTAATTTTTTCCATTTTTTCTAAATCATTTGGGATTTCACTCACATCTTTTTCAAGATGATCATGAAACCCTTGTCCCAGGAACCAGGGTTCCACAAATGTTGATCAAGATAGATAATTTTTTGCATTAAGTTTTTCTGATGTGATGGAAGGAGTCTCTGAGAAACAGTGGGTTGGTCTAGAGGCCATTTTTGACCCGAAGGAGATAAGACATCACACAAAAGAAGAAAAGAGAGAGAGAGAGAGAGAGAGAGAGAGAGAGAGAGAGAGAGAGAGAGAGGAACCCCCAAACGGACGACGGGCAGCTACTAGCAATAGTCGGCAGCAGGCCGAACAGAACTAGAACAGGCAGAGCAAGATAAACCTACTAACTTGAGAGAAAATAAGAGAAATATTATAATATTTGGGTGTGTCTCCACAACCCAAATCACTTCATATTTGTAATGGAAGGTTGTAGAAATAATTTGATTAGAGGGAAGATGAAAAGATTAACTTCTAGAAGATACAACTCATAGATAGATACAACTAATTTATACCAATTTAGTAAATATAAATCTTGTGAATCTAACATTTTGCTGTGTAAAATGAGATATGTATTTTAACTCATCAATGTTAGTTTAAGAGCATTCCTTTGTGTTCAGAACATTCCATTGGCCTAGCAACCATACCCCTTTTCTCCTTCACTTCATTTTTTGTTCAGTATCCCCCATTAGTAGTTACTTAGGTAGTTACAATATGTTAGTTACCCTCTAGTAGCTAGTTGTAATCATGTATAAATAGAACAGAAGAGAGGAATGGAGATCATCTAATCATTTGTGTGAAGAAATTAGTCCCTTTTGGCATTGGGAGGTGCAGAACCTTAAAGTTTATCAATGCTGTAATCGGGATATTTTCCCTATTCTTTCAGACAAACAATGGGTATCAAGGGTGAGATCTTGGAGCTTTGGGTATTAAATCTTGAAGATGGCAGCACATATGGGTGATATGGGACTTTCCAAGGTGATCATGATGGGACTTCTCTATGGCTTTGCTGAGTTCCAGCCAGAGTTTGATTCAGATCTATTATTTTGGGTCCAAGATGAGGAACAAGACAATGAAACATTGAAGATCAAGAAGCAGAATAGCGATGAGAAATAAAATATTGGGAGCCAGAAAACTGAATGGGAGAAAATGACTTGAAGAAGGGAGAAGAATTTGATAACGTAGAACAGAAAACAGACATGGAAACAGATAGCACAGAGGAAAAAATGATTGGTCAAGAGCAGCAGAATATGGTTTGCAACAACCATCTTCTACATTTCAGTTATCAAAGGGAGCGTGGAGAAAGCTCTCAATATAGGCTGTGGTTTGGACCCATTACAGAAGCATTAATGCTGTTTCTTGGGTAAAATTACCGCAGAAAACAAGCATGAACCTTTCACCTCTAGTACAAGGTGAATGCTGTGGGGAGGGAGTAATGCTAAGTAACTATTAGTAGTTAGTTTCAATATGTTAGTTCCCATAAATAAAGGGTATCACAGGTGTAAACTGAACACTAGGTAGAGTGAGAGAAAATCAGGACCTAGTGGCATTGGGAGATGCAAACCCTCAAAAGTTCTGAAATGCTATAATCAGATTTTCCCTGTTCTTATTGATACGATATGTAGTTCTGCTGCTTCCATTTTGATGTTGCTGCTTGGAAATCAGTAAGTTGGAATTTAATTTAGTTAAAGAAAAATAAGTGTGTATTACATTCAACTTAAGTTTGTTATCTTCCTAAGAGAGGTTTCAGGAAAAAAAAATCCCGGCAAAAGGCTATTCCCTACCACTCACTAGTCTGTTAGGAATCTATAGGTTTTATCAGAACCATCCTCTTGTATACTTCTAATTTATGTATTAATCTGCAAGTTAGCTTAGTTCTTTGAAAGTTGAAGCTGCTGTATCAGTTGCCTCCTTGTGCCACATATTAAAATTGATCTAGCCTTTAATTATGATAAAAAAATTGTGTGGTTCATTGTATATTGTAAATTTTAAACGGCCAACTGATCTCTTCTTGAATGTTTATCCAAATGTTATCTTTATGTTTTTCTTAACCAGGTGCGTTTATATATTATTTTATGATGCATCCTCATTTGATATCAAAACATGTTTTTATGTGGCAGGATTATGACACTGCAAATGCAATTGGATCGAAGTCCTATAATGCTCTTATGGGAGAGCTTGTCTCTCTTGAAACACTAAACATGGATATCCATCATAAAAATAATGAAGAAGAAGATTGTGTTGATTTTGTGGCTGCAACAACTGCTACACTTGGAGTTCCTTCTCCCAGCCTTTCAAAAGCCAAGTCTTTTGATGATTCTTCTCAATCTGTTTCTGATCTGATACCAAGAAAAGGTGATCTTGAAGAAGAGGCAGAGTTGTTGAGAATCTTGAAACTGTCCGAGGCTGATTCTAAAGCTTCAGTAAGTGATCCTGTTGTAGTTAACGTTAATGGAGGAGTGATTTCTGTCACTATGGATCCAAAAACGAGTAATGAACAGGTTATGAATATTTATTCTGGAGATAAATTAGGAAATAGCACTGGTGCTGGTAACAGTCACTTTCATGACCCAGAGCCTTCTGCATCTGATGACTCCACAGCTTTTGGCTACGACCACAACAAAAATATATCTTCTACTTCACTGGGAGAGGCAGGTAATTCATCCTGTAAGACTGATGCCATGTGTGACCTTCATCAATCAACTTATGTGGGACCCAAAGAATCTTTTGACCAGAATGATGCGATTGAGAAGAACAGCCTTGATGCATTGGTTCAGAGCGAGAGTGAAGTTACCCTTTCTCCCGGAAAATACTCTGTCTCAGACGTTTCTGGAGGATATGAAAAAATCCATGATCAGGCCACTCCTACAACTATAGATCATGAAGTTGTAGGTGAATCTCATGGACCTGATGCAACAGAATTATCATGCGTGTCCCCAGGCCATGCGGACACAGATTCATGTAGTGTCAAATATCAGCAATCTGATGTTCCTGGAGCATTAACTTCAAGTGTTAATGGGAGTGAGCCCATATATGAAGGAGAGGAATGTGTGATGGACACAAGAACCGGAAATTATGAAGATCGTGAACCTGTTTATGAAGGTGAGGTGGTACTTGCAGAACAGGCTGACAAGAACACCTTAGCTTCTTCTGATATAAGAGCTAAATGTGAACTAACTCCAGAACAAGGTAAGTGGTGCTATATATCAAATAAGTGAATTGGTTCTCATTACAGTATTATCTTTTTAGATAACTATATTATCTTATGGGAGACATATGTCCTTTTATGCTCATTGTCTTAGGTGAATTGATCAAGAGTTTCTTGAGGAATAACGCCAGCCAGTTGACATTTTATGGGTATGTAACCTGGTCTTGTTTGTCTAATTATCTTGATCTAGTTTTTTTATCCTTATATTTCTCTTCAATGTCAAAAACGAATTTTCTTTTTACATTTTATTCACGATAAATGCTTTTGCAGTCTTTTCTGTTTACAAGATGGGCTTAAAGAGCGTGAGCTGTGTGTTTTCTTCCGTAACAATCATTTCAGCACCATGTTCAAGGTCGGTAAAAGTCTTGAACATTTTTCTTTGGACATTTAGGCACCTTGTTATCATTGAGAAAAAAATGTTGGCTCTGTATTGCAGTGCTTCATACTAAAATTATTTTCTTTGTTCACAGTACGAGGGTGAGCTCTATCTTCTAGCCACGGATCAAGGTTACATTAATCAGCCTGATCTAGTCTGGGAAAAACTGAATGAGGTATAAAGTATTGTTAATATGATATATTTTACTGGGATCATCTTAAAATTTTCTCCTTCTATGTCACTGGTAGATGTATATATTCTCAATTAAACATCCTGAAACTGAAAGGTTATATGCTTGGTGATTTGAGCTTCTTAAACATCTAGTAAATTCTGTTGGCACGAATCTTTCTATAGTATGTTGTGTATGGTTTCGTTTTTATTGTACTATTGGGCGTACCCTTCCTGGTCCATCTTATTCAATTTTGTGTTTTTCTTTACCGTAATGTAATATTGAATTGCAGAATGTTTGTTATGTACTTTTCTTTCAGGTCAATGGTGATACATTGTTTATGACAAGTAATTTCAAGGAATTCAAGGTAGAAAACCATGAAAATAGCACATGGGATGAAAGCAATGTTCTGACCAGCACTGCTGTATGTATATTCTTTTAAAAGTGGAATATATTAATCTTTGCCAACCAATTTTTCATTGATATTTAGATATATTCACGTTTCAGGACTATCTTGCCAGCATAGATAGTGCAACACAGGCAGGCCTAGATATCAAGTAATTTTCTGTTGGCCGTGAAAACTTGTACGTTATTTCTTTTTCAAAATTATAGTCTTAACTATTGTGCAATTTTGACAGTTCTGATCTGCAATTAGCAATAGCCTTGCAACAGCAGGAATTTGAGCAGCAGCCATCACGCCAGAATAATTCACAACAATCATCCATTAGTGGTAACTCTAGACTGGTCACAGGTCCCCAGGTACATATTTTTAATTACTGCAACTAATTTGTAGTGTTTATGGCCAACGATATTATTGTCTGCGCTGTTTTGGATATAAGTGTAAACACACACTGTTGCCAAGTTGCCTTGTCCCATTGAGTGCCATTTGATGGGATCTTTTCGATTGGGGGGGGAGGGGGTCTTTTTTGCAAATCCAGATAATTTTTTACAGAATTTAAATTTTAATATACTAATGTAATTTTAGAGTGTCAGCAACTCGGTCTGTCTTATATATTATGCTAAGACTGTTGATTACTGTAATAACTACTATAATTTATTGTAAATGTAAAACTCTTTACTTTGGAATAAATGAAGTTTTAATGGAAAAAAGAATTTGGTGTTTGACTGCACTACTAGCTTTGCTGAGATTAAAGTTGAAATTTTAAGAATTTTCTGGTAATGCTATTCGCAGGTTGCAAGAAACACTGGAAGACAGTCTTCATCTGCATCTACATCTCCCAGGCCTGATGGAAAATCCAAAGAAAAATGTATAGTGATGTGAATTTCTCAAACAAAGTTTGTTTAGAAGCATGCACTTCAAAGTCTGTCGCCTTGATAATTCTTATCAGTTTGTATGTGATATTAGGTTAAGTTTCATATGTAAATATTGGAAGTAAATAGTGTAAAACAGTGCTAGGTCCTTTTTGACTGTGACCACAACTCTCAATCCCTTCCATTCCCACCTTAACTTAATGGGAAATTTTTTTTTTTTTACTAAATTTTTTCAAACATCCTATAAACAATTTTAAAATATTTTTTAGTTGATTGATAGAAAGAGAATGAAAAAAAAAGAAAGATAAATAATAATATAAAAATTAAAAGTGGTTGACGGATGGATGTTGGTAAAAAATGCGTTGTTATTATATCATATCCTCACCTTAATATTGTCTGAACTAACATCCCGACCATTTTATGCTGATTAATTGGGCAGCAATTAGGGAGTTAAAGCCCAGTGAGGCGACTCAGGTTTACCATGGCCATCTCACCTGCGTCCTCGATCTATAATATTGATGTATTGTTGCCAGATAGAAATTGATCGAGTGAGAATGAATGTGCATGATATTATTATTGTTACTAAAATGGTTTATTCTAATTTTTTTTTAAGGGATACATGTTTTTCTCTGTTCTACATGTTACTTGCTTGTAATCACTACTTTTAAAATCAGCTAGTAATTCAACGTTCAATTTTCATGGGCAAGTTTCATCCCAAAATAACCACATGTTGGCAAAGACAATATTTTTTTAAAACGGCTAGCAGGAGTTATTTTCACGTTGAACAAATCTTGTACTGGGTAGGTAGTTTCTGAAAAAATCATATTTAGATTTTAGCTCCAGGCGCTGATATTAAGTGGGGTTGTGTGTCACAATGTCGCATCCGGTTATGTTCATGTTCCCATCAGATTTTATGGGTCATTTTTGGAAGTGTCAATTGTCTGCCTTATATTTTGTTTGGATTTGATGAGAAAATAATATAAACAAAGAAAAGCTTATAAAATGTTTTTTTTTAATTGTTCGGATAGAGCCAAAAGTGAATAAAAAAAATATAACCATACACTATGGCAAGGCAAACGCAATTAAAAAAGGATATATTTATCATTTATTTCTTTTATGGTTTTCCCCAAATTAGGATAGATTTTTCCTCATGGCAGCTCCACCTTAATTCTTTTCTTTTCTTTTATTTGATGTCCATTCCAAGCAATGTGGAAATGTTTAGTGAGCATTCTTCTTCCTCTTGGAGCATTTAACAAACATACTTGTCTCCTAATTTAATGGAAACATAACGCTTTAATAATAGAAATAGTTAATCCACTAAACGATGTAATTTTGTGTAATGAGGAACAAAAAAACAATAATGGGGAGGAGTGAAAATATTTGTTTGTTATTGTGGTCTCAGGTGAAACGAAAGTGATGGATGGAAGATCCCTTATTAGTATGAGGAGTTTGGTTTTTAGTTATTTGTTGCGTATTGTTTTATGTGGTGGGTACATACTTTGTCGTGTTTAACTGGGGTGTGATTTAAACGGGGACCACTTTAACTTATCCTGTTATTAACGAAGAAATGAATAATGATAGAACACGACAGCACTACAGGCTGTGATGCTGATGCAATCTCCAGCTGTTACCTTTCTTCATCCACCACACCACACCACCATTTTTCTTTCTTTCTTTTTTTTCTTCAATTTCTTGTAGACTACGTTCTCAATTCTCATATCTTCTCCCTTTATGCTCCTTAACTTTTCTATTTCTGTATAATATAAGATTAGCTTACACATAAACATAATATGATTTTCTTCGGAGAAGAGACCCAACAATTTTTTTAATTAATATTAGTATTTATTATTTTGGTATCCAAATTTAATTATTATTTTTAAAATTTTATAATTATAAATTTAACTTCTCATATTTTTATATTTTTTTATCTTTTCATATTTATTTATTATTTATTTATAATATATTATTTATCAATAATAAAAATCCGTTACTAAATATATAATAGAATATGTATATATTCTATTATAAAATTTGTCCAACCAAATTTTAAACTATCAAAATTATGCTTAGATTTAACATTAACAATCATTTCACATAAAGGGTTCTAAAATAAAAAGAAATACATTTTAGAATATAAAATATATTTATAATTGGAAAAGTTAACAATTTAAATTATTATAAAATATAATGTTATTTAATAAAATTTTAAATTAGTTATAATCATAATTATTATTTCTTTATTTTAAAATATATGACATTCTGGATAGATTTTTTTTAAATATATAAAATTTAGAAAATTTAAGATTGAATTAATTATTATTTTATCAATTATACTCCTATCTTTTAATTATATTAATTAAAAAAGGAAAAATAAAAGATAACATTTTATTTAAAAATATTTTCATAGGAGAAAGAATATTAAAATAATAAAGGTGTTAATAAAACAGGTTAATAAATTTATTAAAAATAATAAAAAAAATAATATTTATATTAATTTATGTAACAAAATCTTAAATATTATTTTGAAACAAATGAAGTATATTTATAATAACTTCTAAATGTTGAAAAGCAAGTTTTGTATTGATTCTTTAAAAGGAAAATAAACATTTTATAAGATAAAAAGCATTTACAATCATTAATTGAAAATGAATAGTTTAAAATTATAATATAATAAAATATAGATTTAATTAAAATAATAATTATTGTGTTTTTGATAAATTGAAAGTTAGTGCAGACAAAAAAGATGTATGTAGGGACATTGTGCAGCTTCTAAAGTTAACAGTTATATGGCCAGTAATGTAGGCGTTTGACAGTGACTTTATATGCAGCGTTAACACCAATTCTTTTATGACTAATTCTACTTTTTCATACTAATTCTTTCATCAGTGACACAACATTTTTCAAATCTGAGTTATGTTTTCAGTTTTAAATGTTGCACACTCTCATACACAGACTGTGTCGTTAAAAAGTGTACTAGAAAACGTTTCTGTGCACATGATGTTTTTGTTAAAAATGAGTTATATATATATATATTAAATATTTACTGAAATCCACAAAAAGTATATTTTCTTTAAAAATAATTTATTTTTATTTAATTAATTAATTATTTATCCTTTATAAACTAAATGATAAATTCAAATTTAACTTTCACCCTCTAAACTTATTTTTATAGGATAGAAATTTATTTAATAAGGCAATTTCGACCAAATAGATTGAATTGATTTTTCTTTGAATTTGATGGAATCTAATATACATGATGAGAAAAATTGATATGTTCAATAAAATAGTCGACTTAATTTAATATGATCAAAATGATTAAATAATTAATACTAGTAATAATAATATAATATTAAAATATTATATCAACAAAAATATATATATATATATATATATATATATATATATATTAAATATTAAATTACTCAAATAAAAAATAAACTAGTGTATTTTCTAAGAAGTATTTTAAAAAATATTTTGAAATTACAAATTTTAATTTAAGTTTAAAAAAAGACCATAATTGAATCCAATTTCAATGGTGGATTGAATTGGATTTAATTTACAAATGTAAAAATTAAATTCAATATAAGATTTTTTAAATTAGATTAAGTGACGAGATTCAAATCCTATTAAACTCAAAGACGATTTTTTTATTTATTTTTTTATAAAATGTGTTTGTTGACTACTAACTTGATTGATTAAGAAATTTCTCAACTATCTAGTTTAGTTGTAAAAAAAAATAAAAAATGCATATGAGAAGTAATAAGATATTTCAACGTCCTAATTAACAAAATTTTAGATTTATTATTTTTTATTTAAGTTAGATATAAAAAAGAATTTATATTAAAAAATAATTATATGATTATTTCAAGCCATTTTTGTTTAAATTTGTTGTCAATATTTTTTATGTAATATTCCTAAAACGGTTGAAATTTATGCTAGTTTATGTAACTGATTTTGTCTGAGTACTCCAAACTCATTCTTGATATTTTTTTTTTAAGGTTGCAATCATATGCATATCAAATAAATAAATTCCACCATATATATATATATATATATATATATATATATATATATATATATATTCTTAACAAACCAACCAAAATACATGTGCAACGGAGGACTCTGATACTTACTTGTTCCTATTAGTGTAAGTTTTATTGAACAATAGATGCCTCATTTTACTTACTTGTTCACAACCACAATTTCATTCCTTCAAAATCACGTGGTTCCTTCTCTTCTGTTCATTACAACCACACCTTCGTCCTGCACCAACTTTCGACCTAATCACAACTTTAATAATATATTTATCGTTATTTTCATCGTGTCAACCGTGTTCCTGCTCCTCTATCATTGTTTTTATGTTCCCACATTCATGAATTTTAGAAAGAATGGTGTACTTGTCTCGTTCATTCTTTCCATTTATGCGCTTCAAACCTTATTTTCATTGCTACCTATCTCCTGTTCAAATGTGTTGTCCTCTGTATTTTCTCAAAAGGATGAGTTATGTTAAATAAAGATAAGATAAATAATAAACTTTAACGATCAATCGAATAACAAATAATTGATGAAAACTGAATTCAATTTTTTTTTTTTTCAATAAGAATACACCGTCCCAAAATCTTTAATCATAATTAAGAATTAAAATAATAATTTACTCAAAATATTATAATTTCAAAACATTCAACATTTTAAAGCTAATTAACTTATTATTAATTTTAATATCAAAACCTCCCAAAAAATTATTTCTCAACATTACAAAAAGACTTACCAAATTTTTACAATTTACTAAATATGTGTTTATCCCGTACACATGTTACTTTTGATTTGATTATCGTCGTTGTACGGTATCTCAAACATCATCCATGTTTTTTTACATATTTAACATATTGGAGATCGATATAACTTAAAACAATGTAAACAGAGTTATCCTATCTTTCTCACGTATTGTCAACTCTCTGATTCATTGAAAACCAATTATTGAATGTTCTCATCTTCTTCAAACCCTAAACTCCAGCTCTAGCTTTCCTAACAAACCTTAATTCTGAAGATAAAAAAAATAATAATAAAAATTGACTAATAGTTCCTTCAATATTTATCATATGAGTAATTCAATCACCCACTGCTAAAATCTCTAATCATAATTAAAAATTAAAACAATAACTACCCAAAATATCATTAGTCTCAAAACGTTAAATAATTAGAAAACATTCCAATAAACCTTTTAAATATAATTAACCTATTATTAATTTTACCTATATGTAAAAAATATACAAATTATTACCATTATTTAATTAAAATAAAAACTACTTGAAATATAAAAATGACATGGCGTTAAAAAAAAACAAAACTAATTGAAGCCTTTCAACTTTAATTTTGTTTTGATTGATATTTAAAAGTTATCTCATTTAAAAATAATATAAACTTCCTTTATCTTTGAATTTTATAGTTTTTTTAAATAAAAGCCTTAATTCTTAATTAATTTTTAATACTTATCAATTTTTTATAAATGCTTTTCTTAATAATTCAATTAAATCATTTACTTACTAATAAAAAAATTTCTTTTTTTCACTAAGAATTTATAAACAAAGAAAATAATGAAAATCAATTAAAAGATTAATCTGATCTTAAATGAGTATTTTCTTTTTAACTTTACTAAAAAAGATTTAATTGAGTATAGTTTTTAACTATTTATGTAAAACTGTATAGTTTTGTAAAATAAATTAATTAATTTTATCTAATTTATTGATTATGTGATGAATTCATAATAATTAATTACAAATTAATATTTAAACTAATTTTCAATTAGTCGTTAATGCAAACAAAATTATATATATATTGATAATCATATTTGACAAACAAACCTACTGATAATTGAATAGAGTTGTATTAACGGGGGTTTAATTAATTATACATTATGTTTTTGAAATAAAATTAAAGTATATTATTATTGTTTGAAAAAAAAATCCTTTTAATGAATTTGTTATATCGATTCCAACTGTAGGATTATAATCTTTAATTATTTAAAAAATGAAGGAATTATGGACATTTTTTAAATGAATATTTATTGGTAGAAATTATTTAAAAAAATTATAGATTAATTAAAATAGAATTACAATTTTAAGTGCGCGTTTAAAAAACAGTGAAATTTAAGAGCAATGAAAAAAAAAAACTAAGATTCAAGTTGAGAGTTAAGTAAGACAAATTAAAATTCAAGGTACTATTTTTAAAAAAGAAAAAAAAATAGTTTTTTGTACAGAATGAATTTTGATATTACATAAAAATGTCTAAAGGACACATATTTCTAGATTATGGAAATACTATTTTCTAACAAGACAACATAAATCTAACAAGACAACATAAAGTAAACATTGTGAATTTTGTTGTCGTTACTTCTAATTATTTTGATCTTTGTACTTTTGACGAAAAGAAAGAGATTAGATAAATGGAGAAAATTTTGGTAGATATGAGAAGTTGCTTGAAATTTTGATTCTAATGTTATGGATAAAATGCTTCCTTCTTTTCCAATCAACACGTACTCTTCAAACAAAAGTAATCAGTGACAAAGAAAAGAGAATATTCATTTCAGATTTTTATATCATTTTTTTTTTCATAACTTTTCTTTTTCATGATTCAACCACCAATATTTGTTGCCATCTGATCTCATAACCCACCTCGTAATTAATGATGTTGATTTTTGTTCAAACAACCAAAACATAATCGCATGTATGTTTGTTACATCACTCGGAAAAATCATAATCAATTTAATCACTTGATTAATATAAAATAATAGTATTGTCTAATTTATGATTATGATGCTCCAAAGCAAACCCTTTTGGTTTCAAAGATGGTGGTGAGTGAGGTAGTTTAATAAACGGAGAATTAAGTTGCAGAAGGAAAGAAGATGGAAGATGAAAAGCATAGCACCACCACCATGAATTGTGAGAACCAAACGTTGACAGCTCAACCTTCTTTTTTCGGATTATGAACAGCTCAACCTTCAACCCACTTTATGAACAACTAACAAAATTCAACTTAAATGAAGGTTGGTCACCAAAGATTGCATCTTTATTTTCTTTCTCTCTCATCACTGGAACACTCCAATTGGTTCACCATTTTTTTTTTCATATGTTTTTGTTCAACCTAATGGCTGCAACTGGAAGCATATTTTGCCGATGTGTACATTTTAAATACCGTTGCTAAATTTAAATCGTTAAATTATTTTCTTCTGGTACAACTAATTATTCTTCAATTTCTCCATCACTAAAATAACCCTTTTAAATATATATTATTTATAAAATTTAAAATTATATTAAGTATCCTCTTATCAGGTAAATATTTATTTTTAATTATATTTATTGTAGTATTAAGAATGATTTTAGATATAGAATATCAAAATAATAAAAATATTAACAAGAAAAGCTATTTTTTTTAAATAATAAAAATTAATCTTTATATTAACTATGTAGCCAACCTTAAAACCTCATTTAGCGAGTTACAATAAATAAGTTTTGTGAGTATTATTTAATTTAGAGCTTAGTAAATTTTGTCATTGATTAACTTTTTATAAATATGTCGGTAAATTTAAAAGAGAATAATAGTATGTAGATTTGATTTTTAAATTATGTAAAAGTTTTGGATATACTGCAACATATAAAAAAAATATAAATGAAGCTTTTCATCGTTAAAAAATATTATTATTTATTTATATTGATCACTTAATTGGTTGAAATTTGTATTAGTTTTAAAATATGATTTGTAATTTCTATACAAATTTTGAAGGGATACAGAATTTAGGAAGCATGTTTCAGTGGTGTCTTTCTTTCTTCCTCCTGCCATTGATGTTACTTCCAGCTACGTAATTGAATATATTTGTTGAAATTTTTTTCTTAAAAAACATCATGAGTTATTTTCTTCAGTAAAAAGAATGCAGGTTTTTTTTATTTGTAAATAAAAAATATTATTGAAATTTCGTACACACACATGAATATACAAACCAGTTATTGAATAAAATAACTCTATCAATAGTTACCTACGAAGTAACTTAATCTTCACACATATTAAATCACAAGATTTTACACATTAATTTCAACGATATTTTAATTTGAATCAATGAAATAAATAAGAAAATGATTTGAAATTATACAAAAAAATTATTCAAATTTAATTTATATAGAATTTAAAATTTACCGATAATGATATATTATAAATAAAAAATAATTTAAAATTTTAAAAAATAATAAAAATAGAAAAAGAAGAGACGTGTGAAACAAGATCATAATTTTAAACCTACAACTAACATTATTGGTGTGTGATAACAATAGAATAACTGTAAGGCTTCACTTAAACACAACTCAACACAGTTACCGTTACCCACGTTGCTTAAAGCAGATGACATCTCAAAATCATTTAAAAAAAAAATCTATTTAAAACACGTTTAATTTAATTATCTAAAATTATATAAACAAATCCCCAAAATGTAGTTGCATTGGGTTAAAACCTAACCTATCAAGTTTTGTCATTGCAATGGATGAAACATGTTTCGCTTATTGTTGAGCACAAATTACTTTATATGAATGAGACTCATTTATAAGGAGACACAAACGAAAACATATCTTTATTAATGTTTTACAAACTATTTTAATGTAGAAACATATATTTAAAGAGAACAACAATGAAAGAATTTGCAATTTGGTGAAAAAACTATCCAAATTGTTAAAAGTTTTACGATTTTTCTTCTGTTCTGAAAGATTCGAGGAAAGTACAGAAACAAAATGTGAGTGTAAGTGAAAAGAACGATGAAAAAGAGAAAGTATTTGACATGTTTAAACAAAGTTGTAATAGAGTCCTTGAAGTAGCTAATTATTTTGTCATGTCTCTCTTTTCTTTCATACCAGTACTCGGAAAAGGCAGAGATTTATTTCTATGGTAGTGATAGGTGATAAACCCAAAACCATGGTCGCCAATCAAATCAAAGTCCCTTAACCTAAAAATCCATTATTGTTCCAGATAAAAAATAAATGTAAAAAAAAAAAAGAGGAAAAAGAAAAGAACTTGTCAGGTGACAGAAGCAGCTTTATCTTCTTTTTCTGACCTCGCTTCCATCCCCTTTCATAGTAATGATTCCGCAGCTTACTCTTTTCTCTGTCTCCCTTCCTCTTCCTCTCTCTAAACAAAACAAAAACTCAATCTTTCTCTCTCTCCCAAACACACAACACAAGGCACAGCGCACAAATCAACCGTGTTTAATGCCTTTGCTTCTCCCTCTTTCTCTGTGTATGTAAAATCTTTGTTTTTATCAGAGGTCCTGCAGAAAGTTGTGTCTCAGATCCCTATATACACCGAAAACGATACAACTGTGTTCACTCTGCTTCTCTCTCTCTCTGAGAATCATCATTTACAATTTTACATGCAACCTATTATCGCGTAGGGTGGTCCTCAACCTCATTCTTTTATCTTTTGCCCTTTCCCCCTGCCTGCCCTATTTTATTCTCCTTTGCCTTTATCTATCCATCCATCCATCACGCTTCTCTTTCTCTCTCAAAATCCACAAAATGCAAGAACCAAGCCTGGGAATCATGGCCGGGTTAAGCGCAGAGGTCTCCCCCGATCACCACCGTCAGCTCAAGGCGGAGATTGCCACTCATCCGCTCTACGAGCAGCTCCTGGCTGCACACGTAGCATGCCTCCGTGTGGCCACTCCCATCGACCAGCTTCCGCTCATCGATGCTCAGCTATCTCACTCTCACCATCTTCTACGCTCTTATGTCTCACACCACACCCACTCTCTCTCCCCCAATGACCGTCAAGAACTCGACAACTTCCTGGTAAATTTCCCAAACAAACACTATTTTTTCTTTCTCAAAAAACAAATCAACACAATTTAATGGATCCATATTGTTTATTGTTACCACCGCAGGCACAGTATTTGATAGTTTTGTGTAGTTTCAAAGAGCAGCTTCAGCAGCATGTCAGAGTCCACGCCGTTGAGGCTGTCATGGCCTGTCGTGATATCGAAAATACCTTACAAGCTCTAACAGGTATGTACCACTATCTCACAACACCCTTTATTTCTATCTCCTCATACTCTAATTTTTTACTTTTATCAATTCTTTTGTTTCTTCTTCCCATTAGATTAGATGAACCAGTTGTTACTCGATTTCTTATATGAATAAATATCATTCATGTTAATAATAAACGAGTAACATATGTGATGTTGCTATTTTCTGTGAGGAGTTAATGGAGGCAAGTAAAATTAATTTTCTCGCTATAGGTAAAGCATCGTGTTGTTTCTTGTGATTGACGCGATTCAGCAGAAAGGGAAGAAGCTACAATTTTATTTTTCTTTCCCAAAACTTTTTCTTGTCGAGTTAATTAGACTAAGGAATGGGGTGGTAGGGTCTACTAATGTTATCTGGTGGAGTGTACACAAACGGCAATGGGAAGAGTACTTAGTTTGGTGAGGAATGGTAGACCCTCTTCTCCCACTATGGCACTGCCAACGACTTATGATGCCGTGACAGAATAATTTTGTTCCAGAGTGGATCTGCTATATATTTATCCCTACAATGCAATTTTCAGTAAAATTTCTCACATGATGTTGTTTTAATATTTTAGTTGTATATATATTTGTAAGTATATAATTAGATCAACTACAGAAGCTGGGGACGGGGAAATCAGACAAATTAGGAGATGACAATGATTTTAAACAGTAGAATGAGAGACTTGGAACAGTTGATTGACCGTTCCTAGTTTGTTTTCCCTGCAATGTATGGACTGCATGAACAAACAAAAAAAAAATCCCAAATTTTTAGACCAGTTTCTATCAATCTGCATCAGCTTTCAGTACTGATTTGTTTACACGTACAATTTTATACAACTTGAGATTCTAATACAACATCGTTTCAGTTCACGCATAGTATATTGCTGAGAATAAACAAATTAGAAGAAAGCTATGTAATATAGGAAGGGAAAGAGAAAACAATTCACACACACATGTACATGATGGTGAGATTTAGAAGTTCTGATCTAACATCTAACACAACGAAAAGTGAAATTACATAAGAGGATTTATATGTTTAATCTCAATGGAGAATATTTACTCTTACAAATAATCCAATGAGTTTAATAAGCATATACTTGGTTAGTAGCCAATCAATCATAAATTGATAGAGATTTTATAAAGTCTGTGAATTTTAATTCTATGAGATTATAAAAAATCTTCATTCACGATATATTATTTATTTATTTATTTAATGTAGAGCTTATTTATTTATATTTTTCTTAGTATAATAAATGTGTGTTTATGCATGAGACATTGAGACTTTTTAAAGGTTGAGCAAAAGATTAACGAAAGAGGTAAAAAATTACTCTTTTAGGCATCTCCTTCATTGACTGTTTAATATTTAAATCTTTTTCTGTTTTTCAGGCCTTGTTACAATTGGAACTAGATTTAGAGTCAGGTTAGGTGAATATTTTAACGAGAGTTTATAGAAAAAGGAAGCAAAATATATGAATTAAATTAAACATTAATATCCTATAATTAAAATTAATTTTTATACATATTAACTTGTGAATAGTTAAATATGGAAAATTTTACTTTTTAAAATTATGATAAAAAAAGTAAATATCTTTTAAAAAACAATCCAACTGTCTTTAGGGCACCTATTAAAGAATTGTAAATATCTTTTATGGGAAAATATTACCGATATATTTTTCACAGTAGTTTTTGATGAAATTTTCGTTTTATAAATTTTTTAATTACTATCTTTGAACACTCGATATCAGGCCCTTTTGTTGATTATTATCCTTGTAAGACAATAATTTATTTATTTTTATTAAAAAATTGTGAAATTTATTGTTACTACTATATTAAATATCATGATTTTAAAAAACTTATTTTATTGATTTATTACTTATCGTGGAAGAGGTGTTTTTGTCTTGTAATTTTTACTACAAGTTAGAAATTCAATTCTGTTCCAATTATATTTCATCGAGTCTTCATTTTTGGAATTTGTTTCTTTTGAATTATTTCAATTTTTTTTGTACGAGTAGTTATACCTATATCTATCGATAGCTAGTTAGTTGGGCTGGAAAAACTATATAATAACCCTTTTGAATTCAATAAAGCACACTAATATTGCCAAAGTGTTCGCATATATATTTTTATTCTCTACAATTTTCCTCATTACAATAATAAAAAACAAGTTTAATAATTTAAAAATATAAAAAAAGGAATATTAATTTCTTCTTGTAGCAGTCGTTAGATTAGCAAGAGATATTACAAGAAGAAATAGAATTCTTGATATTTATCTTGTAGTTGTATAAATTGATTAATGGTTTAATTGCCTTCACATATAAAAAGGTGAGTTGAATAATCATGTTAACCTTTCATGAAATTAAAATATGCATAATATATCAGGAATTTCTTATGGTTATTTTGGTATCCAAGTAAGGTGTAGCTCATATTGTGGATGATATGACTGCACATATGGCCTATTTAAGTGGGATAAGGAAGAGGTATTCAAGTGTCTCTTTAGGACATGTTCAACTTATAACTCACTTTAGGATAAAATAATTACTACTTCACTTAGCCTGGTCAATGTCACTTGTGAATTATGATTAAAAAAATCTATGTTTGGTCCATTTTTGATGTTATGCGCAACTAACTTTATTGCATGCTTTTATGTATGATGAAGATGTGTCAAACATTTTGGCATTATTGAGACCTGTCATTGTTCCACTAACAAACCAAGGGGCCCTTGTATCTAGACTTCTCCCCCTCACTTGCACTTTCAATTTCAAATGGCAAAGTGGTCAGACAAAATTTATGGCATGCATTTTCTGGTCTAGTGATCAATTGGAGCTAAAAAAAATTTCTCTTGTAAGACTAATTCTTTCTTAAAGTGTAATTGCAAAGTAAGAATAAGATGATCCTAGGACGTCAGATAAAAACAAATTTTCCTCCCTCACCTGTTTGAGAAAAGTCTTTGGAGAATTGATGACCCTTATCAACCATACTATGTTTTGGTTTTTGGTCCCTTTTTTCGATGTATTTAGCCTCTGCTTTGTTATGTATCAGTTCCAATAATTTCACTGCCAGATTCCATGTATCTACCAGTTATTACATTACATGTGTGATGTGTGAAATATATATCCACAGTGACAAACTTTAAATTATGTAGTATTCATTTGTTTTTGTCGTTCCAAAAAATTAAGCTATCTGGATTGCTATGTAATTATATTTCAGGAGTGAGTTTGGGAGAAGGAACTGGTGCAACAATGTCAGATGATGAAGATGAATTACAAATGGATTTCTCTTTGGATCAATCTAGCGCTGAAGCGCATGATATGATGGGATTTGGTCCGTTACTTCCTACAGAATCTGAAAGGTCACTGATGGAAAGAGTTCGTCAGGAATTAAAGATTGAGCTGAAGCAGGTCTTTTTTTATAGTCAATTGCTGGTTGGTTACATGTAGTTAACTATTTTCCTTAAGTTTGAATCACCAACCAGTTTTAGCCTCTGCAGGGTTTCAAGTCAAGAATTGAAGATGTGAGGGAGGAAATATTAAGAAAACGTAGAGCTGGGAAATTACCAGGTGACACGACTTCTGTGTTAAAGAATTGGTGGCAGCAACATGCAAAATGGCCTTACCCAACTGTAAGGGGAACACCTTCTCATGTTCCTGCATCTTGCTCGTAATCAATATTTTCACAATTTATTTTGTGTTTCTTTGAAACCAATTCTAGACAGTAGGGTTCATTATTATTGCGGCAACCATCAAAATATGCAAGTATCCACAATGATGTTTCCTTCTTAAGAGGTCAAGCCCCAATATTGGTACTAAGATTCAGCAAATTGTGTGACAAATATAATGTATCATTGGCAATTGCAATGTTGCTACCCAAACGAAACGAAGGAGTTGTTGACTTTAACATGTGAAGTTTTGATCATATGATGATACAATAACCTCTGGCTCACTGAACTTGCATTTGGCATGCTTTGTTTCAGGAAGATGACAAGGCAAAACTTGTGGAGGAGACAGGGTTGCAGCTGAAGCAAATTAATAATTGGTTCATCAATCAAAGGAAACGCAACTGGCACAGCAACTCTCAATCAGTTACCTCTTTGAAGTCCAAGCGCAAGAGGTAGACATATTTTGTCCTAACTATGTGGAACAGCTAGCAGCTCAACTTATAAGGACTTACTAAATATATATACATATATGCTTATTTCTGATAGAATGTAGTCCCCGCAAGGATTCCAATCAGATGCAGAAGATAGTAAGTAGATGGGTTACGGTAATGTAAGATAGCTGCAAAAAAAGCTGGCTGTAAATTTGTGGGATTTAACGTATGCAAAAACTTTTGTTTCAGGTGTGGTTATGCCTCTCTTTTATAACTGTCTTTGTAAATTGTTTGCTACACTTTTCTGACCGGCGGAAGAATTATTATTACCACACATATTATTAAAATTGTTTGCTCTTCTTTATACGTTATATGTGTTCATTGCTCCTATATATTTTAACTTTTATACCAAACTGAGTTCTTCGTCAAAAATGAGATTAATTGCTTTCTTTCCATTAGAATGTTGAAAGGTAGTTCAATATTTATTCTTGCAATAATTATCATCTATGGTAGAAATGAGTGAAGAAGACGACGTTAAAGAGCACTTTAAGGCTTAACTTGATTTTTGGTTCGCATCTTAATGACCAATTAAGTTCTAGTAATCAAGAATTTTGATATTTGGTTCACATATAACCTAAGCACAGGTTATAGTTTATATACAATTTTTATTAGGGATGTAAGAAAATATAAAATCCAAAATAACATTAAAATAGATATATTTAATGGATATTCGTAGAGAAAAGGGATGATTGTTTTAATTCGCTGCTTTTAAATTATCGTATTCATATATACAAACTTCTATTAGTATTTTTTTTTAAATAATTAAATTGTTGTGTGAAAAAGCATTAAAAATTAAAAAGAAAGTTTAAAAAATGATTTTAAAGAAAGAAGCTACTAAAACGAGTTTTTTCTTTTTCTTTTCAGACCTCTTTTAAAAAATTTATTTAATAAATTCTAATTTGTGTTTGTTTTAGCTTTTTGTAAGATTTTTTTTTCGAAATAAATTCGAAGGAAATGTTTACTAAATCAAAATTAAGCATCACATTAACGATAATTAGTCGTTAGTTATTAAGCGACCAAACCTAATGCTTGATTTGAGCTGTTTTCGATAGATGATTCCAGAAATTAAATTAATGTAGGAGGGTTTTCAATGTTACTCCCAACAATAAAATGGTATTTATAAGCATGTAAATGTCCACTAACGTATACTAAATTAGGATTTAAGATTTAGAATCTTAACAAATATATAAATCTATAAATTAGAAGATTTGAGATTAGACACAAATCTCTAAATACAGCCTAATGAAAATTTTGTCTGCTATAGTGTTGTCATGTACGATACAGGGAGCACCATTTCCATAGTTTGAAAACTTTGATTGATAATAAAATTTCAATTAAGATCCCATCACATGGTGTACTGAATATGTGATCGGTTAAAATCATTTTCAGTTTTCGGAAAAAGATTGATGAACAATTTATTTTTATCAAAGCGATTAACAATTCTATTTATTAATAAAATACTATTTTTTAATTAATTTTATTTTGATTGAATTTTGATTATTATAATATTAATGAATAAAGGGATTGTTGATCGCTGTATACAGTAACTCTTATTTTTCAACTGGGATCAGCGACAGTTACATAGAAATCTCTCTCAGTGTTGTTTATGTTAATAGTTCCATTACGACCACTGGCGGCTGCTTGTGTCTGACCCCTTCAACGTACTATTCATATAACATCATTGAATCTCAACTATGTTGATGTATTCTTTTTCCAGTTGTTATTTTTTTATGATTAACAGAGCATTCATGACCTTCTCTCTTCTTCGTATTCTAATCCTTAACCCCGTCAAAATTGAAGCACTCCTTTTGTATGACAAGTCGGTCAACCCGATTTTAAAATTACAGTCTTTGCAAGTCTCTATGACTTCAAAATGCTCACCCTCAACGTTACATTTCTCAGATCCATCACCAACCCATTGTTCTTTCACAGCGTCTCTCACATTCCAAAACGATTCACTTCTCACTAGTTCTTACCTTACATGGCTCATTTGGTTTATGGTGAAACTCCATCCTTTGGAGCTTCACACCATGGACAGGCTCAGCAAATTATTCCGTTTGCAACCAATGGAACTTCCTTAAGGATCCTACTTTTACATGGCAACTTGGAAATATGGGTCAACGAGGCCAGAAACCTTCCTAACATGGACATGTTTCACAAGAAAACGGGAGAAATGATTTCCATGTTGTCCCGGAGACTTGGCGGCAAAATCGAAAGCCACATTTCCAAAGCTGGAACCAGTGATCCCTATGTTACGGTGTCTGTGGCGGGTGCGGTGGTGGCCAGAACTTTTGTCATTAGAAACAGCGAGAACCCCATTTGGACGCAGCATTTCAATGTCCCCGTTGCGCACCTTGCTTCTGAAGTCCACTTCGTTGTCAAGGACAGTGATATTGTGGGTTCTCAGATTATAGGAGCAGTGGGAATTCCAGTGGAGCAGTTATATAGTGGCACAAGAGTTGAGGGCCTTTTCCCCATCCTTGGTGCTAATGGAAAACCATGTAAGGGTGGAGCAGTGCTGAGTTTATCCATTCAATACACCCCTGTTGAAAAGGTGGCTCTGTATAGCCACGGAGTAGGTGCTGGTCCTGATTATCAAGGGGTCCCTGGCACCTACTTTCCCCTTAGAAAAGGTGGAAAAGTTACACTTTATCAAGATGCTCATGTTCATGGAGGTTGCCTTCCCAGTTTGAAGGTGGATGGGGATGTGGATTATAAGCATGGAAGTTGTTGGCACCACATCTTTGATGCAATAAGTCAGGCTCGTCGATTGGTTTATATTATGGGGTGGTCTGTGTACTACAATGTTAGTCTCATTCGGGATAAGCATGATGGAAAGGCTTACACTTTAGGTGACCTTCTCAAAGATAAATCACAAGAAGGTGTGAGAGTGCTGCTCCTTGTGTGGGATGATCCCACTTCTGGAAGCGTGCTTGGATATAAAACGGTAATCAACTTAAAATAATTGTTTTGGACAAAACTTAGATACAATCCTTTGTGTTTTTACTATTTTTTTTTAGGATTGAAGTTTCATCTTAATAATTTATGTTAACATTTGATAAAAAAATTATTATGGAATGAAATTTTAATTTTGATTAGAAAATAACACTGATAGCGCTTAAGGAACTACATATTTCTTTGTTTGGTTCAGCCAGTATTTGTTGTGAGGAGGGTAAACAAATCACAATCTTAGTTTGTTATAGATAAGTAATTTGGGATCCTTAGTATTGCAGTGACATATTTTTGTTTTCATTTTATGTGTCAGTTTCATGTTCAGAAAGGCATGCTACTGCACTTGATTACTTTTACTTTTGAATCAGATAATAGTATGTGAGTGGTTTCTTACTTCTATCATGGACTTTCTATGATATGATATGCAGGTTGGACTTATGAACACTCATGATGAGGATACTCGCGAGTTTTTCAAGCACTCTTCAGTACGGGTGCTTCTTTGTCCACGAGCCGGTGGAAAAGGACATAGCTTTCTCAAAACGCAGGTATTGGAAATACCATAGTTAAAAGAAAAAAATTAAATAATCTTTATCTTTTTATGTACATCTTTTGTCATAAAGGTCAGATGGGAAAGTTAAATGCTCAGCTGTAAATTTAATTGTTAGGAAGCTGGAACAATCTATACCCATCATCAGAAGACAGTCATTGTAGATGCTGATGCTGGCCACAGTAAAAGAAAGATAAAAGCTTTTATCGGAGGTCTTGATTTATGTTTGGGTCGATATGATACCCCAAACCATTCCCTCTTCAGGACTTTGCAGACAACACACAAAGATGACTATCATAATCCTAACTTTGAGGTAAATCTTTATTTTTGTTTAATCTTCGCTGGTTTCCAATTAAATATATTGCAGGAATGTTTCCTATAAAGAACTAAGCCAAGGTTCACTTTAATAGCACTTTCCTGTAAATATAAGTTCTAATTGTTTTATTTGTATAATAATGAACAGGGGCCTGTCACTGGTTGTCCAAGACAACCATGGCATGATTTGCATTCCCAAGTTGATGGTCCAGCAGCATATGACATCCTCACCAATTTTGAGGAACGTTGGTTGAGGGCTTTAAAAATGAATAGGTTTCAAAAGATGAAAAGTTCACATGATGATTCGTTACTTAAGATTGACAGAATCACTGACATTGTTGGCATTGATGACGTTCCTTCCCAAAACGAAGATAACCGGGAGACTTGGCATGTCCAGGTATATCATTGATTGTGTTGGAAATAGATGAATAATTCATGCTCCTGTTTCAACAGAAGAATTCTTACTCCCTCAGGGAAACTTGTCTAAGATAAGTTTCTGATTATCTTTTTCACTGTTCTAATTGAAGGTCTTCAGATCAATTGATTCCAATTCTGTGAAAGGATTTCCAAAGGAACCACAGGATGCAATAAGAAGGGTGAAGTGAATTCCTTCTGAATTTTTTACCTTTTTTTTATTGTGAAGAAAATGCTAAGTCCGTTTACTTCATTGAACAGAACTTGGTTTGTGGAAAGAATGTACTGATAGACATGAGCATACATTCTGCTTATGTCAAGGCAATTCGAGCAGCTCAAAAGTTCATCTATATTGAGAACCAATACTTTCTTGGCTCATCATATAATTGGGATTCTTACAAAGACCTTGGTGAGTATTGAAGTTAAAAAAAACTTGTTACAAAAATTACCTTCTGTTAACAATCATCAAGCATGTCATGGGCTATTTTCATATTTTTAACATGTTAAGAGCTCAATTTTTATACTGGTGAGGTTGTTTCGTTAATTATAAGTTGATGTGACTTGGTAGAGTATTCTAAATTGTATTGACAAGGTGTAGTGTAGGATCGGTGCATATTAGTAAGCTGATGGAGCAGATGAAAAAATCTACTATCATTTAGCAAAATTATTCTCTCTCTAATTAATACTATACGACCCAGCACTAGCTCTCTGAATCGAGTTCTATTCCATCAGTAGGGGTTCCTGTGTAAAACTTCGTGATTTTTTTACTGGTTCTTTTCTAAAATTCCAGATCAGCCACAAAACTATTCTTAAAAAATGACAAAAATACAAGACATAAAAGAGATTGTAAAGTTGTATATTGTTCACTAACACCAACAATTTTACATGTTACAAGACAATAAAGTGGATCCGGATCCCTGTCTTCAAATTTCAGTAAACTGCATTACATTGTATGTTACAACAGGCGTCTTGTTACATATTAATTTTAATCCATTTTCATGACAGGTGCTAACAACTTAATTCCAATGGAAATTGCATTAAAAATAGCCAGCAAAATCAAACAGCATGAACGATTCTCTGTGTATATTCTCATTCCTATGTGGCCTGAAGGAGTACCTAAAGGTACACCTACTCAGCGGATTCTCTTTTGGCAGGTAGGCTTCCTTTATCTCTTAAAATGGTACAATATGAGACAAAACATCAAAACCTTTATTGGCTAGACCATGAACATGGTTTAGGAAGATTGGGTGTTAAAAATTTGTCTCAAGCCGGAAGAAACTGCTGATTTTTTAGTGCTTCAAACTGCCAAATGATGTTATTCTTTGAAGCACAACTATAAATTTTGCATTGCTGAAAATGCTCATGATTTGCTGCCTAGATTTCATGACAATTGTATCACGTTTATCATTTAAAATGAGAAATCTCTTATAAATTTTGTCTTTAAGATGAACAAGATTGTATATACCCTTAAATTTAAAATAGTATGATAAAAAATAATGTTCTTATGGGTTCAGCAGTGTGTTTGTCTCACATGCTCACGTTGATTTGTTGGCAGTTTAAAACAATGCAAATGATGTATGAAACGATTTACAAGGCCTTACAGGAGGCTGGGCTCGACAATCAGTATGAACCACAAGACTACTTGAACTTCTTTTGCCTTGGTAATCGGGAAATCCTTGACGACGGAAATGTTTCAAATGTTACAAAAACTACAAGAGAAAACACACCTCAGGTTTTTTTTTTTTTCACCTTGAATAAACTTCATGATTTCTCCTTCTCTGGATGTCTCATTTCCTACTAAACAAGTTTATTTGCACACTGGTTACCTAGGCACTCACTAAAAAGAACAGAAGATTCATGATTTATGTTCATTCAAAAGGAATGATAGTGGATGATGAATATGTGTTACTGGGGTCTGCTAACATTAACCAGCGATCCATGGAAGGCACCAGAGATACAGAGATAGCAATGGGAGCATATCAGCCTAATCATACTCGAGCAAAGAAGCAATCTAAACCTCGTGGACAGGCAAGATTTATATAAACTTACAAATACTTTTTATGACCAAAATTTGGAGAGGAAAAATTGTAGGTTGTGCATACAATCAGAATGATATAGCCTAGGATACCCGGATGATACTCTCAAGAAGAGTGAAGCATTTTAAGGGAGTTGCGTAGTTGTATTGTATCATATATGTATACTAAGAAAGCTCTGTGTGTTGTGTTTTTTGGTATGATTTCAGGTGCATGGTTATAGAATGTCACTGTGGAGCGAACATATAGGAAGTGTGGAAGAATGTTTTGAAGAACCAGAGAGCCTTGAGTGTGTAAGACGGATAAGGTCACTGAGTGAGTCTAACTGGAGACAGTATGCAGCTGATGAGGTAACTGAAATGAAAAGCCATTTGTTAAAATATCCCCTTGAAGTTGATTCAAAGGGCAAGGTGAAGCCTCTTCCTGGCTCTGAGACATTCCCAGACGTTGGGGGGAACATAAGTGGCACTTTCACAGTACTCAAAGAAAATCTCACCATCTGATCAATCATTTATGTCACTTCTCAAACTCAGTGAATTCCACGGTAAAATTTGGTAGCTTATTTACACTAATTTGATTCTTTTGAAAAACCAAAATAAAGAGTATAAAGGTTTGTACTTATAATAACCTGCTTTGAGGTATCAGTTTAAGGTTGTCTTAAATACCAGTTTTCTATTTTCAGCTGAATAAATATCCTTTTCCTTTTATACTAATGTAAGATTGTGGTTATGTTGAAAAATACTACGATAGTAGATTTTGTTTATCAAGTGATGATTAAAATTTATATCATTAATCCTGAAATAAATAAAAAATAAATAAAGGATGGGATCTTGGATGTATATTGGAAGATTGTGTTTTGTTGTTGGCAGATGGGTGAGTCCTTGATAAGAAATGTATTGAAAATGAAATTATGATGATATGAGAAGACTCTGCATCTCAAATTTATAGGCTACAGAGACGTGTCATCTACAATTGTCCATGTATGCGAGCATCACAGGTTTCCTCTCTGTTCATTTCACCATTGACAAGAAAATGTGAACTAACAAATACCCACAACACAGTTTCATGTCACCATTGACAACAGACATGTTCATTTCACATTAGTTTTTCTGTTTAATTATTTCCACCTGCAAAATACATAAATGGTGTTAAATCTTTAATGCGACTTATGGAGTTAATTTGTGTGATATCTGAAGCACCAAAAGGATTAACTAGGGGCCTGCTGTCATTATATCTTACTAAACATAATTAAAATTAAATAAATCAAAATAAACAAAGTCAATTATATATTAAACTTATTTACTTATCTAAGTTATAAATTTAAATATCTCACATTTATTTACATATACACAAAATATGAAAATTTCAAATTTAAAAAGTATTTAGAAATATTATTCTATATACACTAATATATAAAGAAAATATTGCTTTTAATATAATTATTTATATTTTTAAACTTAATGTTATAATAATTATGGTAACTAATTTTTTATTATATATTTCATTTATATGATTTAAATATTTGTAATTTTAGTTTAAAAATTAAGATATAGACATGTATTTTTATTGAAATAAATAAATATGTAAAATACACATTCATCAAAACTTTTATATATATATATATATATATATATATATATATATATATATATATATATATATATATATATATATATATATATATATGAGAGAGAGAGAGAGAGAGAGAGAGAGAGAGAGATATTCCAATAGAATTGTGGGAAGTAACTTTGTAAACTCTTTATAACTTTCATTTTTCTATTTTAATTAATTTAGAATTTGAAAATTATTTTTAAAAAAACAAAATAGTTTGCCCAACATATGTTTGGATATTTGGAATAATTTTACAATTATAATATTTCCATTAATTATGTTCCAAAAATATAAAATTATAATTTGAAACAAATACTTATATATAGCCTATGAATTGTTGTTTGTTGTTTTTTTTAAATAATATTTAAAAATTTGTTTAATTACTTGTTGTGAGAACAAAAATTGAAAAACTGTTTATTTTTATTTATAGAAATCAAAATTAAAATTTGTAAAAAGGTATTATTTTTGTTTTTGTTTTCTTTATTAATCATATTCTAATAATTCCACTACATTAATAATCTTATTTTTATGAAACTATCCTTTTTAACTTCTGGGACTTTTCATTATTCATGGATTGATTTTATCCCAAAATAATTTTTAAACTAAAATTATAATGTTTTATTTTCATCTTATTTTTAAAAATTATTTTCTAAAATTATTTTTAAAAATTAAAAAAAAAACTAAATTAAACAGGCTCTAAATATATCTAATATTTTTTTAATACAATTTACTTAATATTTGAAGAAATATGTCACGATGCTAGACTGTCATAGTTCGAATGCTATTTTATTTCATTGATTTTAACAAATATTTATATTAATATTAATTTCTTGTATTTTGTAAATAAGACTTACGTTTAAATTTTCATGATAAATATAAAAATATTTTTTATTCAGTAAAACTTTATAATAAATATTTTTTTAACTATTATATATTATTATAGAAGACAGGAAGTGAAAATCTTATATGAGATGATTTCGTTTAGAATAGTTGAAAGATAAGTATTTATAATATTAATAATTGTTGATAGAGAAAGGTCGTGCATAATAGTGGAGAGAAAGTAGTCCATAAGAGACAAAGAAATGTTTGTTTAAAATCAATTCAAATTAATTTTAAAACCACCTCATTATGAAAAATTCTATGCATATTTTTTTTTCAGAGAGAAAATAACATAAAACAATACAAAAAAAATTATATTATTTTAAAATAAATAAATAAAATGTACACTTCATGCCCAAAAGTTGATAAAGATGGTATAGTTGATTTTCAAGACAAGCAGAAAAGTAGATGGAACGAAATAGAAATAGGAAAAAAATAAATTTAAACTCATTCCTATGGTTTTAAACACATAATTATCAGGATAATTATTGTGATAAATATAATATAATTAAATATTGAATTTTGGAGAATGTAGTATTTTTATAATCACCGTCGTGATGAGATGTCGGCAAAAGACAGAAAAGAGAAAAGATGGGAAAATTCTCAACTCCCTCCATCTTCAGTATAAAAGAGGGAAGAAAAAGAGGGAGAGAAACGAAGAGAAGATGGGTGCAGAAGCAAATGGCGGCGAGAGGCAACTGAAATTTATGATCTACGGTCGAACAGGTTGGATTGGTGGTTTACTGGGGAAGCTGTGCCAAGAGAGAGGCATCCAATATCACTACGGAAGCGGAAGATTGGAGAACCGATCGTCCTTGGAGGCGGACATTACGGCGGTGAACCCCACCCACGTGTTCAACGCCGCCGGAGTCACCGGTAGACCAAATGTGGACTGGTGCGAGTCTCACAAGGTTGAAACCATCCGCACCAACGTTGTGGGCACTCTCACCCTGGCCGACGTCTGCCGTCAAAAAAATCTGATTCTCATAAACTACGCCACCGGCTGCATCTTCGAGTACGACTCCTCCCACACCCTCGGATCCGCCGTCGGCTTCACGGAGGACGACACTCCCAATTTCACCGGATCCTTCTACTCCAAGACCAAGGCCATGGTATTCATTCTCCACATCCAAATCACTCTCATTTATTTATGTCAATGTACGATGATGATGATGATGATGATGATGATGATGATGATGATGTGATGAGACATGACAGGTGGAGGATCTACTTCGGAACTACGACAACGTGTGCACGTTGCGCGTGAGGATGCCCATTTCCTCGGATTTGTCGAACCCACGTAATTTCATCACTAAGATCAGTCGATACGACAAGGTTGTCGACATTCCGAACTCCATGACCGTACTGGACGAGCTGCTCCCGATCTCGGTGGAGATGGCGAAGAGGAATCTGACTGGGATCTGGAATTTCACGAACCCTGGAGTGGTAAGCCACAACGAGATTCTGGAGATGTACAGGGAGTACGTGGATCCTAGCTTCAGGTGGAAGAACTTCAGTGTGGAGGAGCAGGCGAAGGTTATTGTTGCCCCCCGAAGTAACAACCACCTTGACGCCTCTAAGTTGAAGAAGGAGTTTCCTCACCTTTTGTCCATCAAGGACTCTCTCCTTAACTACGTCTTTCTCCCCAATCACAAAACGCCTCCATAGATCCAACCATCTCAATTCTTTCAGAATTTTTCAGATTCTCTGCTTTTCTGCCACTTTTATCTACTTCTTCCTTCCTCTATTGTATTCTTCCTGCGTTTAATCTTAGTTTTCTATTTCTATCCATTATTTTTAAACACCTTGTCCACATTTACTTATATTTTTATTTCTCTAAATATCATTTTGATTGAACCCTATTTATCATTTTTCTGATTGTATTTGACAGACTACATGGTGCATAAATTAGTTGCCACCTGCTTATAAATTATGAATTTTTGCATCATCTCTTGCTATTATTGTATCGGTTTTTGGTGTAACAACAATGAACAATGATCCTTACGGATGATCGAAAACGAAGGGAAACGCCTTACGTGTACTCATTATTAGGACCTTGTTTGTATGATAATCGACAGAAGGAAGAGAGAACCCTGTTTTTCCAATTTGGACTCCACTTAAATATATGGGCCTAAAGTAAAGATTCATTCATTTACTAAGCACTTTTTATTGTTATTATTATTATTATTGTTGTTGTTATGGGAAATTAAAATAACCTTCTTTTTTTTTTTACAAAATTAGAATAAGGTTTAACCTATGATTGCAAAATATACCAATGTTTATTACACAGGCCCACCAAAAAGACAATACCGCATCGAATTGGAAAAGTAAATATCACATAATAAATTTTCTTCCTGCTTTAATATCATTTTGAACGCCAATAGATCAGATGATGAGTAAATAAATTAACAGGTATTTATCCGTCTTCGAAACAATTAATTTTTAAGTGCTTTCTTTCTAAGAACTATTAACCAATATTTTGTTTATTGTTTCATGTTTTAGGTATTTTATCATGATGAATTCGAAAGGTCTAAGGTCTAAAAAAACAATTTGAAGTAAAATAAAAATTTATGAGCTAAATAAAATTAAATAAATATTGATATGATTTAGACTAACTTGTAAATTTATAAATTGATTCGTTTTATAAAATAATAATTATTTTATTAATAAAATAAAAATAATATTATTTTATTAAAAAATATATATATAATAAATTAATTTAATAATATATTTTATTATATATATATATATAATTTTAAAAAAATAATAAACTATAAATATAATTTTTATTTACTTTGATATTTTTTTTATTTTAAGGACTAATAATTTAAAAAAACATAATTTTAAATATAATTTATTTTTAATTTATTATGATATGAAAGTTGTATTGGATAATAATAAGGTTAGTTTGTTAAAAAAATATAAATTTAACTCTAAAATTTTTCGATATACACTTGATATTATTAAACATGATTTATGATTTTTAATTTAATTATATTGACTACAAAAAAAATTAAGAGATAAATAAAATTTTAAATTATAATTTTAAACTAATTACTGTAAGCACTTAAATTACAAAAATTTATAAGGTTTACATGTATATTTAAAAAACTTATTTAATATTTTTGGTATAATATATTTAATTTGCGATATATAAAAAATTACAACTCCAATAACTTATTTTTATAATTTTATATATTTGATTTTATTTTACTTTAAAAAATTATAAGATAATTTTAAATATACAAATAAATTATATATTTCTCAAATAAAAATTATATAAATAAAAAATATTTTAAATTAAACCAGAAATATGTTAACCATTAACTTAATATAGGATCAATTAGACCAGACCGAGTCAATAATTTTTTTTAACTTGACTGGGAACATAGCAGACTGAATCGTCCGATTTGACTTATGTGTAAGAGTTGTGGAATTTCAGATAATAAGAGTAAAAAAACCACACTTTTAATCTTTTTCTTCTTTAAAGACTATAGTTCCACTGTCACTGTGTTAAGTTTGGATAAAAGAAGAGTGTTAGGCTTTCAACGGTCAACATAAAATTTGTGAAATCACTTCAAACATGGATCACCGACTACATAGGTGTGAAATTGTTGATCCAGACGCACGTGATAAGGCTTGTGTGTGATAGACATCATGATTTGAAAAGATCTGACACTTGTCTTGAAGAAACTAAATATATTGGAGAAAGAGTTAAGGACTCAATTGCTGCAAGATTTAAGTTTAGCTAGAGAAAAGAATATGGATTTATTGTGGAGAGGATTGGATGGGAGTATGGTGGATGTCAAAAGAATTTCGAAAAAAGTTTTATCTTGTAACTTCTAAGATAATGATTACAAAGCAGTCAATAGTGCTTTTAGAAGGGTTGATCCAACACTTTCCACTCCACCAAATGTTAGGTGATCTAAGCAATAAATAAGAGTTTATGAAGATTTGTGTCGGTGAAAAGCTCCAGTAAAAAAAGTTCGTAAATTGCGAGGAGATTTTAAAATGGTTTTATTACACAACCTTTGTAAGGAAAATCCCATCCATGTAGGAAGTGTGGGAAACTGAGCCCATACATTCCTTCATCTGGGATCTTTTGCAAATTTATACCTACTCCACAATCATTAGATATTCTTCATTTCACTATTTATTTCTTAAATTTAATAATCTAAAATAATATATTTAGTTACAAGAAAATAGATAAGAATAAGATTTTAAGTGTTATATATATTATAACAGAGTCCAATCACATGTAACTATACCGGAGAAACATTTGTACAAAAAATTAAGTAAAGTTGCGGAAAAAGCCACTAATAAGAGAGCTCAAATGTTTTTTTTTTTTTTTTTTTACCCATGTTGATGGAAGAAAGACGAACGTGGACACTGAAGAAAAATATTAACAGAGATTTCATGATAAATATCATTAAAGATTAGATTTTTAATCGAATCCATGTAAACCCACCTTAACTAATAAAATTACGCTATTACAATTTTTTTTTATTCAAAGACTGATTCTGGTTCTTCAAAATGAAGGAAAAAAAAAACAATACACAGAAAAGGATAAATTTAGACTGAATAGATTAACTACATCTTAAAAGAGAAGGAGGATAAAATATTGGAAAGGATAACACTTACCACCCAGAAACCATCACCTAGGAACAGAACTATCGCAAATAACAATACCCTTTCATTCTAGCCGAAGTTGACTGCTCATTGTACATTTTCAACATCAGTGGCCATTAGCAATCACACCGTTCACTGCGGGAGTCGAACTGCTTTCTTTAGTTTTCTCTGAATAGAACCTCCGATACATGGAGTCAACTTCAGTGAGATAGAATGTGCCTGGAGATAAAAGGCTATCGTCCTTGCTTGTCACAAATTCCTTCGCACCATACCTATGCTCCATTAGCTTCAGCGTTTCAACAAACTTCTCCGGTGGAAACTGCATTAGAAAAACCATCATCAGAAGACCATTAAACACAGGATTCAGTTTCCACCATTTTAACAAACATTACAACAATAACCAAAACAAAAGACTCATTGGCTTCGACCATTTTATCTCTTAAAGTATTATATTAATTTTCAAGTCCAAAGATATCTTTGTGAAGTTTCTAAAATGTCAGTAAGGACACTACTAATAGGAAATAAGAGAAAGAAAATTTCTCAGCACCTATATATGCAAGCTTGATTAAGCTAAATTTAAGGAAATAATTTTCACCCAAGAGATTTTAAAAATAATGCCCCAAACAATTCCAAAACTCATACTACTCTCCTCTTCTCAGCTATTTGTACCCCTCCTGTTTACCGATTATTCTCTCAAATATCTCCCGGTCATTTCTAATTGGACAGCTGTCAAAAGTATCAGCTTATCGCTGGACTAATCTGCTGTAATATTTCTATTCATTCTAACATAGACCTTCTTGTAGGAGGCCAAACGGTATTTTGGTACGCTGAGAAATTTGTCAGACAAATATTTGTTACAACAAATGCATTCTTAAGTTTTTGGCATGCCTACGTTCGCTTTAATATTAAACCAGAAGGGCAATGTGGAAAACTTCATATTTTATTTTTATTAGATTATTATAGATCATTACCTCCTGTCTTGACTTCAATTTTCCATTTAAACCACAAGGGCAATGTGGAAAACTTCCATATTTTATTTTTATTAGACTATTATAGATCATTACCTCCTGTCTTGACTTCAATTTTCCATCGACATCCATCACTCTAGCGATGTTTGACAAGCTAAACGGATGTTGAATGTCCCGCAATTGCAATGAAAACAATGTGGCAGTTAAGCCACTTCCATATGAGAACAATATCACCCTCTTACCTGCCTGAAATTTGAAAAATATAAATATTTATTAGAACATCCAAAACATTTTTGTGAAGAAGTTTATTTGTTGTAGTGGTCAGGACATTTACCAACGTGCTATGTTTGTTATGAATAAGGGATGCAAATGCTGCATAGAGAGATGCAGTGTACATGTTGCCGACTTGCTTTGGAATCAAAGTTGTTGGTTGCACCTTCTCATCGTATAGAGGCTTCGCAACTTGCTGGGATGCCTGCAAATCAATAATATTGCACACCATCAGCAAAAAGTTGTAATACTGTTCATTTTCAATATACTTCTATATACAGCATGTTTTCCAACTCAATTTCAAAAAGGAAAACTAATCAATATCTAAAAGAAACAGGAGATTATTGATTTTGGGGGATAGGGTCTCGGACCTTTTCAAGATCCCGACTTTGGTAGCTCTCATCACCGGATAAAGTTGCAAAAGGTCCCAGCTTTTCTTTGGCAATCTCATCCACGGAGCTGCAATCATAATCAATTTTAAAACATCCACACATTAACTGATAAAAAATAAAATAACTTTTCAAGAGGATGGAGAAATGAAGAGGACCTGGCATTCCTCAAGAAGTCATTGAAATACAACCGAGCAAAACTCTTCTGTACAAGCTGCAGAAGTAAGTGGAATTAGAGGAAATATACAAATAGATATATACTGAAAAAAAAAAAAACAAATATATCAATGAGATACAGAAATATATAAAGCATGTTACAGGGAGCATTATTATTCATCATGTGGAGTTGGGAGAATAAATACTAGATCCTTAAGAAATCTAAACTACCTTGTTATAAGGAGAGTGAAATACTAGGTATGCAGCATCAGAAAGAGAAAACTGTTTTCCCTCGAATTTCTCGTACCTGCAAAAGTAGATATAGTTAGGTACTTCATTGTTCAGTTACTACTGATGTTTTGAACACAATATGAGTGTTAATACAAATATTATTAGATTTATTTATTTTCATCTGCTAAGCACCAATCTTATCAGCAGAACACTGCAAGTTTTGATGCAAATATTACTAGAATTATTTATCTCTTTTACTAGTAAGTGGAATGTTTACAGCAGCATAAGCTCAGCGACCCATCTGGCTCTAATTCCTTGATTCATAGTTAGAATATAAGCAATGCCAACAACAAATTATTGCTAGATAAAACTTATTGTTCTCACATGCCCTATTTAATTTTACAAGTTCCAATAAATTTCAATCAATAATAAAAGATATGTTGTTAGCATAGAATATTTATAACATAAAAAGAAGAATCTCTTTTCCTCAGTGTTATGCACAAGTCTTTGTTATTACACATTAAATTTTGAAAACGTGATTTAGTTTACAAAAAATTATCAATAGGACAAGGCAGTTCAGACTCAATTTGCATCAAGCCAGTAAAATGTGGAGCAAACCCAAATTTTTATTGGTTATTTTGAGCTGACTATTTGAATCAATTTGAAAGGATCCAATTTTATATTTATATTTATAGAACATGTTGCTCATAAGAACTAAAATTAACATTAAAAAGACTTACTTGTGACAGAAACTCTTATAGCAAGAATCAAGAGCCATGAGGTAACAAGTTTGTGAAAGCTTTCCATCAACAACCTACAGCACAAAAAATATGTGAATCTATCAGTGGGTTATGGATGAAAGTAAATGGACATCGACAATCAAATACTATCCTTCATTGCATATCAAGACAAAAATAAAGTGCAACTAAAGGATAGAGGGAAAATAATTGCAAGTTGTTTTTCAAAGCATATGATTCCAACAGTCAAATGTTCTAATATCAGAAATGAAAAGGGATTAAAAAACTTACTGGATATTCACTGGCAAGATTAGGCTTGTAAAAATCATAAACATGAGACATGTGACTTCCTCTATATTTGCTTTCAAAAGCAATGGGAGCATCAGGACCAATTAGCATTGCAATAGCAGCAGCTCCTCCAGTAGGTCGAGCAGGTCCTTCAGCGTAGACCTGAGAAAGGAAACATTTGACACAAGCTTCAAATTAATCCACCACACAATCTTAAGACTTGGAATAAGGAACTTGAATTGTTCTGGTGGCAAATAGGAGAGTTCGAAGCATGTTTAGTATTGCTGCATATAGTCCAAAAGCAATGTGAATGACTAGGAAATTATCTTACAGCACTGTCAGTGCAGACAACAAGTCCATAGCGTCCATCCCATGAATTGCTCTCAACCCAATTGACACAGTTAAACAGAGCAGCAGTTCCTCCATAGCATGCATTACTTGAATCAACACCCTCAATGTCAGTATTTCCGCATTTCTGTTTGTTTCAAACAAATAAACAACGATTATTATGGTAAAGGAAATAAATTATTAATCAAGAAAATTATAACATGACAGAAGCAACCCAATCTGATTATTAACATCATAATAGTCCTATATGATAGTAGAACATTATTTAATGACTCTATATGAAGATGGTCACTGGTTACTATTACAATGAAAAACAAACAGGGGTCAGCAAGTGCGTAGGCATTTAAAATACACTTAGAGGATGAGAAGTCAGTCTAATGTGACAAGGAGAATCATATATCCAAAATCCATGATGGTAGACACTAAAAGGATACCTCAAAGATCTGCATAAGGAATGTCTTGATGGATTTGCTTTTGTCTATCACAGTCTCACTTCCAACTTCCAGGCGACCAATTTGTTTAGGATCAATCCCATACTTCTCAAGAAGAGAAGTAACCACTGTCAAACTGAAGATGCAATATTAGTCTTCAAGAGATAAGATTATGAATATTATTAATTGTAAGGTATAAGTTAAATCTTCAGCACTGGAGTCCTATACAACTATTCAACATTACACATGCCAAAACCAGAGTGTGATACATATATATATATATATATATATATATATATATATATATATATATATATATATATATATATATATATATTAAGATGATTTCGAAATTTAACAGTATGTCTATTGTCACACAATACAGATAAAACAATAAAACTACATTAGGACTAAAAGATCACTGAGGGTTAAAAGATTTATTTTAATCTAACAGATGTTACAGAGATAATGTCAGGTGTACACAATGCAAAAATCAAATGACCTTCATAAGGTTTCAAATGGTTCGTGACAACATCAAAATAGGTCAGGTTATTCAGTGTACCCTGGAAAAATTTGACAGAGCTAATCTTCACCGTGGGTGGTAGTAACCAAATCACAATTTACATGTCCTCCAATAAGGGTCCACCAAACCATTAGGTAAAGCTTGTAAGTTCGAAAACATACTTTAGCTTTTAGAAAATATAACGTATAATGAAATCCAAGTCAATAAATGACAAGGATAACCCAGAAACAGGGATGCTAACTACAAGCAACGACAACTCCAAACAAACACAATGAAAACCATATCAGAAACAATAACAGAGACTATCAAAATCAGAGTAGAAACCTCATTGAGATGACATCTTCTACTTCGGTACAGAATGACATGCAATCTTGCCCAAGCCCAATGGTGTACTTCCCTTTGCTGGCACCATCATGAGTCTCCAATGCTTCCTGCACGTGGTTATGTGAAGAAAATGAAAATCTTGAAAGTAAAAGAGTCAAAGCAACTTCAATTTTATATCAGTGAGATAATAAAAATAGTAAAAAACTAAAATGTTCGACATGCATTGCTTCGTATGCATTGAGAATATGGCATAGCCTTTAAAAAAAAAAGAATAACGGGCTAAACCACCGGAATACAAAAATTTCGTACAGCTTGTTCCCTACTATTGATTTCCGGCTAGTATGGTTCACACGATAACTTATCTAACAAAAAGTGAAAATGGAAAACAAATCCTAGACCTTACAGCATCCCTTTCCACCAAAAATGATTGGAAAATCGAGTTTAGATGCTCCTAAGAAAACCGTCATTGAATCGATCCAGCCCCAGGTGATTCAAATAAGGTAGATGCTCCAAAGATACCCCACTCCTAAAATCTACACGCTTATTAATTTATTACACAGTTAGCTTGAGCATCTTGAGACAATTTTATTCTGCCAGAATCTTCAGCTAAGCGAGTGACACCGACACATGACAGCTTCCGTGGTTGTTTTTGAAAACGTCAAACGAACAAACAAACAAACAAACTGAAAGGAGCAAACCAAAAACAAAAATGAGAGAAAATGGAAGTGGATGGAGTGACCTGCTGAACGCATGCTGGAGGGAAGTAGATGTCAATGGCGAGAATCCCTACATTCTTTGCCATTTTGTGTTGAGCGATTCCGAATGAGAAGAAGAAAAATGAAGTCTTCCTTGATCGAATAGTAGAAAAGATCGCAGAGAAAGTAGAAAGAGAGGCCGTGTGAGTAGGGTGGTCACTCACTCACATGGGAAGTGTTGTGACCTCAACTCAGCGTATATAAAGGAGAGGAAATTCGTTTGGGAAACAGCCACCAACCCCAAATTATCTGGTGCGGTAAGGTGTACCCAAGTGCTTCCCTCTTTCTTCATGCGTCTCAAAGTGAATAAATCATAAATGTAAACTTCGAGAGTAAACCCCACGATACTTAACAGAACACCTCCTTATCTCTCTTTAACCCTCACTTTCTCACTTTATTTACCACCCATGCCATTTATCATTACACTACACGCAAATTATTTTATTTTATTTTTTATATATTCCTTTTATATCATAATGTTTATTAAATATGTGAATTTATTTTTCTTTATATCCATATGTTCCTTCCACCTCCCATGTATTTATCTCTTCAAAATAATATATTCAACAATTGCTGACCAGAGTGATTTGAATGACACGTGATTATTGAGGGAACATATATTATTTAAATGCATTGTGGGGAATATAATAAATATATGTACTGTCTTGTTAATTTAAGGAACAAATTTAAATTCATGTTAATAAATAAACTACTATTCGTGTTAATAAATAAGATTCAGCTGGTGAATATATAGAAGATCCAATCACGATTAAATTTACAGTAATAAAATAGCAATGATTGTATTGTATTAGAATAATAAAAAATATGATAACAAACATTAAAAATGAACCAGACTTTATAGCTTTTTAGCATTTAAACTAAATATAGAAGTTTAAATCAAATATAGTAATCCTTAAATCAAAATTTCAACTATATACATTAATATTTACTCATGATAATAATAAAAGTTATTTAAAATAAAGAAGAGAGTAGGAAATGTTATAAATTTATTTTTGTCTGAAAAAAAAGGTTAAAATAATATTTTATCAAGTATTAATAAACTGGCTTTCAAATTTTTTTTAATATATATTTTCTATGATTTTGCAATTTCTAACTTATTTTTTACATCTATATTTAAAATAACAACTTGATTAGTTAATTTGTTTTTGGGTTTGATGAAAAAGCTGTGAGAGGAGTAGGCTTAGGGTGATGCACTTGAGAGTATTTACTTTGAAAACCAGTTCTTATCTTCACTAACATCAAAATGTTTAAACTCATTCTAGAGTTTCACGTGTTTGAAAGTTCTAACGAGAATACAATTTTCTTTTTTAATTTATCGAAATTTATTTAAAGATAAAATTATGATTGATACAAGTTATAGAAATTAATTCTAATTATATTATCAGAAAAACCTCGTTTTTAAGCAAACGTATAATTTTGTAAATTGATATTTTATTTTTCACTTAAATGCAATATTTTTTAGGAAGTCGAAAATTTATGAAGAAAATGCAGGAAAATACGAAGCAAGTGAGATGATGATTATGATTTTGTTGACGGGTAAACGGCAGCCTCGCGGTGCACGTTGGCAATAACAAAAGCTCATAAAATAGATTATGCAATAAAACATCATAAATCATTATTTATCCACCTCACTTTCCACGCCCTGCACGAGGGTTTTTTTTTTTTTTTTCACACGAATGCTGAATTACAAGATCATTTTTTTAAAGTCTTGGGTTGCATGTTAAGGAAGAAGATTAAACGTACAGACAAAGACAATAAGATAATATTTTATGAATACAAATTTTATGAATACAAATTAAAGATTTACATTTTTGTTATATATTTAAATGTTATCAATTTTAAATTCAAGATTAATTTTATGAATACAAATTAAGAACATTTAATTATTTTTGTCATGTTATTTTTTTATAAAAAGAAGAATTGCACTCAACAACTCACACCATAAAGTTGTTGTGCATTGAATTTTTACATCAATTAATAAAGTGAAACTTGAATTCTGTTTAGATAATGATATTAAAATCAACTAATGAGCTGCATCAAAATATTATCTTAATTTCGTTTTTTTAAATAATTCAAATTAAAAGTAGTGTTTTTTTTTATCATACAACCTAATTCATATGTTTTTTTAGTAACCTTGGTATATCTAAATCCATGCATTCTCCAATATCTTGTTCCATCAAAATTCATGTCCCTTTTGTTAGAATTAATTTAATAGAATTAATTTAATTAATTCATTCTATGATCTGACTCATGTGAAATATAATAATAAGTTAAAATATAATTTAATAAAATATGAGGACCTATTGATTATTATGTGAAGTTAAAATAAAATAAAGATAAAATAAAATATTAATTTACGGTAACCAACTTGATGGACGTTGGTTAATAAAAATGGAATAAGGATTCTGTCTCTGTTTATAAGGTTTTTTTCACGGTAAACCATCAAGAAAGCGTGAGAAGAGAAAGAAAGACGAAGAGATAGATTAGAAAAAGGAGATTGGAGAACGAGAAGATTAAAGAATATATTCTTATGGATCAAGGTTAGTTTTCTTATTATGATTCATGTATGTTATATTGTGAAAATCAATAATCTAAAGATCCTATAGAGTAGTTTTCCATAATGAATTAAGAATGTAGGAGAACTACATAATGTTTTACATGTGGTATCAGAGCACTTATTATTAGATTTATGATTTTCCTTGTATGAAAGTTTTCCTAAATATTAAGTTTTTTCCAAATTAAGATAAACACTAATTATGAATTTAGGGATTTCTCTATCGTATTAGTATGAACCCTATAATTTATTCCCAAATTTAATTTTTCTCAAAATTGAATAAATGGATAAGCCCTAATTTATGGATAAGGCTGCAATCAATTTCAAATTGAAACTAATTTGATAAACCTTGTGCATCAATGGTCACGTAATCCTTTTTAATTGAAAAGAAAAGACAAATGACATAATTGGGTTATGAACTTACAATTGATTTTAAAAGGTGAATCATGTATGAAATTGGTTTCATTACATGTTATACTTATAAATGTTATAATTATGATGGAATAATGGTAAACTTGTAAAGTTGATAAAGAGCATGTGTTAAACACACGGGTTTCATATATTATATTATATTATTTATAATATTATTTTGTATGTACATATTGGTGATCTGGTGACTGCTGAAGCCATTTTTTTCCTATATTATTTTGTCCCAATATTATTTGTACATTATTTTGTATGTACATATTTTATAATTAAAGAGTTATTTTTATGTTAAGGTGAGTTGTATAATATACTCATACTGTAAGCTTTGTTATGGGTACTGTAAGCTTTGTTAAGGGTATTGTAAAACTTTGTTAAGGGTACTTGTAAAACTTTGTTAATGTACCTATAATGTAAACATTGATAAATGAATGAATTTTGTTTTGCAAACTGAATTGTATTATTTCAGCTGTGTTTAAATTACTCATAAAAGTTAGGTCTTGGATTGAAAAGCAATCTTAGGATGAAAATTGAAATTATGAGTTTCAATTTTATTTATGACACATAATATTTTATTATGTGAATAATGTACATATTTATTAAAATTAATAAAAAAAATGCTATGAATGGTTAATAGCAATTAAAGATATTATTTATTTGAAATTAAGCATGATAAATTTTGTTAGTCACCAAAGTGGCCAAAATTTTAAGGTTATTTTGATTTCAAATTATTAATGATTTTATTTCAATTACCCATAGTATGAATGCTAAAATTATGAATAATGATTTATGGGTTAATTGAAGTTCATTATTATAAGGCATTTCAGGATCACCCAAAGGTTGATTAGTTGTTATTATAATTAATGAACATGAAAGTAGATAATTTTGTGTGCGTCACTAGTTTTATTTATATACCCAAAGGTGTTAGGTGATTCTAGTTGATGCATATTTTAATTATCATTAATGTTATAAAAAGATTAGCATAATTATGTTTGTGTATTAGTGGATCTCTCAAAGGAGAACATTAGTATGCATAGAATGATTATCTGTGTTTGAATCTGTATTTATGTTTAGTTTTTATGACTCAAAGCATTAATGTTAGGCATGTATTAATTGAAATATTTGTTTATGTATTTCTACATTCGCTTACTTCGTCTGTTCTAGTCTTTAATAGATTAAATTTCCTGACTGGAGTGAAAAAGTCAAGTTTCACTTAGGTGAGTGGGATTTTGATTTGGCTTTCCAATTTGAAAAACTGGCTGCTATCACTAATGCTAGCAGCAACAAAGAGAAAACTCATTATAGAGTTTGGAAAAGGTCAAACAGACTTAGTCTTATGTTTATGCGAATGATTATTGCAAGCAATATTAAGTATGCTTTTTTCCAAAACTAAGGACGTGAAAGAATTTATGAAATTTGTGGAAGAACGCTCTCAAACTGCTGACAAATCCCTCGCTGGTACATTGATGAGTACATTGACCACCATGAAGTTTGATGGTTCTCATAGTATGCATGAACACGTAATCGAAATGACAAATATCACAGCATGACTCAAGTCTCTTGGAATGACTGTGGAATAAAATTTTCTTGTGCAGTTCATTTTGAATTCATTACTGCCTGAGTATGGTTCATTCCAGATGAACTATAATACCATGAAAGACAAATGAAATGTGCATGAATTGTATAGTATGTTAGTCCAGGAGGAGACCAGACTCAAGAACCTAAGAAGTCACTTTATTCATTACGTGAAAATCAAGGAGTTAAAAAGAAAGTTGTTAAGAAACATAAAAATGGTAAAGGACCATTAAAGATTAACGAGTCATCTACTAACATTCAGAAGAAAAATGACAAATGTTATTTCTGTGGTAAGTCTGGACATTTTCAAAAGGACTGCTTAAAGCGTAAAGCTTGGTTCGAAAAGAAAGGTGAGCATAGTGCTTACGTATGTTTTGAATCAAATTTAACTGAAGTTCCTCATAATACTTGGTGGATTAATTCTGGATGTACGACTCATATTTCTAATGTAATTCAAGGATTCCTTTCAACCCGAACCATAAACTCAAATGAGAAGTTCGTCTTCATGGGGAATAAAGTCAAGGTTCTAGTGAAAGTTGTCGGGACTTATCGTTTAATCCTTGACACTAGATATCACTTAGACCTTATGGATACTTTTTATGTACCTAGTATCATTAGAAATTTAGTTTATTTGTCTAAGCTTGATGTTGTTGGATACTCTTTTAAGTTTGGGAATGGTTGTTTCAGTTTGTTTAAGCATACTTCTATGATTTGATATGGTTATGAGTATGTTAAGTAATTCATGTTTACCTGTATCATTATGGATGTATGCTTTAAATATTTAGTTAATAAAATATAAATTACATAATAATTATATTATTAATAATAATAATACTTAATTATTTTAATCAGTTGGATTGAGTTGAGTCCTAAAAATCTCTCATTATATTTTAAGTAATGAAATGATTGTGGAATAAAGTTAATAAATCATAAATATTTAGAGCAGTGAGTATTTGACAATTGTTATATCTAATATACAACTGAAAAAAAATTAGTATTATTATATTAAAATTATTATTAATTATTTATATGAGATAGAAAAATAATAAGTTGACAATCGTGTTATTAAAATATAATCAAGCCTAAAATAATAATATATATAATAATAGTATTTATTATTATATTATTACATGAGGTTATTTAAGGGATGTTTTTGATAAATTGGATTATCAAAATATAATCATCCAGATAAAAAAAAAAAAAATCACTTGTTAAATAAAGAGTCCTATCGGATGTTACTTGGATGTATGTTGTAACTGTCAACAAAAGATTTAGCAATATGTTAATATGTTTATAACCAAGGATGATAGATTGACAATTGAAGACCTAATGTATCCTAAACCCTAACCTCTTTTGTTAGTTACTTATAACCCTCAACTTCTATACAAATTTACCGTTGGAGTTTTCACAAAAACTTCTTCTAGCATTAAAATAAATAAAAAAAGTTGCTAAAATCTTTTAGAGTAAAATATAGCACAATAGAAGCCATGAAAAAGAGTGAAGCAACTCGTGTTTAGAACTAAAAAAGCTTTAAAGAGATATACAGTAATGACATATATATAGCAGTAGTTAGTTAAGTGTGGAAGTGCAGTTTTTGATTGACTGCATGCATACCCTACCCACAAAAAGATAATGATTTTTTTGCTACGATGTTGTTTATGACGAGTGGTTTCCTTTGGGTGAACATATATAGGTATGAAAGAAAGATGCATGGAGATGATGTTGTTGGCTACGTCTGCCAAAGGAAAGAAGCCCTGCAACTGCTTTGCTTAAACTCCTTTTTTCTCAACCAAAATCATCATATTCATGTCATCTTCGTCTTCTTCAACCCTCACACTTCTTATATCATTGCCTAAGAAGCATTGCCATGTGCTCCTGGATATCCTTACTTTCACTGCTGCACTATTGGTGCAATATCGTTTTTCTACACTCCAAATTCTAAAACTTATTTAAGGATATTGAATACATTTTTTTCTCATGATTGCGTTTATATGAAACATTTTTCTTCCTACATCGGCTAAGGATCAAGCGTATTCAAAGTTGATTTAGTTTTATATTTTTCGTCAAAAATAGTTCAATATATCTATATTAGCTTTGTTGGGACTTCAAAAAATTTATTATCAAGGTCAACAAACTAATTAATTATATGCGATAGCTTTATAATTAAAAGAATGAATGGAGTATAAAGAATATTTACACCCACTTTTTAGGTAAACTATGTTAAAACCTTGTCCCCATGATAGTCCTGCTCAACTCTATCACAATGAATTGCATCCTGTCGACGATACCTATAGTTTCTATCCAAAACATTTAAAAAAATAAAATAAAAATTAAAACATATATCTTAAATTATAAACACAAATTAAATCTTAATTTATTTAAATTACGAAAGTATTCAAAGTTATTTTTCTCTTTATACATGTTTAGGTTGAATATAAATATATTGATACAAAACCATCTAAGTTAACTACTTGCATGAATAGGATGGTATTTAAATTTTTAAGTGAAGAACATCCTCCACATGCACACAGAAAAGAAAATGTAACTTTTTATCATTAAATGCAAAACCTGGATTTTTATTTCTTTTTGTGCAAAAGAAAACAAAACATACACTAAGTGAGCCAAGTGAAGCTTTAAGTTTTGGAAAGTAAAATGTTGAAGTAGATAAAGCACGTCTGATACACTATTGGTTTCAGGAGGAATGATCACACAGGAACTGAGATGAGAGTTTTAGTGAAAAACATGGCTGAAGAAAGTCGCATTCAATGAGTGCGATAAGTAAGAGAGATAAACAAGCAGAGACAATATGGAATAAGAACTGCTGCTGCTGCATATTCATCAATACATATGGTCCGGGGTAGAAATCTTTTAAGCTTCTCGTTGCTGCTTCCACTAGATCTTTCTTTGCCTTACGTGATCGTTGGCAAACAAAGTATTAGTGAAAAAAGCAAAAAGAAGCTAAGGGTAAGAACCCACACCATACAAAAGAAAACTTAAATTGTTAATATAAAAAAAAAAATTGTTCTACCATTGCTTTCACCTTGTATACTTCCCTTCTATGCATTATCTCAGTTCTTTCAAAATGTGCTGCTGCACTGCCTCTACCAGACCAGCAAAACCCATAGAGCTATACCACCCAGCTTTGAAATAGTATAACACAACAAAAGAAGCTTTCAAAATCTTTCCACCTTTTAGCTGGAGTAATGCTAATAACACAACTCTAAACTCGCAAAAGAGAACAGTGCTCTCTACCATTGATTCCGGACATCTTTTAAATCAAAGGTAGAAAAACAACGTTGCTTTTTGTGATTGTAGAGTTGTGGCACTACTAATGACAATCACTTATTTTGCTTGGACGCGTCATCACGTCCTGACCATCTTTTCTTCTGGATCTTCAACATATTTGGATCAACGATCTCTAGAGCACCAAGAATGCATTTGCGGTATGAAAAATCTTCAACAGTCCCATCAGTTCGTACTATATGGAAGCACCGGCTATCCTTAAATTTAGGATGCCATCCAACCTGCGAGCGAGTGCAAGAAGAAAACTTTATTTCTCGATACATTAACTGACAAAAGAAGCAAAATTGACACAGTATCTCCTCTTTATCATACCTGCTATATCCGTATCATTAAATAGGAATTATCACTTAAATGCTACTATGTCATAATTATCAATTCCTAATGGCCGCATGATGTTTTAGAGGGAAGTGGATGACTGCTATTTTAAACATTATAATACAAACTACATTTATACTGAACCTATAAATACTCAAAAGCCAAAACAGAAAGAGGCCAACATCAAAGAAATTCATGATAAAAAAGACCACATATAGTACCCATAAATCTAGGGCAACAAGAACAAAGTAATGGAGGTCAAATATGAAAGACAATGATGGAAAATAATAAAAAATAACAACACAGTAGACAAAAATTAGCAAAATGAGAACTGCCAAATCTAAAGGAAGAAATAGAACAGAACATGCAGGAACAAAAATAGTCCAGTAAGCTTTGCAGTGCAAAGGAACCAAGACAACTTATTGTGTTAACCTAGTGGAAAATCATGCATAGCTGAAGTTTTAGAACGAAAGAATGGAGGGGGTAGAGCAAAAATATTGGATAATCTTTTAGCTTGTAATGAACTGTCATGTACAAAAATATCAAAAGTCTGCTGTATTTATCATGAGTTCGACCATGGCGTCATTGCTAACTGACACAAATTTATTAGTAAAGAGGAATATGAGAAAATTTGAAAAAAGAAAAAAGAATTCGGGAGGCTGGGGGGTGTTTGACCAACGTATGCTAGTTTTCATGGCCCCACTGACTTACATCAAGTTCAAAACATATAAATGTTCAGAATGAAGGAACAGACAAATAAAAAGAACTTTTTTAAAGGAGAATTTTAGGAGGAAAATAGAGAAAACATAGAAAAAATTCCCAACTCCGAAATTTAAAGTGCGCTTCAATTTAATATGCATTACTTTTAAGCACATTAATCAAGAAACAATATTTTTATACCGCACTTTCAAACCTTCTCCACACCAGCACACATACCTTAATGTCCTGCGGTCCAATGCCTAACTTCTCACTTCTACGAGGATGAAAATTCAAAACCCTTAGCATTGTTGACCTGTCACTCTCACTCAGCAGCTCATCAATCGAATACCTACACAGACAACAGCCAAAATTCACAATTGTTCTGCAAATAATAGATCCACAATCAAAACAGGCGATCTTAGGCAACCAAACAAAACTGTGTCAAGAAGATATATATACATTGAGTTTGGCAACAATATATATAAAGTAAAGAACTATCCGAACCAAATTGTTATATTAGTTATTTCCTTCTATCAGATAAATTGATAGCAACTGGTCAGAAAATTTTGTAGTTGGTCATATCATACTTTATACCAAGCAAAGTGAAATAGCTACATAGAAAATATAGTGAAGAACCAATATTCTACATGTTTAAGCTATAGGATGAGTCTCAAGTATAGTTTTATATCTCTCATAAGTCTAATAAACTCATTACTCAATGAAAAACTATTCTAAAGTAATAACAAAAAAAAAACACAAGAAAACATAACTGAACATAATATCGTGGAAGCAACTAATTGCAAAAATACCAAAGCATAATGATACATACAACCTTCCAGCTGTATGAAAATGATTACAAAGCAGGAATTAGTTTAGTGGAAGTGCCTAACTTCAAGAAACAACCATGGGATAACAATACATACAATCTTCCAGTTGTAACCATATAATATCAGTTCATGTTAAACATGCTAATGTAGATGTCATACGTATAAATACAGTGCCATATACCATTAAAAAACACAACACCAGAGCTTAGAAAAGGCTACATGTTCTTACTTGTTCAATATGGACCTTGAAGCAAAAGTCAGCTTCTGAATATCATTTACCGTCAGAAAATTTCTCAAAATGTTTTTCCACCGTTTTCCCTCTTTCAAGGCATAACCATTTTTATGCCTAAACTCAGAACCGCATTTGTCAGAATAATTGTTGCGAGAATGAATACCAATCTTATTGTTGGGCTTGTCAAGACTGACTTCTAGCAGCTTATACACATCTACAGACTTAGCTACCTCGTGACCCTGATAAATCAAATGTTGGGACCAATATAAAACAACAGTATTACATGTACAGTTTGCATGATACAAGATAATTTTGCTCCATAACAACCCAGAAACTCTTCTAAGTCTATCCTTACTAGGCACAAACCTAGGTAAAAAATCTCAGCTTCTATGCACTTAACTTGTTGACAGAGAAATGGTAACCATAGTAAATTTACTAATAACAAAACTAGCTTGTTTGAATTCAAAATGGCAGTTGGAGAAACAAAAGTCATACGTTTAACAATCTCATGGCATAAAAATCAGTTAAACTTGTTTATAGAATGCATTACATGCGTTTATACTAGTAACAGGATCACAGGAAAAAAGTCAACAAGTAGGATGCTATATTCTTGTGGGAAGTGGGTCAAACATTTTGTTACTGAAGTGAAATTCTTCTAACTCGCACATACGAGCCTTATCAGTTTTCTATTAAAAAAAAGTGACACTTTTAGGGCAGGAAAGCACTGTTACATTCCTGGTTCTTTAAAAATCTACTCCTATATTATAAATCTTAATTTTTATCTTGGAGAAGAGCGGTTTTAGAATCTATTTTTCAAAACACTTTTAGGACTTGTCATCACTCACATTGACCTTATATATATATATTGAGCAGTTAATTTTGTGTTTCAAAATTTTATTAATTTCAAATATACTTCTTATAATTTTAATTTCAAATATAATTTAGTCTAACATCTAGTTCAAAAAATTTCTTTCTTGAGTATCTCAACCCACTCTCTTTTTTAACAATTACCTATTTTAGTATAAATTCTCAATAATAAACCCAAAAATATAATTTATATATTCAAAATATTTGATATACTATGTATGTAGTAAAAAGTGTTTATTTATTAAAAAATTCAATTATATTAAAAATAAACATTTATGACCTCCATTGGGTTTGGTGGATTTGAGAGGGGTGTTCTCTAAGGTCTACTTAGTGGCAGAGTCTTCGTTGCAATTTGTGGTAGTGGGGGCCTGCATTACAGCGGCCCCTATTAAAAAAGACATCTATCTTATGCTTTACAAGGACTAAAATACTTGTGGAATAATCTTTGTGATATCTAATACATTAAATCTGAATGGAAGCAAGAAAATTAATTAATAGGTAAGATAATAATTAGTACCTTCTCTGAATATATGATATCAAACAGTCCACTTGTCCCCATAGATGGACAGTTTCCCCAAGCCAGTGCATCCAGGCTGCCCTGGAGATTATCCGTGACTCCAGACTTGGCAGCTTTTATAAAGCTCCTACCCGGATTCTGCAATAAGATTTGATATTTGAGCATAACTATATATGAGTTATCAAAAATTTTACATGAGAAATCATATAGCATTGACTAGAATCATAAATGTGAAAACTGACAGAAAAGCAAGCTTGCACAAATGGTGATGAAACGGACGCATGTTGTCTTTGCTGTGCCATGCCTTTAGCATTTAATCCCACAAATTCTCCACTAGCTGAGAGACTATTGGCAAGAAGACGCAGATGCTTAGGAAGGATGGACTTTCCAGTATCACATATTGCAGATTCCAAACCCTACGCGTAAACCAAATGCAAGAAAATAAAATATACATATACATTACCATATATTTCATTTGGAACCTAAAACAAAGGAAGGAAAGTTTCTAATCATACACACCTTGTAATAATATTGCCACCCTACATCAATTCCATAGGCTGATGTAAGATGATTTATGTTATCTGGATGACTACGTGGCCAGTCAATTATCTGCATTATCTTGTGACAATGATTAAGAAGCACACCCCAGAATCTTCCACTGTTACCCACGGTGGACACAGTAACCCTCAAGTACAGTTCACCAGAAGAACCATTGTAAGAATTTGTTACTTTTGATTGATTATTCCAGAGAATATCAACCTTTTTTATGTCCGCAAATCCTAAAGCATATTGCAGGCATGTGATAATGTCAGGATATGATAATATTTTACCATAACAAGCAATGCATATTCGTGCATGAATCAGATGCAGTAAAGTTGGTGATAGGAAACCAAATTTATATTAGAAAAAATGTACCTATTTTGTTTACAATTATGTGCCTTTAACATGGATTCTCCAAAAAGAAAAGGATTAGAAATAACACTTTTAATTTCACATTTATAATAATACAGTGTAAATTTTTTTGTAACAATCATTGAATCATAAAAGTTTCACGTGACAATAAAGAAAACTTCAACTGACATATATGCAGCAAAAACATAACAAATATTCAAAGCCATGTTTTCTGTTCATGAAGGTAATTTTTAAAAAGTTTGACATTAATCACCACTTGAAACAACAGAATATTCATATTAGATTACTACCAACCTTTTATTGTTGTTCCTAGAATAAAAGGTATCACAAAGTCCCGAACAGAATCCAGTTGTATAGAATTGTCAGAGTTTTCAACAATTGTGACTGTGATGCAATCATTACCCTCGTGTTTATCTATAGAAGTGGCTTCACCTTCCTTAGTTGTGGAATCAACAGAACACTTTCTGCTATTTCATCGTCTAAGTTAGTAGGGATCAGTAAAGCTCCAAGCAAGAATGATAATTAGTGCAGAAAAGTTAGAGATGATACAAGTGGTGCATTAATATTATATTACTATTATTTTACAGAAGAAGAAACTAATTAAGACAAAGACAATACTTTTAAAAAGTAGAAAACAGTTTTTCATTACTTATAATCCTCAAAATAATATAGTCACAACTGGCCTTTCCCAAATAGAAAGGTGGTTATGCATCAAGGTCCAATAACTTTAAAAAAACTTGACCTATTCATACCAATAGCTCTATTCAATCATCATAATACTTTTTTTTTTCTTGGTCAAAATTGCCAGTAATGAAAAAATTTGGTCATGTTGTAACTGAAATTTTGGGTACATATCTGCATTAAACTGAATATTACTAGAAGCACCATAACAGAAGAAACTTACTTGCTTGTTATTTTCAAGTTGGTAAAACAAACTTTTGGTTCTTTTCTCTGGGAGTAATATCTCTGGTAAAGAGAGTCAATGATAGAATGCACTCTTAACTTCCTTCTCATTACAATTTCCTTGTTTAAATGAAAGTGGCAAACCCAAGGACTGTATTTCTCTACGCTGCTGCTATCATGTGGGGTGAATATTATCATCACAGTAGAAACAATTTTTGAGAACAGCAATTTTTCCAAATAATTCTTAACTTCTAAGGCTGCATATTCAAACCCATGTCTCTGTTTTCCAACTTTTTCAGACAAAAATAAAGAAGCAGTCTGGTCACCATTTTTTTTCCTTGAACCACACTCAAGAACATTTTTCAAATTCAGCAAAGGTGATGTTTCGAGTAGACTAACTGGTTGATCCAAAGCACTGTATCCAGTTTCTGAAATTGCAGAAGCAGAAAGTGCCCCAACAGGTTCACCACCAATAGCATACTCTTGGAAACTTTTATCAGATGAATTGTTTTCTTCAATCTCATAAGGAAACTGAATAAGTTGATTACCATATAAATTTCTAACCGTTCCATCATACGCAGCAAACAAATCACGCATGAAGAACATAAGTTTCCGTGTTAACGTTCCAGGAACATCGGCATTTTCACTGAAACCACTAGCTCGGGTTGTCATGGAATGAACAAAACATTCGAGTGGATTCAACCCAGTTAGATAAGAGCTTTCAACCACAGCAGTGGGAATGTAAGACTGAACGGAATCAAGGGTACTAGAACATATCTGGATTGAATCAAGCCTCTTTTGACTATTCCAAGCAGCACATGAAAGATGACGGGGTAGTTTGTATGACAAGCGGACCAGAGAATTTTGCATCCCAAGACACATGGAATGTTGCACTAATTTCACTAAACTACTCTTGCTTCCAGCCTTATTCATGACAAGAAAAGTGTTGTCTTTACCTGCATATTTGTCAGCTAAACTTTGAATATTACGAAAAACATGCCTAAAAGCATCAACTGACGCTTGACCGAGAGCAGCAGATATTTGTCTTTCATAATTCAGACTATCTACATCGATAATCATAGAATTTTCACTCTCTTCGTGACATCCAGACAAAAAATCACAATAAGGATCTAACAATAGCTGCTTGAAATTACACGCCTGCTCTGCATCTTGTAAGCCATAAAATATTTCCTCAATCATGTTTTTTCGTGCATAGGAATCGGAACAGAGGTACAAATCTGAGAGTGAAACACTAAAACCAGTCATAGATAACCACTCATACAGAACTTTCTGCGCCGCATACAAAAAGTTTAGAGATTTCCCTTGAAAATGTTCCACAATACTCTGGAAAACATTGCAGTCAGTATCACGTAGCCAACCAGAAGCCTCAAAAGAAGATACAAGCTCCCCATGTCTAACAACAACGCCATCAAAAGGAAATGAATAGTCAAAATCAGATGGCAAAAGCATGCTAAACAATTGCTTGCCGCTCCAAAATGAGCGGTTACTTGAAGGAGCTTTAACAATTGCGGGAGGAGTTAAGCTTTTGTTACAAAGCATTTGAAGCTGCTGCATTTGGTAAACATCTAAAATGACCCCATCTTCCATCAGCAAATATGCAGCAGTTAAACTATCCTCGGAAAGGGAAAGCAAATTTCTACCACTTTGCCCATTAAACAATTGCCTATCTAAAGCAACAAGCTCATTAAGCTCAACTCTAGCACTAACTGATTGTGGAATATACCCGTGAAGGCAATCACCATCAAAATCACCACGAAGTGGAGAACAACAGAGTGGGTTAATACACACTACAGAAGATATTGGAAGGACCCTAACTGTGAGAGCAATCATAGAATGTTGATGTATGGAAGGGGGCCTATTTATCAGAACCTTATCCCCATCAACAAGAGGTCTATAAAATTGGTCTCCTATCTGTAGATCTTCCTTTTTAAACAAATGAATTGAACAACCCTTTCTGCAGACATTTATCTGTCCCTTCTCTAACAAGCGTAGCTCACAACAATAAAGCAGCTTTTCCAAATTCTGCCTGTTCACATATTCAGAAACCTGTAAACTTTCAGCAATATGACAAGGTATGCCAATTTCACTAAGCTCAAGGTATGGATCACCAACAACCACAGCACGGAATATACTATCATTGCGTTTTCCCAGAACCACATCTTTTATCCATCTTAAACCAGAAGAATTGCAAGCATTTTCTGCAACTTTCCTTTTTTTAATATCAGCAAAAATACTAATAGGTGTTTTATCAGGATTTAGCTGCATTTTAGAAAAAAAAAACATAAGCAAAAGACAAGAACCATGACAAAGTGACATGAAAATTACAGAAACAGAAAAATGGCTGAGCATCTTGCCTTAGAAATCCTCAGGCAATCCAAAACACGAGAACTTAACTCATTGGCTGTACCCCTGAAATCAACTAATTTCTTGCAAGATCGAGTCCTGTCATCCTAAAAATATTTAACCAGATAAGTACCTTATTAAAAACAAGGATGTTAACAAATACCAGCGACAGCTTATAAATGTTATTACATTAAAAACTACAAAAAAGGCAAAAAGATATATACTTACAAAACTCAATCGGTTTCCATTAGAAATTGCGTATGGGACTTCTGTTACACGATGACAATTTGGAGTCACTGGAAAGCAATTAAGACTCATCAAATTCTTTCTTGGAATATACTTTTCGATGAATTTTGGATCAACATCATTCAACAAAGAAGTAACCTGAAAATAAAAAATATATGAAATTTACACTGTTATAGCTCCAGTAAAAAAGTATGACCACGTAATAGGAATGACCCAAAAGCCCCACAGCAAATTCAAAAAAGGGATGTTTGATTTCTAATTGCCAAAAATGGGAAAACTATTGTCATCAGTTTTCTTCTTCTAGTCAATTAAAAAAATCAAAAGGTATTTCAGGAAATGGAAGGTGATAGAGATGTATCAATTTGCATAAAAGGAAGAAACTGTGTTATTCAAATTCAGTAAGATGAAACGAAAATACAAGAACAATGTCAAAGGAAGTTGCCAAAGTCCACCCAATACCCCAACCCAGTATAACTTTTTTCCTTTTTCTCCCATTCACCCACATGCACATTGAGACTAAATACACCACTCAGCGCATTCTCTCACTTTGCCAGCTAGGCAGAGTTAGTTACACTATTCCCTCCCTTTTTATCATCTTCTGGTGCTATATGCTTCTTTGGCCTTCTAGAATATACCTTAGTAAATCCGTTGGGCCCATTCACATGGATATCGTCCTTTTTCGGTTCATTCACATGAGTATCGCCCCTATTCACATCAATACCCTCCCATTCAAGACTCACCTTCTCCTCGAGGTCAATATTGGGGAACACACATCTAATTTCTTCCATTACTTCCCAGGAGTTATCAGGCAATTGTTGCCACTTCACCAGTATCTCCATTCATACTAGGATTATCAGCCAACATTTCTTTAGGATTAACTTTCAACTCCCAATCATTAGCTAGGAAGGGTGGCACTTGTTGAATAACTATACTTGTAGCTACTACTTTCTTCAATAATGAAACATAAAACACAGGATGTACTCTGCTGTCTTCAGGCAATTTCAATTTATATTGTAGCTCCTATCCTTTCCAACACCTCGAATGGTCCATAATATCTTGGATTGAATTTCTGATTGGTCCTATTAGCTAATTGTTTCAGCTTATATAGTTGTATTTTCAAGAAAACTTGCTCCCCAACACAAAATTCTACATCTCTCATGTGCTGGTCTGCTAGCTGTCTCATTCTATTTTGTGCCTGAACAAAATTTTCCTTGAGTTCTTCTAACATGTTATTCCTTTCCGCTGTTAAGGGTTGAACTTCATCTACAACAGTCAGCCTTATATCTCCCCTAATCACCACAGGAATCTTTCTTCCATATAAAGCCTCAAACGGATTCATCTTAATATAGGAATGGTAACTATAATTGTACCAAAATTCAGCCCTACTCAACCATTTAGACCACTGTTTCAGCTTGTTTTCAGTCATACATCTAAAGTAAGTTTTCTAAACATTTATTTACCACTTCACTTTGGCCATTCGTTTGGGGATGGTAAGCAAAACTATACTTCAATTTAGTTCCTACTAGCTTGAAAAGTTCACTCTAAATAAGCTGATAAATACCCCATTCGTATAAGAGACAATGGATCGAGAAAATCTATGTAACTCCACTACCTCCCTCAGAAATAATCCTACCACATCCTTGGCAGTGTAAAAATGAGCAAGGGCAAAGAAATGAACATACTTAGTGAGTCTATCAACCACCACTAAAATAGTATCTACCCCCAAAGTCTTCGGTAGGCCTCCAACGAAATCCATGGAAATGTCACTCCAAACTTGAGTTGGAATAGGAAGTGGTTGCAATAACCCTCTAGGACATGGAGCTTGATATTTATTCCTCTAGCATTCAGGACATGCCTGAACATATTGTTGAATTTGTTGAGACATGTTTTTCTATCTTTTTGTATTTTTTGTATATGTTCCTTAGACTAGGGTTAAGGGTGTGGACTGATACCCATATCCTCTCTGTAGTATCTCCTTTATCTATACTGAAACCCTAAATAAGTTTTTCAAGTTGATATCAGAGTCAAAACCTAACATCTTTCTGATTATTGTCTTAGGTCAAGAGTTGCCCTTGGGTAAAAAGTACCCTTTGCTTGGTCCGACAGGCTTCGTTGGAGGAAGCGTGTTGGAAGTCCCACATTGCCTACCTCATGTCATTTGATATGATCTAAATTAATGTTAGGCTACTTCACATATTGTCAATTGGTTTTATGTTAGAACCTTAACATGGTATCAAAGTTCAATGATTCTCCTCCTCTTCTTACATATCACCGCAGGACCCTACCTATACCTTTACCAGATTCTGCAGATAATCGTGGTTCAGAACCTTCTCCATCAGCTTCCCATACCATGGATCTTTCGACCTCCTCTCCCACTTCTGATTCTGGATGGCCTATTGCACTCAAAAAAGGTATTTGTTTCTCTCGGAATCCCTTTCTTATTTATAGCTTTTTAAGTTAATGTCGTTTGTCTCCTTCCTATTCCTCTTTTGTTGTCTCTTTGACTAACACCACTATTCCTAATACTATCCATGAGATTTTTTATCACCATAGATGGCGACAAGTCATGATTGATGAAATGCAAGCTTTTGAGCACAATGGCACTTGGAAGCTTGTCCCTCTTCCTCCTGGAAAAAAGGTGGGTCTATGTAGTTAAAGTTGATAATAATGGTACAGTGGATCGTTTTAAAACTCGTCTAGTAGCTAAAGGCTACACTCAAATTTATGGCCTCGACTACTGTGATTCCTTCTCTCCAGTAGCTAAGATTTCCACTATTCATCTTTTCCTTGCTATGGTTGTCATTCATCATTGGCCCCTTCACCAACTAGACATTAAAAATGTCTTTCTTCATGATGACTTTGAGGAAGAGATTTATATGGAGCAACCTCCTAGCTTTGTTACCCAGGGGGAGTCTAGTTTAGTGTGCAAGCTACATCGGTCTCTTTATGGCTTGAAAGAGTCACCCCGAGCTTTATTTGGGAAATTCAGTCATGTTATACAGTTGTTTGCCTTGAAGAGTGAAGCAGATCACTCAGTGTTTTATTGTCATTCCTCTTCAGGCAAGTGTGCGTATCTTATGGTTTATGTTAATGATATTGTTATTACAGGCAATGATTATACTAAGATTAGTCAACTGGAAAATCATCTATTTGCTCACTTCCAAACCAAAGATCTTGGTCAATTGAAGTATTTCCTTGGTATAGAAGTAGCTCAGTTTAAGGAAGGTGTGATTATCTCTCAAGGAAATATGCTCTTGATATTCTGAAGGAGACAGGTTTAACAAATTGTAAACTCATTGATACCTTAATGGACCCTAATCAGAAATTGATGGGAGATAAAGGAGAAACGTTGTTAGACCGAGAAAGATAAAAGAGGTTTGTTGGTAAAAAACTCATTTATTTTACTATTACTCGACCTGATATTTCTTATGCAGTTGGAATAGTTAGCCAATTTATGCAAAATCCTTGTACTGATTATTGGGATGCCTTGATTCGCATTCTGAGATATGTTATGGGGGCCCCAGGACAAGATTTGTTATATGAAAATAAGGGTAATACTCAAATTTTAGGTTATTGTGATGCAGATTGGGATGGTTGTCCCATTGATAGAAGATCTACTACTGGTTATTGTATCTTTATTGGAGGGAATTTGATTTCTTGAAAGAGTAAGAAGCAAAGTGTTGTTGCTCGATCTAGTACAGAAGCTGAGTATATATCTATGGCACTTGCTACATGTGAACTTGTGTAGATCAAACAACCCCTTCAAGAATTAAAATTCTGTGATAATGGGCAGATGAAGTTGTTTTGTGATATCAGATAACTCTCCATATTGCCTCCAACCCAGTCTTTCATGAAAGAACAAAGCATATCGAGATTGATTGTCACTTTGTTAAAAAAAAGTTAGTGTCTAAGGAACTTGTAACTGAATTTGTAAGCTCCAATGAGTAAACTGGCGGACATTTTAACTAAATCCTTTAGAGGTCCTAGGATTCAGTTCATTTGTTCCAAGCTTGGTGCATACAATCTATATGCTCCAGCTTGGGGGGAGTGTTGAGACATGTTGTTTTTCTATCTTTTTGTATTTTTTGTGTATATTCCTCAAACTAGGGTTAAGGGTTTGGGATGAGACACATATTCTCTCTATTGTATCTCCTTTATCTATAAATACAATATAATAGTACCTTATACCTTTAGACACTGTATTGAAACCCTAAAAAAGTTTCTCAAGTCAATCCTTCTTCTCATCCCTTCCCAACATACCACCCATGATATTCTCTTATAGGTTCAAAAAAAACTCGAATGCCCACCCAAAGTTGAATCATAGAATTCTTGCAATATTCCATCAATTCTAGGAGAGTTCTTAGGAATCACCAACCTACCTTTGTAAAATAATTTCCCATGTTTCAGTTCAAACCTGGGAAACTATCTGTTTGGCTCCACAACCCTTGTACAATTCCCTTCAACTTCAAATCAACCATTATTACCTCATCTTCCAAACCCTCTCATTGTTGGTTCTACACTGTTGACAAAACTGTATATTGCAGTTTTCTACACAAGGCATCAACAACACATTTTCAGTTCCAGGCTTATACTTCACATCAAAATCATAACCCATCAACTTAGAAAATTATTTCTACTGCTCTTCCCCCATTAATAGCTTGTCTATGAGAAACATAAGGCTCTTTTGGTCAATGTGGACTATGAAATGTCTTCCCAGCATGTAGTGTCTCCACTTTTTAATAGCCAAGACAAAAGCCATTAATGCTCTCTCATATACAAACTTGTTCTGGGCTAGGTTATATAATGTTTGGCTCATATTGTGTTTTCATCTTATTTTAATATATTATCCATCTTATTTTGATAAGACCATGACAATAACCTTTATTATTTTTCTTTCTTTTCTAAAAAAAATTATTACTAATAAACTTATTATATTATAAAAATACTATTTTATTGAATTTGGCTAAACCAATTGAACCTTTAAACCCTGAATTCGTGTCTTTACTAATTTAGTGACCAAGTTTTAAAAACATTGCATTTTTTGATAAGGAAATAGGATGATCATGCTCTCTTTTGGGACATAAACCTTCTATATGTTGAAACACAACAAAGAATAGTGTCAAGAGTTGACTTAACTCACCTCTAATTACAAATTACAAATTTCACTTGAGTGTCAATAAAATTAGACAATGCCCCGTAGACAATCAACTCCAGACAATGCCCCGTAAAAATAAAATTAGCAATGGCCCCTGAATTACTAAAATCAACTCCTGACAATCCCCTTCTTCTATTATTTCCAAGGTAAAATGTTTGAGTTTACAAACATGGTTATGTCTCCATCTCCCTCCACATTTAAAACAATCCTTTTTCCAATTTTTATTTTCTTAATACCAACACCTCCTACATTGACCTTATTTTCAATGTGAGCCTCGACTCCTACTTTGGGCTTAGCTACATATGTTTTACTTCTCCGTGGGTCATTTCCCAAGCTACTAAGTCTCACCTTCCACCTATTCGTGCTATCTCCTCACTCCTTTCTCACCACCTTCTCCTCCATTATTGCATTGTTCCTCTTTTCGATGAGTAGTCCATGATCTCAATGATCATTTAGAAAAATGCTAGAAAGCATCATCCTCTCTTGTCTCTTCAAGAGAGCAGCCAAGATCTCAGAGACCTACCTCTTCTTTGTGATCAGCTGATGCAAATCCAGTATTTTTTTTTTTTTCCTTTTTCTCCCCTTCACCCCCATGCACATTGAGACTAAGTACACCACTCAGCACATTCTCTCACTATGCCAAGTAAGCAGAGTTAGTTGTTGGACCCATTCACATGGGTATCATCATTGTTAAGCCCATTCACATTCGCATCAAAAGGTCAATAAATTTATTATACTGATAGTTTATAGGACTTGTGTCAATGAAACCTCACAAATGTCTTTATAATTGATGAAAAAATCATTAAAATAATGTTAATTTCACATTCTAAAGGAAATCAATCCCCAACAAATCTTAGGACTAATTCTACATTTAAAACACCCACTCTCAAGTTGACATACATACATACATATATAGTGTGTGTTTTGTTTCTTACTCCATCAGATTAAGTTTCATCCTAAGAGGACACAATGTGCTAAATGGGTCACTATCAATGCAGATTTAATTTCCTCAAAAGGGATTGTGCTTATGTTTCTAATTTTGGTATAATGCAAAATTATCGTACCCCAGGGATACAAAACTGCAAAAGCATGTAAATGTGGGTGGCGCTACCTGCCCTGGCGATAAAACTCTTCTATTTACATAATTATCTTCTTGTTGAGCATCATAAGGAATAAAATCCCAATAATCAGCAGGTAGGCTTCGTCCTAAAGTTTTCTTTGAGGCCTTATCATTCACTTCAACAATAATTGCAGTTCTTCTATAGAGATCATTGGATGAAAATTTAAACTTCATTGTTGGGTAACGACTCGTCCCATTTCCCTGTTTCATGTGCAAGTTGTCATACCAAGCAAACAACATAGTAATAAAAAAAGGAAATTTAATATGAAGCAAATCAACAAAAGTGAGGACACAACTTACAGAACAATATTTGCAACCAATAGACCGCTTGATTCCAAATATTAATTGAGCACCCTGTAAGAAGAAAATTGAACTATCAATAGGAAGTAAGATAACAAGAAATAACAAAATCCAGACAGGTATGTAACATTGTACTACAGGTCATGGAACTTCTTAAATGATGTCCGATTATACTTTAGAATCCTATGTAATTTAAAAGGTGGGAAATATTTGGGAAAGATTTTAAAATCTAAAAGTTTGCCACATGATCTAAATGAGTAGTTGGTTTAAGTATGTTAAAATGAAATAGCAGTGGACCAAAAACAAACTCTTCATTATATTAAAAATCAGACTAAAGTATATCAGTATTATTTAGAAGCAAAATATATCTGACCTTAGATTTATGTCGAATAGATTTACAAACAGGGCAAATATTATTCAAGATTTGTGCAATCTCTGACATAAAATACGGATGGAGTATGGGGAAAGGAAATTTGATTACTCCAAAATGACCTGAAATTCAATATTAATGCTTTCAGCAATTTTACGAATATATTACAATTACCATAACAAAATCTCTAAACACATTTTTCATATATTATGTCCATTCAAACCTTCACAGATCCTTTTGTCTTTGGAGCCACAAGTGGCACACTCATCAGATGCATTTGGAAGTCCCAAAGTAGATCCAGTGACCTGCCCGACTGAATTTATCTCCAAAACAGAGAATTTCTCCTATATATGTAAAACTAATTAACATTTAATATGTGGTTCATATATTATAAAGAAGACAGAAGATAATTATAATTCGTAATCCATTCCACCCAAAAGATATCTTTTAAAAGGTAAACAAAAATTAATGACCCACCCTCCACTCATTATTAATGTTACCCAGTAAGTGCATACCATTTGATCCCAAGTACCAGTGAACTAATATATAGAGAATCATTAAAAAAACTGAAATGGACATAAGATGAAGAATATACTTAACTATATCTTTTTCATTTAAGACATCAAACTTTATTGCCTTTATGACACCAGACGGCGCTTTGTTTACATGAAAAAGCTCATCATCCATGGAACTTGGTAACCTTTCACTCAGCAAAATATTTCAAGTAACCTGTTCATTTGTAAAGAGTGAAAATATGGTTATGAATACCACCGGTACTGATACAACAAAAATTTCAAAGAGCTATCGACAGATAAAGGAAAATATGTTATAAAACTTTATAAAGAAAACAATTTATAGATAGAAAGTTTCTAAAAAATTCATGATACAAAAGTTTTATAAATTGTTGATGGCAAAAGGCCAAAAAAATTTCCAAATAAACACGCCATTGTGGCCTATGGCGCTGTCATAGCAGGCCTCCCTTTCCAAATTGCTTATGGCAGTTGGCAAGTCATTCTATCACAGCACCGCTATTTAACAAAAATGTTTAGAAATCAGCAACATAAGGCACATCAAATGCCCTTAAAGAAAGGAATTCTCTGACATGTATCATAATGTCAGCAAGCAGTTAAAGACAAGAAAAAAAATCCAAATTGTTTGCAAAAATAATGATATCAATCGCACACTACTGTTTCACCAATAAAGACCCCAAATTTTCTTAATAGAGGAATTCCCTAGAGTGTATTAAGATGTCCCTTGGTAGTGAAAGACAAGTAAAAACTGAATATTGATGGCAGAAATAGTGTTGTCAATGGCAGATGGTGGAACACCAAAATTCCATCATATAAACACATATTTACGGCCTATGAATGGTGGGCCTCCCCTCACAAATTGCCTCTGGCAGTTGACAAGCGATTTCACCATGGCACAGTCATTTAACTATGATGTTTAGATATCAGCACCTTCATTTTTCTGACAAAGTACAGTCAATAGCATTTAAAACCAATGGAATACTATCGAAACAGTGAACTGCACGTTTCCAATGTGCCTCTTGAAAGGAAATTATCTAAATGTGCCTCTTAACAGAATCATGGAAGTTTAATGACAAATTAGAAACAACATCCTTCAAAACCAATGGTTACACCTGCTAATTGATAATTCTACTTCCCAAACCAAACCAAAACCAATGGTTCACATTATCATGCTGGTATAGCCACCAAGTTCTTCACCCAGAGGCCTATAAAGTGTCCAAAGTAAAACCTCAAAAAAACACGTAAGTTTACTCCATTAGATTTTTCACATTTTAAAAATCCACTGATAACACAGAAAACATACAACATACGCCAAGCTCCAATACCATTTCGTAGGCCAAACCCTCGAATGGTGAATCCAATCCAAGTCGCCAACCAATTCACAATTTTACAAAAGAAGTAGTTAAAACCAATTCCCACAAAACTCAAGCAAAACCAAACACAAGCCCTGTTTTGACTCATCGGAAACAGGGTGGGCAAAAAACTCAGCTCTCACTCAAAAGCTAAAATTCGCAATAAGTATTATGTCACTGCATACATAATCATGTGTCCTCATTTGACCGTAACAAGGCACCATGCCTGGTTAGATAAGAACAGAAAAGAAAAGGGAGAGGGAAGGAAAGTAACGGCATGCACACAAACGTGAGCCATTGAATAACACCTTATGCAAAACGCTGCTCTTTTATCCCCTTCACTGAATCTACAAGTGCAATTACGGTAACATGTAAAATCTGAGTTGAAAAATGATGAGAAGGAAACACAACATCGTGCATTTAAAGGATAAAAATCTAAAATGTGTTCAAACGAAAAACTCCCTTCTCCCAAAATGCAAAGCAGACCCACAAACCGCATGAGCTTGAGAAACATAAAATCATCATTGAAATAACCTGAATGAATCAATTTGGGGCCTAGAGTTTGCAAAGCACAATCATGTACCATGCAGCAAAAAATATCATGCACATTTTGCCGCGCAGTACAACTACCACCGTACTCGCGAATGATGAACCGATCAAAGGAGTTTCAGCAAAAAAAACAAAACAAAAAAACTGAAAAGGAGTTTCATTAGAACGTGAAATAACGTTAGCAGAGATAGAGTGAGTGTTTATTACTGACCCCAGTGAAAGGAGTGAATGATCGTGTTGGCAATGCTCTTTGAGGACCAAAATCAGAACGGAGAGCAAATTTGAGTGGGTGAGTGAGTGTGAGAGCGCAGTAAAGATGAATGAAGAAACGCCGGTGGTCACTTTCCAAGTGACCACGAGACAAACGCCGAGTGTAGAGCAAGGCCGCGATAGAAGGTTTGTCACTCTGCTTTTGGCTCTTGTCTCTAGGTTATATATAACCCTTCCCTCTGCTTCGATTTTACGCCTTTACCCTCTCCTATTACTATTGTGATTAGGTGATCTCATACCAACGTTATTTTCAACTGATTTATCCATACACTTCAATGCAACCAACCAAGTAATATTCACTTTTTTTTAGGTAAATCTGTAATTATATATTAAGTAAGTTGTATCAATTAAACAGCACACTAACATTTAACTTTGTTTTTTGGTTTGTAGAGAAGAAGAAGAAACCAGAGTGTAAAATTTGATACATTTTACTTGTTTAGATGGAATAATTTGCAGAATAGGGAGTGAATGAAATTGTGGACTTCATCAATTTATGTTTAACTTAGATATTGACTTAGATTGAAAAAGTCAGTGTAATAGTATATGTTTATTTTAGATTCTTTTTGTGCTTAGCAACTTTCAACTCTTTATTTTTTTTTATTTTTTTTTTTCACTTAGTATACTGTATTTGATATTTACATAAATAACACACTTTTTTTTTTAGTTAAGAATTCGTTTTAAAAGGTTCAATTCTAACCTAGAACTCATCCCATTCTTCTCCAAAAATCAGTCAAATTTTGGTTCTCGAAAAATTGATTTCTGAATTGGTTTTATATTTTTTTTATTTTTTTTAAATATTAAATTAAAATAAACAATAAAATTATATAATAAAATGTATAATCATTTAATGTAAAAAATTTGAGAAATATATATTTATTTATTAAAAAAATTAAAATAAGTAAATAGTAGAAATTTCAAAAAAATAATAATAGGAAGCTTTAAGAATAAAAAAATTAAAATTATGGTGGTTTAATGTAAAATTAATATTGTTATTGAGAAATATAATTTTATTTATTAATAAAAAAATTAAAAAGTAAATAGTATAAACTTTTACTACAAAATAAAAATAAAAATAAAATGAGTTAGGATAAATTATTTGAAAAAAGTTTTAAATTATAGTTATTTAGAGATAAGTAAATAGAGAAAAAATAATAAAATAAACATAAAGAATAAATTATTTAAAGAAAATTATTTAAATAATATGCTTGCAGCGTGCCAGTATGCTTATGTATGTCTTATTAATTTAATATTTAAATTATTTATTCATTTTTATTTAAATTATTTATTCATTTTTATTTAAATCATATGAATTTTATTTATATATGCTTTTAATAAAATATTTATATAATTTATTTCATATTATATTAGAATTAAATAAAATAATTTTTAATACAAATATTATATTATATTACTATAAATATTAAATAAATACTTAAATATTATATATAATATATTTAATAAAGTTATTTCATTATATATATAGATATAAAAATATTTTAATTATATAAATATATATGAAATATTAATAGTTATATATATTAAATATATAGATATATAAAAATATTTTAAATATATAAATATGTATAATATATATAGCCAAATCGTCGTTAAAATTTAATTTCTTGGAAATCGAATTTCACCTAGTATTTTTCAAGAATCGAACTAATTACAATTTACAAAGAAAAATTGGGCTCCCAAAAGCTGAATTATAATATACCTTTCAAGAGTCATATTCCCTCATGTATTAATATTCTGTTGATGAAAACTTGTTAACACTATAACTGTTATGAAATTAATTAGATTATCATGATCATGATTTAAGGATTACAATAATATATAATTTTATCACAACTATTGACTTTTTCTAAGGGATAGATAAAATAAAATAAATAAAAAAGAAATCAAATTAAGTGAAATTTTATTAAAAATATATAAAAATGTTGAGTTAATAAAAAAAATTGTCTGTTGTGTTTTATTTTCTTTATTATATATTTCATCATTTATAAGAAAAATTCATAATTATATATATAACAAAAATTGAATGAATTAGACAGAAATTGTTTAGATATACATATAAGTAGTTATAGGACAGTTTCGTCATAATTAATTATATCAGTTATATAATTTTTTTTACATAAATGTTGATACAGTAATGTAGTTTTGTTTTATTGTCAGAACAGAAGATAAATTTTAAAACTTATTTATAATGTATTTTGTTTTTGGGAGTTTTGTAATATATTATATTTTTAGTTCTGTATTTTATTTGCTTATAAACAAATTTAAAACTTAGTTTTTAATGTTTATTATTATTATATATGAAAAATTTTAAAATTAGTTTTTAATGTTTATTATTATTATATATGACAAAGAAAAAAACAATACATAAACTATTTGAATTGATTTATTTATGAACATTAATGTGATTGGTTTTTAAAATTTTTTTACTTTATGTTGTGCATTATGTTGACTTTTTAAACTATGATTTGAATGATTTTGTAAACTATTTTCAGAAATCAACATTCATTTTCATTTGATAATCTTTAATCTTAAAACAAAATTATTTTAGTAGTTAATTAAATTATTATAATTATTATATAATTTTATTTTTTAATATAAATCAAATTATTTATAATTTTTTTTACATTTATTCTAACATTCTCTAATTCAAATAACATCATTTGACATTTTTTTCACTCACATGAAATAATTAAATGATACAAGTATATAAATTATACGATGTTTAATAATTTTTATAACAAATTCACTAGTGAGATTAAATTATTGTGAATAAACTAGAAAAAATAATATTATTGCAACTATGTATTAAAAAAAACAAATAAATTAGTAGCATTAATAAATATTACTATTGTAAATTATTAATAATATAAAAAACATTTCAAAATATATGCATAAGTTTTATTTATTTTTTAAATAAATAACTTTTATAGAATAAAAACTCTACTTTTTCTCTACTAGATAACTTTAATTTAAAATTTGTTTTTATATATTTTTCTTCTTCTTATTTTCAACCAAAATATCTGCACTCCCACTTTATTTCTCACAGGGTTTTTTTTTTCAACCACAAAAAATTATATTTCCACTTGATTTCTTACATTGTTAACATAATTTATATTTTCACTTTATTTCTTACAATATTTTTTTCTTACAACCATTTTCCGTTTATTAATTTTCTCACTATCAAAACATATTTGTTATTTTTCTGTCAGACAGACACCAGATTAAGGAAAACATTTTTCATCTCTTTTCATATTTTGTCTCTCCTTCTCCTTTATTTCCAATTAGAGAATGCAGTTTTCTTTTATGAAATAAATATAAAAATAATTTTTATTTAATAAAATAAAGATTATTTTATCTTATATAAACATTTATAAAAAATTAACATGTTTTAACCTATTTCCCTGAAACAAAACAGTTAACAATATTAGTTTATTAAAATGTTTTCGATGTTAACATATTAAATATATTTTTCTTTTATATTTTATATGTAAAAACTAAGAAAGAATCCAGTTAAAAAAAATCATTACTCTTTGACCATAATTTCAAGGTTCTTCCCTATTATCATGACAAATTACACAACTCTCGAGTTCACAGGTGCAAATACACTGATTCTCTGTTTTGGATTAGGTGCATCAGATGACAGTACTGGGACTTTCATTTTATTCTTCTTAATACATCAAAATCTCCACTTTATCAACACTTTAGTCACATTCACTTTTTTTACAATATTATAACATCTATCTATGTACATTTTCTAAACTTTTCTTCTCGTACCCTTTGATAATTTGTAAATAATAATAAAAAGTGTAAAATGTAAAAAAAAAATGATAATAGTAAATAAAATAGATGGTGCACGTGCATCAACATCTTTCAAAGAAAAAACATTCGAGTTTAGCGTGATCCTTGGTCCACTTTATTTGTCTTTTCTAATGAAAAAAAGAACACGTGAGTGTAGCAATTGAGTGGCTTTCACTTCCAACAAAAGATGTTTAGGTAGACAAGTTTTCTTATTTGCGATGCCCTCGAATAATTTGAGTATGGTTCAAGTTTCCATGAAGTTGTCTCTGTGAATTAGAACATTAGTGTTTAAAATAAACTCATAAATATTCTTTCAATAAAATTCAAATAATTTTAATTTTAAAATTTATATAAAGCGACTTAAAAAATATATATTTAATTTTATATCCTTTATTTAAACACTATTGTCATAATTTTGTATCTTTTCTAAAATCATTAGACAAGTATACTTTTTCTTAAATAGTATGCATGCAATGATATTATATGGGTAAACTATATAATCAGTTTTTAATCATGAGAGATCAAATAATTTGAATTTTAATGCGTATCTCAAATATAATATAAATTACTATTTAATATGTTTATTTGTTATAAATAATTATAGAGATCATGATATAATCCTCTTTTTTTTTTAAATCAATATGATTATTAATCTCTTATTTGTTAAACTATATATTAACTTGTTTTAATTCACCAGAATCTAAACCATTCAATATCATTAATTAAATCAATTAAATATTAAGATACATTCAGTGATTTTTTTTTATAACAAATAATTTAAACTTTAGTTGTAGAATCAATTTCAATATTATTTTTTTGTTCATTAAGTCAAATATAGACTCATTTTAATATACCGAAATCTAAAGTATTCAAACTCCATTAATTCAATTAAATATCAAAATAATATTTATTTATATATTAAAATTTATTATGTTAATGTTTCTTTTCACTCTACAGATTGGTAAATTCTGAAATTAGTTTCCCTCTTTCTTTTCATGTCATTTTTTTAAATTCTGAAAATATTATATTTTTAGTCACATTTTCTCTTTACAATATTATTATTTAACATACCAACTTAATTTTTTAATTATGTTTACAATTTTATCAAATAAGCCCATTAAATTAACTTAATTTTCATAACTAGGGTGTTATACATTACATCTTATTATATGTTTTAAAACTATTAATATTCAACAAAAACAAATTACTAACTCTATGATATTGTTTCCTACACAGGTATACAGTTTAGTACTTATAATCATAACATATTTAAATAAAAAATTTCATTATTTTATTATAATTGATTTAAAACTCATTAATACATACGTTTTATTTAAGGCAATAGAATTAATGTAACATAAATAATATTAAACTAAAATAACAAACATTTGAATGTAGGAAATAATTTAAATTCAAATGTATGAATTTTAATCTTATTAAAATTGTAATTACAATAAATATTTTCCATAATCAAACATTAAATTATATTTTCTGAAACAAGATAGTAAGACAAGTGTCATCTGATAAATGTGGAACTTTTAAAGTAATTTTTATGTTAGGTCAAATTGATTAAAAAATAAAAATATATAATATATTTACATAAAATAGTTGAAATAAAATAAAATAAAATTTTAATTTATATATAATAATTTAATATATAAATTATAAAAAAGATATTCATTCAAAATAAAACTTTCTCTTCAATCTCTTTAAATTTTGAATAATATAATAATTTAAAATAATATTTAATTTTAATTATATTATCTTATAAACAGGACTCATATATATACATAGAGAGAGGTTAGTCTAATTCTAATTTATAGAAGTCATAGATTAAACAAATTAAATAAAATATAATATAATTTAAATCATTATTTTTTTATAATTTAACTTATTTTTAGAACTTTCATATCAAATTATGTAAACAAAAATCATTCTCCCTCACTTCGTGTGTATATATATATATATATATATATATATATATATATATATATATATATATATATATATATATATATATATATATATAAATAAGTACTGTTAAATAAAATATTAAAAAAATATGATAAAATATTAAAAAAATTCAATATAAATTAAGAGATTTTGACCCATAAGTGAATAAATATTTTTCTATCTACTTCAAGTTTATACAGTTTCAAATATCTAAACAGTAAAACATTCCAATTACTTTTTAATGAAAATATTCATTAATTAAATATGAGTGAACATATATTTATTAATAATATTATAATTAAAAAAATTAGTTTTGTATAAAAAAATAATTAACTCCAATGTATTTTATACTTAAAAAAGCATGATTAATGATAATATGAAATTATTATAATAGAGTTTCATAAAATATCTTCGTATTTTATGTAATAAAATTATTTTAAAACATTAATAAAATTATATATTTATAATATTAATAAATAACATAAATAGACTTTTAAAAAAAGAAATTACTCTCAGTTCTTTTAATCAATCTTATCAATATGTTATGTATTCATGATTAACACGTTTTTTCAAATATTGAAAAAACTGTGTAGTTAACAAATGTTTGTTGAATAAAAAAATGTCTCAAAAAAACATAGGATTCATTAATATATTATAATAATTTATATTAATTGTACAAGTTCTTAACAACGTGACATGCTCTGTCTCTATCTACGTGTATATTGTGCCCATTTAAAATCTAACTCGGACCTCTACAATCAAGTTTCTCAAAGTGGCTGAAAAAAGAAACAAAACATTGTCAATGATTAAACTTTTTACTAAAGAGAAGATTTTCTGCTGCAGAAAGAACAGAGAATCTGGGTTCCCTAAAATCCCTTCATCATTTCAACAATGTCCTTGAAAAAACAAAGATAGTTAACGTATTGAATAAATAACCATTAACTTTCATGCTGCAAATAAATGATGACAATAATAAAAATGAGAACTCCAAGACAGAAATATTCAACATTATTGCATGTGGCATTGATTAATGATTGCAGTTGTAGACTATTTTAAAAAGCTGCATAGCCTAGCCTGTGTGCAGCTATATACACAAACAACAAAGTACAAATCTACAATTACCAACGTATACGCTACTGGTATGATTATACTCAGTTATTCATTGGTCCAGGTAATCTTTGTGGTCTTCAACCTTTCCCACTATTTTGTTCTTAAGGTGTGAAATTGTATAAAATAAATTCTTTAGTTGCTTTTAGAAACTTTATAAATAATTAACTATTTTTTTATTATTATAATTTTTTTTAATTATTGTTAATATTTAAGTGAAGAAATTTGATTGAAATTCTGGTTTAAAGGTGATAAGAGAAGATAGGAGATACAAGAAGGTTAAATACTCAATCACAAATCAAAATGGATATTGAAGCATATTGGTATAGTAGTCTAAATGTCTGTTCTTACAGATTAAAAAAAAAAAAAAGTTGTCGAATTTTATCAATATTTTAAATATATTATATATGTTTTTAAAATTTGACTTTATATTAGTTCGAGTTAGTAAATTACTTTTGACTTCATAAAAAATTTTAAAAAATTAATATTTATATACAAATAATTTATCAAAAACATTTTTAAACATTACAAAATCATTTAAATAAAATATGTTTTTAAAATTTAAATTATATTAATAAAATTATTTTTATTATAGATATAATTATTTGATAAATAATTTATGAAAAAATTAGTGATATAATGATTTAAAATAGTTTATTTATTTTAATTCTTAATTTTTTAAATAAATTTATTCATAAAAAAATTTATGATATATAAATATTAAAAAAATAATATGATTCTTATTTTTATTTTTAATTTAATTTATAAAATAAATTTATCAATAAAACTACAAATTAACCTAAAATTGACCAACTTTAAATTAACTTAATTTAATTTAGTTTATAAATTATTGTGTTTGACTTGACTTGTTTTCAAGTTTTATTTAGATTAATCTATTACATTAAACTTATTTTGACATTTTTAATAATTAAATTTTTATTACACTAATAAGATAAAACAAGTTCTAGAGATATCTAAATAAAAGTGAATTAATTATTCAAATAATAATATATATGTACTGTAGATGTTTAGACATCTTACAAATTGCAAGTTTCAATTATATTGATCTTGAACCGATTTTTTGATGAACAATGTAATAGGTATATGTTGTTATATTGTATATTAATGCTGATTGGTATTCAAATACACAAGTACTTTTTAAATATAATATTTGTTGATTAAATGGGTCAATTGATGAAATATATGGCCTAAATGATAATATTTTGTTTAAACAACATGGTGGTTCATTATAGTAAAAAATAGTAATTATCATAAAAAAATTAATATTATAAATGTGTCACTTAATTAGGGTGTAATACATTTGACATATTAATATTATTTTTATTTAAAATTATTATTATTTTATAAAAGATATAAAATCTTAAATTTATAAACTACCTTACTTTAAGAATTTATAAGTTAAATCAAAATTGATATAATTTAATTTAGGACAAAATTAATCATTTTGTGTAACTTTACCTTTTTTTTTTTTTTTTTGAGGTTGACTAGTTAGACAAAACCTATTTTGACACTTTTATGTTTAGATAATATATCTCTATTGAATGATATTAAATATGTGATAAAAGATGTGTAGTTAAGACTTAATATATATGTGAAAAATGTGAAGTTGAGTTAAGCTAAAATTAATTTCTAAAGTCATGAAGTATGAATGTTTGTGTTGAGACTTAATTAAGTTTAAGATTAATGTCTATAATGTGTATGAATGATATAATGTAATTTTTGTTTGAAATTGATTTAAAAATAATAAAATTATATCAAAGAGATATTATGATATATTAATATGATAATTATATACTGACAAATTCAAAAAAATTATAAATTCAATTAATAATTTTAATAATATAATCTAAGATATTAAAAAAAATAAATGGACCAACATGAATATATAAAACATGTAAAATTTCAACTTATAACCAATTAACAATAAAAAAAAGTCAAATAAATATATAAGTTACTCTTACAAATTTGAATTAAAAGAATATCTCAAAATAGAAAATATTTATTACAATATTTTTATAGATCTCAAATTTGAATTTAAAATAATCGATTAATATATATATATATATATATATATATATATATATATATATATTATCATGAAAATATAAAATAATAATAAAATTTATTATATATATTGATTCTCACGTATTTTTAATATAAATTATAAAAATAAAACAAAATAGTAATATATTTTTTTAAAGATTTTGTTTATAATTTTTTTATTTTAATAAGTTAATTTTAATTTATAATTTTGAATATTTAACATATAGAAAGTTTATATTTTTTTCAATTGAATAAATAAATAAACCAAAACAGATAAAAAAAAACTAAAAACTGATTAATGATTTTTTTATGTTGAGATTTTAAAATTAATTGATTTAATTTAGTTATGATTTTGGTACTGAGATCATCAAAATTAAAATTGAATCAAAATTATAATCTATAAAAAATTATCCTTTTATAATATAAAACATATATTATTATTTAAATTAAATATAAATTTATATAAAATTTTAAATTAAAATTATGAATATAATATATATGATATTTTTATAATATATTTTTTTATCAAATTATTATTTAATTATAATATATTTAATAAAATTATAAAAAAATCACAAAAAATATTAAAAAAATTGTAAAATATTAGTTTTATTTATTTCATTAAAAAAAACAAAAAACAAAAAATAAAAACTAAAATCATGTGAATCATATTCAAATTTTATATTTATTTTGAATAACTTCTTAATATAAAAACAAATCCATAAAATAAACATCCTATTTTCTTATTATAATAATTAATATGTTTTGTTCTATAGTGCCAACCAAAAATTGAATACTATTAATAGTCACGAAACAATCTTATGAGAGCTTCATACTTGTATTTACAAAATCAGCTAGCACAGATTTCATGAATGGAAAACATTGACTAACTTGATAAACTCTTATTATAAATTAAGAAGACAATAACAAAAAAAAGTTTAGCAAAAAATTATTTTGAAAAACATAAAATAATCAACTGTTTGAATTTATTTATCACAAAATTCATATTTAATATTTTAATATAGTGGTTTATATGCATTTTTTTCATTGAAATTATCTTTATATTCTATGGAACAAATTTTAGACTTTTATTTTTTTCATCTACTGTGTAGCAAGGTTTAAAAAATAAAAAAAAATTCACAATTTAATAAGAATGGTGTTGTACACGAACTGAGGGATAATTTACATTAAGTCTTTTCACACAACAGTTTTGTTAATTTACAAGAAAAATAAAAAAGATAAAATATTTTTCAATGACCTTTGATGAAATAACAAATGGACAAATCTATAACTAGCTATTACATTATATATATATATATATAATAAATGACTAAAACTTACAACATATGATAAAATTATTATTACAATTATTGTCTAAGGTTAGAACATATAATTTGATTTGTTTAGTTACAATAAAATTTAATTAAAAAATAAGTAAAAAATAAAACTTAATTAAAATAATTTGGTTTGCTAAATGTACGTTATTTCCCCATTTAACAGCGCCTTAGCTAGGTTTCGAAACCAACGCAGCTGGTCTTAACCGTCGTTAATGTGAAGACGAAGTGACGCCGTTGTCACGCTGCCGTCGAGAACGACACCATCCCTCCTATTTAAGTCGTCTCTGCCGTCGCGCCAGGTTGGCCCTACATTTCCCCTTCCCACTACACTGACGTGTTCTGATTGTTGTTTGTTGATTGTTAAAGCTGGCGCTGTCATCCGCGTTCAAGCATTCCTAAGTCATACATACGATTTAATTTATCATTCTGTAGATGGGATAAATTCATAAATATATTTAATAGTTTATGCATTAAATAGATTTCTGAGTTCTTTCTCCATTTTAGTCTGTTTGTACATACTATATATATTCATTATAAACCCATATAAACCTTATTTGCTCACATGTAACGAACCAACCGTGCTTGCTACCACTCTCCATACCTTGACAATGCTTTTCAGGACCTGGCAATGGAATTGCTTTATTAATCTTAGTGCATCTGATTATCCCTGAGTTACACAAGATGGTATGGTGATTGGAATTTTTTTTTTTCCCTTGCTTGGCAACAGTCCTATTCTCAAATCAAAACTGGAGATTAACTTCGTTCATTTATTTATTATGAAAAACAAACCTTTATTATACATGTTGATATTATCAAAAGAACAAAACAAAAAAATATAAGAAACAACATCTAAGTTTTGTCTGTTTATTTTCGCCACTCACACTTTCTTTAACTATGTGAAATTATCTTATTAGTGCTGATTGCAGATGTTAATGATTGAGCTCTTGATTACATTTTCTTTTGCAAAATAGACTAATGGGTAGTGGAGCTCTTGAAATTAATTGTTTAAAGAATGGGGAAGCTGAGAACAGTCTTCACAAGCTACCTTCTCAAGCTCCTGCATGCGAGAACTTGCTTTCTGATGACAATGATGCTGTTGCTGATCATGAGAAGCTATCACAATCACATCTCGACGAGAGCAAGTTTGATAGGCACTTCAAGTTATGGGCTCTTCGAATCCCTTGCCAACATTGCAAGGTTGCCACTCGAATCCTCAATGGGTCGGTACCTTGCTCTGCCCATTCTTTCAATTCACTTGCTTTTGTTTTTTATTTCTACTTTATTGACTGTGCAGTTACTTATTCAACATGCCCCGAGTCAAACCCATCATTGAGGACCCTACCTTTGACAAAAACCGTTACCTTATACTCTCCGACAAAGTTCAGAATCAAGGTGTTTATGAACTTTTGCTTCTATAGAATATCTTTCTTGCCATTGAAATTCTCATTTTCTGACTTGTTTTCAATGTCGGGGGGCAGATTTATCTGATATTCCAAAGCAAAAGGTCGACGAGCTTAATGGCTTGTGTAAAATTGAAGTTGTGCCCTATTCATTGACATTAGGGTATACTTATTGGAGTGCAGGTGAGTGAGTGCATAGTGGTGTTTAAACCATACTGCAGAGGCTGCCTTTGATATTGATGGAGTAGTTGCTTTGAAATACCTCTTTACTCAGGACTATCATAACAAATTTGATAAAAAAGTTACATTATTTCTTATAAAAATATAGACAGATAACTATCATATTTACCAAATTGATGTTACTATGCTTTGTTGGTATTACATTAGCTAGAAACATAATTTTTTGATGATTCTTTTGTTTCCTACTGTGAGGTTTCCCCCATCCTAAATCATTTACAATTGTACAACAAATTTTGTGTTTGTAGATCATGTGCTGAAGCAGATATTGCCTACTGGAGTGGAGGTGCCTTCATCCTTTGAAACAATTGTTAAGTATTTATTTATTTTTACCTTTTTAACTGCTACAAATATAATTTATTCATGGTTTTTTATCAACCCAAACACTTGCTTTGTTAATTCTTAAATCATCTTTCATTGGGGAACAGTGTTTATTTTCTTTTATTGAATTTGTTGGTCAGCCACTGATATCAGGTAAACTAACTAACAGCTGTTCAACTTATACAGGTCAAATTGCCCATTTAAACCTACACGATGAATTACTTCCCTACAAAGATGTTATCGCAAAGGTTATTTATGATGTATGTATGACTAAATTAAGGTCTAAGACTTGAAGTCTCAGTTTCATTATATTTTGGTTATTCTATGCATCTCTAGAATTCCCTTGCTATTTTTTTATTCTCGCAAAGGGCACTACCTTTACTTGTAAGGAGTTTGGTCTCTTGATTTTCTTCTCTAGTTATGAGTTCCTATTGGATCTATTTGATTTTGCTTCCTCATTTTAGTCCTATGTTTCTGGCATGCATATCTTTATGTTGGTTCATGTATGTTTGAAGCAAAAAATGAATGATGTTATTCTACAGACTAAGAGATTGCATTGATGTTTGTATTTGTTTCAATACCATGCCCTTTGCATTGTAACAATGATGGCCATTTGAAGATTCATTCATGGATTCTATATTTGAACTGTTAAGCATATTGTATTTTACTTGTTCTTCCTATTAACTTCTGTGTTTTTACTCTTTATGCAGAAAAACTATCCAAGAATCAAAACTATTGTCAATAAAGTTGGAACCATTACAAATGAATTTCGTGTGCCAGAGTTTGAAATTTTAGCAGGAGAGCATAATATGATCACAGAAGTGAAGCAATATGGTGCCATTTTTAGGCTTGATTACAGTTTGGTTTATTGGAATTCGAGATTGGAACATGAACACAAAAGGTTAGTCTCAATGTTCCAAGCTGGGGAGATCATTTGTGACATGTTTGCCGGAGTAGGTCCTTTTGCCATTCCTGCAGCACAGAAAGGATGCATAGTCTATGCAAATGATTTAAATCCAGGTAGCATTCACTATCTGAGAATTAATGCCAAAATCAATAAGGTTGATGATCGTATTTATGCATACAACATGGATGCTAGAAAATTCATGTCCCAGTTGATGGAAGTGCCAAATAACGAGGTTACATCAGCACACTCACCCGAAGTTCCCAGTTTGGATACTTGTCACACATGCAAGATACAAGACAATGATGAACCAAATTCTGAAAATGAGTTGCTCACTGGTAACATCTTTATGGTAATTAACTGCAAGTATCTTAATTATGATATGAGAATGTGTTCCGTAGTAGTTAATACTAATATTCCTATTGTAGTTGATACAAAAGACCTAGGAGATAGCAATCATAGTGGTGTAGGGGATGTCAAGGGTTCAACCAGGCACACTGCTACATCTGTAATTGCTGGGAAAAGATCTTTTACTATTTATCATGAAGGTATTCCACAAACTACAATATCAAATCATGCTGTCACTAGATGTATTACTTGATCATCTTCTAGCGCTTATAAAAGATTTAGGGTTCATTTGGTACTCTTGATATTTTAGGATATGATATGTACAAGGATAGGATACTAACATAATAGGATAAAAACAAGATAAACAATTAATTATATCCAATTTTTGATGCACCTCATGACCAAGACCAGATAACATGCATGTTGCAGTGGTGGTGATGATGATGACGATGGTGACAATGATAGTAATAGTAGTGATGGTGATAACGATAGCAGTGGAGATAATGACAATAGTAATAACGAGATGATGATGGCAGTGACGATAATGGTGGTGAGAGTGGTTATTACAATGGTGGAAGTGTTGGTGATTGTTTTGACAATGATGATGCTGATAGCATTAACTACAACGTAAGATGTGATGCTTAATGGTGGTGGTGAGAGTGGAGTGCCATTTGGTATGTAGAGATGATATAATTATAGTGATGACAACAATGGTGGTGACAATGGTGAAAGTGGTAGGAAAAAAATTTACAACAATAATGAAATTGATGGTGGTTGCTAACAACCATGGTTAGGTGGTGGTGCTAATGTGATGATTGTTGTGAAGGGGATGATAATGATAGTAGAGGTTATGTGTATGGGGAAGGTGTGGTAATAACAAGGGTGATGGAAGTGGCATCAATAACAACAATGACAAACAATGGATGGTGACAACGATGGGGATGGTGAAGGGTGTTGATGAAGATAGTGATTGAAATGAAGGTGGGCTGGTGGGAGAGTAGGAAAAAGGTTGACTATCCTATTCTGTTGCTTGCTAACCTGTTCACCTCTCAAGATAAGAAATGCACTACATTAACAGAATATGATATACAAAAGGATAAGAAAATCAATCACATCATATGGGTGCATAAAATAAATTATTATAAAAGGGTATAAGTTATGCTATCATATTCTATTATATCCTGGTTACCAAACGGATCTTTAAAAGGCATAACATATTTGTTTAATAGTCCTCATCTTCTAAGGAAATTATTACAACATTGATAAAAATAATCGGTATAAGTTTTGTTGGTAAAATTACAGTTGTTTTCATTTTACAGGGAATGAAGGCGCTCATGGAACTGGCATCCTAGAAGGTAGTAGAAGAAAAGGAAGCACGAGCAAGAGAATGAGAAGCTCTGAAATCTGTGTCACAAAAACTTGGGAACATATTGATCACATAATAATGAACCTGCCTGCATCTGCTGTTCAGTTTCTAGGTACAACACCGTTTGATATAATATGCCTTTTTCTTTGTACAAATCATGTGGCCTTATTCCTTTAGGTGAGTCTGATGCACAGTTGGCAAGCCCAACGTATCCGTATCCAATACGTATCCGATACTGAAGTACTGATTCACTTGGATACTTAAAAAATTTGTATTGAAAACGAATAAAAAAAAATCCAAACAAAAGTAAAAACAGAATAACAAATATTTTTTTTGTTATTATTATTGTTAAATTAATCAAAATAGGCATGAAAGTTTTATAATTTAGAATATAATATTATCTCTTGATGAACCAGACATGAAAATTATTTTATTTATTGATAATCCTCAAGAAGGAGATGAAATTGATACTATTTTTATTTCTAAAACAATAAGTAATTATTGTTAACTTTTATTTTATATTTAATTTTTTTTAAAGTCATATATACATTTAAAAATATATTTATTATGTTCAATTTAAATAATATTTAATAATTATATATAATATTTGTTTTATGAATTATATATACATGTATCTTAAATATATCGAATCTTATATTTTTTTAATATAAGACTAATCATCATATTGATTATCTGATACTCTTATATTTTGTATCTGTGCACCATGGACTCTTATTTTTCTCCATCTAAACGGATTAGGAACATTCAAACATGTTCCTTTGCTTAGTACATTGAAATTGCAGGCAATTTTTCTTCCATCCCCTTGATTGTTGAGCAGCTCTACTGTTTTAAGTGAATGTTGATTGATATCTTTTTTGATATGTATACTTCGACTATTTAAGTTTGGATCCATTACTATCTGGCTGAGGCTTAACGTATTTCGTTTACTGAGCCAGCTATCATAATCTAAACAAAGATTCATTTATGACATTATTTCTTAGCCTTTTGTTTAGTGTGCTCTTCAATGTGTTTGAATGTAAGCAGTTTCTTTTGCAATACTCTTTTTTTTTTACTATTATTTGTAATTTTATTACCATTTTAAGATTTATAGACAGATATTTGACTTGAGATGCCCTTCCAGATTCATTCAGGGGATTAATGCGGAAGAAATATTGGAAAGGATGTCTCCCATGGATTCACTGCTATTGCTTTATTAAAGCGACTGAAACTCCTGAGACTATAATAGCTGTGAGTTCGGTGTGCTAGTAGTTTTTCATGTTTTCCTTTTTCTATAATAAGGCTAGAATATCAATGACTTTACTGTTTTGTAGTATTTAAAATATGCCATCCATCTTGATCGCTTACATATCTAGATTTTGGTTAGCTACTTGGATATGGACAATGTTAAAATGTATGTATTTTATTTGTTCGGATAGTTAATTGAACTTTATCTTGCAGGTGGCAGAATCTGCTTTAAACGCTCCTATACAAGACTCAAAATTTCATAGGGTTAGGGATGTGGCTCCAAACAAGGTATCAATAATTCAATATGACGTTGTTGATCGTTTGGGTGGCTAATTATTCTTCTAATTGTCTTGTAGAACACTGGAACTTGTATACTTACCTACTCATGGCTTGTGCTTTTTATTTACTGTGCAGGCGATGTTTTGTTTAAGCTTCAGGTTGCCAGGAGGATGCCTTAAAGAAGATGGTCAATAGCATTGTCCTTGGTGATGCTGAAGAGAAGATAGCTTTGTATAACACTACGATAGTTTTCAGGGTTTTACAGGGTGCATTGATGGATTCAGTGCGAGTTTTATCCGACTCAAAAGCAAGCATAGTGAAATATGACAAATTTAACAGGATGGAATGGGCCATGATTGTTGAAACTATAGAAGGATATTTATTCTTGTTGAGATGCATCTTATTCCTGCACTTATGGTTTCAAAGCAAAAAGTGCCCTGATAATTTTCAAGCCGCGTTTTGTACTTCTTTGGAATTATACACAATGAACAGTAATACTATGGTATCTTGCACTGTATGGATTATTCTACGATAACTACTCTACAAATGTAGATTGTGGGCCAAACACAATTCTGTATAACGCAAGAATTATTTTTTGATAATCAGCTGGTGAATTTTTTGTTCTCTTGGCCGCAAACCAGGCTGAACAACAAATATTTGTTTTTATGCAAATTCATTTTTGTTATTAAAGCATACGTCTCTATGAGGCAATAATCAATGTTATATAGACTTTAGTGTATTCCTTTGTCTCAGACTCACTTTGTAACGTCCAAGAATATTGTCTAAAATGTACTCCAGTTGCACCCCATGTTCTTATGTCCCCTTGTCTCTCTCAACAACTGCTCTTATTTTCTCATTATAAATCCAACCCAATTTTCATCATTTTAATACTTTATGCTCCAAGTTGGATCAGACACACACTATGCTAAAATGAAACTTTGATTCAAAAAGGACGAAAGAGATAAAAATAATATGTTTTACGTAAATTATTAAACAATTAAGTAACACGGGGTGATTCACGATTATTATATAAATAAATAAAGATGCAGTCATTATTTTATACTACTTTATACTCCAATCATACTTTACTACTTAAAAAAAATTAAATTACTAAAATAAATGATAAAGATAAAAAATAAATATATAACTCTACTTATAAAATAAGTAGATCCTTCTTTTCAATATAACACGTATTAAATTTCTAAAATTTGAAATAAAATAATTAATAATATATAATTATAAATTACTTAAAAATTAATTAATATTATAAATAAGTGAAAGTTTTAAAACTAAATAATTTATTACGCTAAGAAGATATATTTTCTTTTCACAGTGCAATCAAAAGTTATTTTGATAACCCAGACTTTAAAGAAAAAACTTTTTTAACTTTCCGGTTTAAATTAATCTATTTTATTTGTCTTTTTAATAAATGAATAAATTCAAAGATTAGTTTTAAATTATGCAGACCATGTTTATGTACATATACTATAAAAGCTGTTTAAATATGAATATATATATATATACAGAGAGAGAGAGAGAGAGAGATGTTTGTGTAAATGTATCACTCAGTGTACCGAAAAGAAAGAAAGGAAAAAAACGATGAGGGTACAGAACAGAACTGAGCAGAGTATGATGCTTCCTGACATGAGGTCATTGGCGTGAGAGTGAAATGACGGGCATCACACATGGCTCATGCATGGCACTGAAATTTCTGTCGTAAAGCTCTTGTTTTTAGTGCACATGGAATAGATAAATGTGTATCTCTGCCGTATTTTATGTCCTTGCTTCTTTTATTGTTTGTTTTCCTCAATACCAGTTAATCTATTATTAGATTCCAACTTTTTCTAATAAAAGCATTTCAATTGAAAAAGATTAATTTGAATAACAATGAGAAAATTAATATATTATCTTAAATGATATATAATTTGAAAAAGAATGAATAATGATAATGTTCCTTTAATTAGAAAACAATACCTTCATTGATTGAATGTTACTTTAGTTCGAAATGAAGATAATTTTGGCAAAAATTAAGTTTAGGGCGAGAAAACTTATATTTAGATGCTTTTGCTTTAAAAATAAACTAATAATAGAAATTAATATAAAATTTGTATTTAATACAAAAATTATTTATTGGTGTTGGGTTCAGTGTGCAAAGGTCAGAATTCATGCTGATACACGTATGAAGCTACACATAATCTACTACTTACTGCAGAATTGATTTTATTGAATACAATTTTGTAATCAGAAGCAGGTAAGTACCGTGAAAAGTTACTGTAAAAATGGACATTACCCTGCAACATATTTTGAACTGCCTGCAGGGGATCCTGTTATTTCATTTATTTACTATTTTTAGACCGAATCCTTTTATAGAACGAATTTAGATATAATATTGTAAATATCATTCGTATTGCCATTCAATTAAAATTAACATTACATCTTTATAACTTGGGCGATTTTAACTGCAAACATGAAGACAAACAATTAAGATAAAATACAGATTTTGATTGAAAAATGATATTAATGTCAAATAATAACTTGCCTTGGTTTCAGTTTTGATTCACAACAAATAAAAATTGTCATACGTGGCTTAAAAAGTAACAATTTTGTAGCCTTGTCAATGAATCAGAAGTAATATCTACATTGGTTTTACGATTGCTTCAATGCTAACAAAGGTTAAGAAAAAGGAAAAAAAAAATAAAAGTATTATATTCAATGAACCAAGATGTTAAATTAAATTAATTGAAATTATAATTTTATATAAGAAAATGACACATTAAATGATTGTGTGCATCATCTTTAACAAAGAGAGGTCGGTCGCATTAATCTAAGGTATTTTATCCGACAAAAGGCAACTACATTCTTCTCATATGGTACATAAGCAACAGCCTCCAATCACATGGTTCGGAAACGCAATCTAACACAACGCCTTATAGAATCTTAAAATTTTGTGAAAGGAAAAATTGACGATGGATTCAGTATTGGATTTCTTCAAATGGCTCAAGGTGGCACAATAATCGTGGCTCTAGTACTCTCAAGACACTGGAGCATATTCTTGGATGGTTGAAGCCAGCTTATTTCGATCATCTTCTGTTTTCATACGGATCAAGAATGTACGTGCAACTACACTATCGTTATCCCCACCACTTCCTTCACCAGTACCCTACAAAAGTCTCAAGTTTCACATACAATTTCCATTGGCTATTCAATCAAACGTGCTGTAAAAATGCTTAAATAAATAAATAAATAAATAAATGAGAAGATGAAGACCAAGAATCAAAATCAACAAGGCCTGTTAAAACAACAACCATCACTGGCATAGGAGGAGGCATATTGAACCTAGGAACAGATTAGCCAAAGGGAGTTTAGAACACCTGACTTTGGCCGGTGATCATCCCTTTCGGTTATTGTAGATCTTGATCCACTGTATGCTAGTCTAATCATTTCAAGTTTCCTTTCTATTCACAAAACTTTCAAGTTTTTTTATCCAATACATTGGTTTTTCTATTGTAGCAATATTTAAATTCTTTTCAGTATCTGCATGCAAGCTATCTCTAAAGGTATTTAGTTAAACAGCAATATTTCGAAACTTACCGAAGTATGGAATATTGCAACAAGAGAGTTCTTCTGTGGGTTTGTCTTGATTCCTGGATACAACAAGGCATTGAGAAGAATTTTTCCTACCTGCAATGAAGGTTCTCATTTAAATAACTACAACTATAGTTTACATTTACATCAACTACCTGAAAACAAAGATACTAGTATATAAGCATTACAAAAATGGTAAAATTAACAAACCTCATTTCGAACAATAATTGTAGGTTTGGATTCTTTGGTAGCCTTGCTGACACCCTCTTTGCATTTAATAGACAGTTGACCGATTCCTTTATCTTTCCATGCATCTTTATCTGCTGGATCACTTGACTGGGCATACCAAGGGTAAATGGTAAACAGAGTTATAAGAATGAACAGAACAGATCAAGCTGAACTGAAGCAAGGGCAGAAAAATAAAAATGCTTTCCCAAAAACTATAGTGACATACATGAGTATAAAATAAAACTATTACAAAAATACCTTCACATAAAGCTTGCACTTTACTTCATGAACTACGACTACACCTTTCTCTTCGGTCTTCTTAACTGATGGGCTGCTAGGCTGTTCCAATTCATTTTCTAAGATCACAATAAGAATATTTTATTCATCATCCCGTAACTTTCTAAGAAAAGTTATATTTTATAAATGTCATGAATATTATTGAATGTAACTAAGCTGGTGCAAATAATGGGCAAAATTTATTTAAGCTTTATAATTTATGATTTAGCGATATAGCTTCTGTATAACCTATTTTTTAGCTTATGAGAAAAGCAATGCAACACCTTTTTTAAAATTATTTGCTGTTTATGTTTTTGAAGAACTTAAATAGTTATATTTTTTAAAATATATCTTTTAAATAGAAAAAAAAAACATTTTTCTTTTAAAAAAAAAGAAAAACTCAAGCAAACGGGTTCTTGTTAAACATGGCAAGCAAAAATATTTATTGCTTCCATGAAGCTGAGGCACAGTACACGGTCTTAAGTAATAGTGATTAACATGGCAATCAACTTGGCATGTGCAACAAAAAACATTAGCTACTGAAAGTAGTTCGTAAGGGAATTAAAAATTCAGAGACGCCCTCCATTCATGGAATTTCCAAAAGCAGGGAGCAACCCCCTACTCCCAAATTTAACTTAACCATATGCTCCAAATAAAGAATATTTTGAAACAATCGTCCCTTTCACCCTTTAATGTTGTTCAGCAGTATTCTAAACATCTTTTACTAATCAGAAAAAGAATGAAAGAAATAAGATTATTCAGATTTTACAAGATAACAGAGAACAATGAAAAGACTAGTATCTGAAGTACCCAGTTCAGTTTGTAGGGATAGATAACACAATCGTTGTATCACTGCTTTTCTTGTTCAACAAGAGTTTCTTTCACAATTCAATTGGGAAAAAAATCCATTTCTGTTCTACCAAAGCTGCAGATTTATTTGTGTTCTTTCAGTATATGATATATTGTTGAATATTGCATATTGAGGAAAAAGGTAAACATACACCCATACAGAAGCATGTATCTATAGCCAGACATATTTATCAACACCAACTACCAACCAACAAAAAAAGGGAACAACCTTCATTTAAAAATATATAGACAACAACGACTTTGATAATAAAAGAAGGCATCAGAAAAGGTCAAAATCAGCAAAATCAGAAAGCAAAGTATAATTGCTAAATGACATAAAGATATGAAGAGAGTAGAATTGAATCCTCACCTTCATCTGCATCATGTGAAGCATTGTTGTTGGATGGAGGTGAACTTTGGTTACCTAAAAACGGAATGATCTTCTGCTTAAGTTCAAGGTGTAACATTGAAGTGGATAAAATAAATAGCAAGATTGATAAGTATGAAACGCTAACTTTGTTAACCTTCATTTTTATTTGTCAAAAGATTTTTTATTGTACATATATATATATAAAGAGAGAGAGAGAGAGGACACACACACATACATGCATACATATGAGACATATTTAGTGAGAACAATTGCCACTTTTACAACATGAGAACTATATAGTTAAATCATACAATGACAAATGAATAGTCAGGATTGGAAGCTAGTCAATGGTCACATTACCACAAAAAAATCATGTGCCATTCTGTTTTAATCTTATTCAAATATTATCTAATGATATATATTTACTATTTTTATTCATCACAACAAGAGTTCTCATTTGATATGTTCCATGTATACATAGTATAGGATTAAAATATTCTACTTTTAGTTTATAAGAGTAAATATTAATGGACTTAGTGAGTGCTTAGTTCAGCTTATCTTTTAGAAATAGTGACAATCTTCTTTTTGCCAGCTTTTTGAAAGAGCTTTTGAACAAAAAAACAATTATTTTCAGAGGAAAAACTGATACCAAATATGGGCTTAGATTCCCCTTGACTGGCATACAATCAAGCACCGAATGCAACAAGTCTAATTATTTTCTACTTTGAATTATGAGAAGTGATTTTAAAAAAAATGAGAATAGACCTACCAAATCCAAAAATGCTTTGACTGCTTGAAAATAATCCAGGACTCCATGTACTAGCAAAATTTGTAGCAGTACTAACAGGAGTAAACCCAGTTTTTTCTCCAAAAGATTTATTTTCTTTGTTTATTACTTCAGGTAAGAGCTTTTTCCCAGAAAAAGCAGCACTGGCATCAGCAGCCGAATTTTCCGCCTTGGTGGCATTTGCTTTGAGCCAGTTGACAACATCACTGAACTTTTCCTGAAATAATACAAAATTACGAGGTCAATTTATTCCAACTCTGTATATGCATGATTTGCACCCATACTTGAGTGCTTAAGAATCAGTATATTTCCAAAGAAAAAATGGACATGCATGTTAATACTAACTGAAAGAATTATACGAGATAGAAGCCAAGGGGAAGGAGTAATAAGTAAAGATGCTCCTGTACAACCTTAGCTGCTATCCCACCAGTGAATTCAAAGGCAGGTAACAGGTGAAAGGGCTCATATTATAGATAGGAAATCCAAAACAAGAAAGCACTTACACTTGTCCTTTGTTATGGAACAAACATCAACCCTTGGTATTCCAAACAAATGATATTATTATCACAATTAACGGTTACTTCTCAAGTATAACTGCAGTGTTCTCATAAATGTAGGCATGTCTGTTGGCATGCATGCATCTATTTCAGTGCAGCATGCACAGCCACGGAAGTAATAATACTACTTAATATGGGATCAGCTTCCTATAAAGTGGTCCGTTCAACATCACATTAATTGAGAACAGATAGTAAAACCAAGTAAATTCAAATACAAGTGATACATGAGTTTAGTGAATTAAATAGTGTAAGGAATTACCATAATGCTTGAAGCATGATTTATGTAATCTCTGACACCATCTTCCCAAAGCTCATCAGGATGATTCTTTAGTTGTGTTTGAACCCAACTGTGAGGAAGACACAGCATAACAAAGAGAGGTTAAGCAAGAGCCAACACAACATTCATGGAAATGCAAAATCCAGAAACCTAGACTTTTATATCACCACTATCAAGACAACATGGTCTATAACAACTAGCAAATAATACAAACCAAAAGTCCAGAACAAGAATCTCATCCACAGAAAATTAAAAATGTGGAAATCAAGCAAAAGATAAACGTTGACAAAAAAATAAATATGAACCTTGCAAACTGGGTATTTAAAGCTCTCACATGCTGCTGGGATGACTCTGCCCGTTTCATATCCAATGGTGGTGCTGCCACCATTGGTTGTTGAGATGGTTCGGCCCTATGAACATCAAAGAGGGATCCTTCCATTATTCTTTTATTCCGGAACTGCATCATTGTGAATGAAGGTAAAATAAGGACAATTATTCTCTCATACAAAATCTTCAAAAGTTTTCAATAAATAAGGTGTGTCAAAGCTCATTGTCTGACAATGAATTTTCCTGCTTGCCCTTGAACCCAACCTTTAGGAACATGCATCACAGTCATCACGCGGCAAAAGTCAAGCACTTATAAAACCAATACTGGAAGAATGATGAGCATAAAGCTATTAAACCAGTAAAAAAAGTGCAAAATATTAAACAGAAACGATCCAGTTCTAATTCCAACCATCTCCCACAACACTGCAACCGATGACCTAATGACTTCAGAGGCTGACTGTCAAAGATGGTTAATAATCAAAAGCACGTTTGAAATAACCAGTTTTCTAAGCAGCTATCAACCATTCCCTCACTTCCAATCGCTATTTCTCTTCAATATATGCTGCCAACGATTACTGAATTGAAAACTAGAGAGACACTCATAGAATGCTAATCGCAAGCATCTTCATAACCCATTATGCGGACAAACAACGCCAGATAAATTTATAAAACAAAAAAGAAAATAAATAAATACACTTCTCATAGTTAAGAACGAGCTCACACGCAATTTTTTTCTATTCAAAATTGGGGGAAACGGTTGAAGCTAAAGCATAACACAAAAATAAAAATTTAAACCGAGTTAACAGTCACATACTTACCGGCGTTTCGTTGGTATCAACCTGGTTGGGTTCCGACACAGCCAAACGCTTTGAACCTTTCATCATCGATTTGGGGAAATAGGGTTTTGCGGTAATTAACGGTTATGCAGAAGCTGAAACAGGAAAATCGACAGTATGAAGGACAGTACACAAGGAAAGGCTCCTTTTTCCAAAAGGGCACTTTCAGAAACTAATTAATAAAATACAAAAAAAAAAAAAAAAAACTATTTCTCAAAATTAAATGCGTCAATTTGGTCCGTTGGATGGAATGAGAAACTCACTTTCAACTGAAACCGTTGGATGGACCTTGATTAGGGTTTTCATTCACACCGGAAACTTCACATGGAGCACGTGCTGTCCTGGTGGCATGTCGACACGAGTGAGGGCCACATGCTAGGCCTTGTTTAAGCCCAATAGGAAATTAAGTGCCGATTGCGTCATCTAATTTCAAAAGAAAAACCGTTTCCATTCCCTTTTTGGCATGCATCCATCGCCAATTAAAAAAGAAGTCCATAGTTAAAATCCTTAACTGCCAAAAAATGGCATTGCGTTCCCCTATCAGTATCACCCTAATCATCTTCATACTTTCTTGCTTCCTCGCTCTTCGTGTCTCTGCAATTCAAATTATCTCTAAATCGAAGCTCGAGAAATGTGAGAAGAACTCCAACTCCGACAATGTCAATTGCACTACCAAAATCATAGTTAACAGGGCTGTTTCGAGTGGCTCGGTAAATTACAAAGCACGCTACACAGTTTGTACGCGTTTTTGTTTCTTGATGTTCTTTTGTGATTGCGCAGAGTGGAGGAGAGGCGTCTATTGTAGCCGAATTGGTGGAAGTGGAGGAAAATTCAACCAGGAAAATGCAGACATTGCGGATTCCACCAGTGATAACGGTCAACAAAACTTCTGCATATGCGTTGTATGAGTTAACATATATACGAGTATGATACTCTTCTGTAGTTGTTGGATTATATATGCGATAATTAGAGTCAGAGAAATGTTATTTGATTGAATGATATCTATGTTAGGGAAAATTGTAAAGCCGTTGGTCAGTTCTGACTAGGCTGCCAGGTGTCAAGATGTGGGGGTTTTGAGAGTCAGCTTGCTATATAAGGCGGCAACTCGTTGTATAGTTTTTTTTTAGATTTTCTCAAATTCATTCATCTCTTGTATTCTTGATCAGTTTTCAATACATATTACTCGGAAACCTTCTTGTCTTTGGGTTCCCTGTTCCTGCTTCAGTTCTTCGAGTGCAATTATACCTAGAACTAGTTTATTCACATTAGAAACCGCTTCTACCATTGTCGTTGTTGCTTCTGCTGCCGTTGTTCCTTCCGATCGCTGTCTCTTACTGACCCGGTGACATCGTTTAATGTGTTTAAGTTGCATGGGTTCCAAAATACTATTACTAGTGATAAAGATTCCATATTCATCAACTAACTAGTTTTGGCAAGATTTCATGTCCCTACAAGGAGTTCAAGTTCAACATTTATCAAACTAACACCCACAAACTGATGGTCAAACCGAGGTAGTGAATTGTTACTTGGAAACATATTTGAGAGGTGTATGTGTAATGATACTCCCCATGGGTGGTCCAAATGGATGCCTTTAGAAGAATGGTGGTATAACACTTCCTCTTTCAGTTTGAGTGCAATTATTCCTAGAACTAGTTTTATTCACATCAATCTATTAAGTGATGTAATGGAGAGACATAGACAAAGAAAATGTTGTATGAGTTAAAATATGAATAACATAACCCTTATTATTATTAATACTTTTTATTGGTATAGCAAATGGCTTTGAGAGGATTGTTTTGGATGTAGTTTGATCTTTTGTATGATTAAGTGGGATTTGCTTGTTAGCAGGATGTTCCTTATAAACCTGAAGAGTATTATGTTGAGACACGCAAGTGTGAGCCAGATGATGGTGCAAATGTCGTGAAGATATGCGAGAGGCAAGCCATGTTTTATTGCTATTTTATTCTAAACTAGAGATTGACTAGAGTTTTCACTGGTTGGTTTCTGGTACTTGTGTTACAGACTGCGAGACGAAGAGGGTCATATTATTGAGAACACTCAGGTGCTTATCTAACACCTAATACTAGTCATTGATAGTCATAGTTGACGCACTTACGCCACTCTTTTCTTCATAAGTTTTTATGATAATTTTATTTAACCATTTGGCCAGTCATAATATATGAAGCTATCTTGACTGTCTTCCCTGCTTTCCATGTGATATATGATGTGCTTATATACATACACACATCAAAATTATGTTTGCATGACCCACTGAGGTTGGCCTAGTAATGGGCAATTTGTTAGTTGAATGAGGTGTTAGATTCATGTCTCGCGTTGCCTTAAGCTGACAAAAAATATTAGGTTTGTATTATTTCTCCTTTTTTAAAGAGATTTTTCAATTTCATTGGTAAAACCCGTTCTTTTAGAAACAAAATTATAATTTTTTTTTTCTTTTCAACCATGATGTTTTCTAATATTGCACTTCCTCTAATATACTTTAAAGTCAAATCTTAGTCGACTCACAATTACAAGATTTGTGCTTAGGGTCATGATGATGATAATTTTAAAGGAAATTATTCAAAAAGAAGAATAAGAATAAGAATTTAGTGTTTGACCCATCCTCCCCCATTTCATCTTTCACTTTTGATTCAGGATTAACATCTCTCTCTTTCCGTCTTTACTGTAGCCAATATGTTGTCCATGTGGGCCCCAACGGTGGATGCCTTCATCATGTGGAAACTTCTGTAAGTGCTTTAGCGTTGCAGAAATTTGTAGGTTTTTAGGAACCACAAAACTAACAATTCTGGGTTAAATTGTTTAAATAGTTGACAAATTAACAAAAGGAAAGGCCAATACTGCACATTGTGTGCGTTTCCTTGGTGATTTGTAAGCCTCTACCCTTGCCGTTTTGTTTCCAATTGTGATTGATTTGGGTGGGCTACTCTAATTATTTATTGTCTTAATGGATTTTGTACTAGGCTTAGGGGAACTAATGAAAACCATGTTTACATTTAACCTTTGGTAAATGCAGATTAACATCGTATTCTATGTTATTATGTCTAGATATTTGTTTGAAATCTTTGGTTTTTTTCATTTTGAACAAAAAATTTCAGATTATTATTTTTTTCATGTTATTTCTAGATTAACAAAAAAAGTGAATTAATCAAACGACTTCAGTAAGTTTGTTGATACTTTGGGGATTAAATAGTGGAAAAGAGAGAGATGTAGGACAGTGGAGTATTATAATACAGAGTTATTATACCCCCAGCTCTATTTTACTAAATCATCCAGTTTATGAAATAAATTAGTCTCTTAACTCCCTAAAATAATATTCAATTCTTAAACCTTGTAATGTACAAATACAATGGTAGTTTAACATTAAGATACTACTTAATAGTTAAATGCTATGATATTCTAAAAGTTGTTCTTTAAGATTAGTTATAGTGTAGTTTTGTCTTGTTTTAATTGTAATCCTCTCTGAAATTGGACAAAGTGAAAGTTGCATATTGTTTTAGTCATCTGTTACAACTCAGATTTCCTTCTCTATCAATCATTTCAGGTATCATGTTTTTGGTATTGGGCGGAGAACCTTGGGCTTTAGTGTCCGAATACAAGTGAAGAGTGGAACTAAAATTTCGGTATGTAATTTTTGGTTTCCTTATGCAATTAAATTTAAATATGGTATGCATCCTTTTCCATAGACAATGTATTTTGTCTCATGATAACCTGTTACAAGTTGGCAAATCGAGTAAAACAATCGTATGCTTTTTTTAGGGCAGAGACTCATGTTTTTAGTTATCCTTTATATTTCATATCATAATGTGCTTGCAATGTGAAATGAGTGTAAAATGCTTAATAGATGATGCACACAGAATGAACTTATATTTCTTTTCCTTTTTAGCTGAATCTAACTCATAATTTTGTCAATTCATGATTTCGCTGGCAGGAAGTGGTTGTGGCTCCTGAAAACAGAACAGTGATATCTGATGATAAATTTTTGAGGGTTTATCTTATAGGAGATTTTGTTGGGTATACAAATATACCATCTTTTGAAGATTTCTATCTAGTTGTACCAAGGAAGGTATGCTTGTTTTACTGCTTTCGCCATTATTGACCTATACTGACTTTAGCTTTAACAAAATTTTAAATTAAGCTAAAATTAAAATTTGTATGTTAGATTGGTTTCTTGAATTTGTTACTTACAACTCTACTTTAGACATTTTCCAGATATTTCTATTTTTAAAAGAAATTGTTGAACATAATTTTATTAATTTGTAATAATTAAATTTTATTATGAAAAATAAATGGTACTAGCTATTTTTACAAATACGAAAAAAGAAAAAGAGTGTAAAATGCATTGATCCAATACATTATTACCATGTTTGCTAATCATACAATTCTAGATCTATTTTGAGAGGTCACCAAATTAAGGATAGACTTGAAAATCTGAGCATCACTGTTTATTTTTGAAGTACGAAAGCTTGTATGCTTTCTCAAGCACTGTGCATACGTGGAAAAAAATATCATTTAGTGCATATTCCGATCAATAGTGCAAGCATGATTTAGTATTAAGGGATTGATATTTAATCTAAGGCACCTCGATATCATTCTAGATTATGTCAAATGATTTTTCCTCTTCAATCTCATGTTTGTATGTTGACTATCTTGGAGTTTCTTTTTTCTACTTTCTAGAGGTGACTCCTTCTAAGGAGGCTGATATATTTGCAATTGCAAGCCCGTAGGGCCATATACTCTTTATAGTTTTGGGATCTTGGCAATTTACATTCATCTTGGCATAACCGTGTTGAACTACTTTACAAAATTTTGGCATGATTACAACTTCTACATGCTTAACAAAAGTTTGCAACTTTTTCTTTTGACAGGGCAACCCTGGTCAACCACAGGATTTGGGGAGAAACATTTCTATGTGGATGCTGCTTGAAAGAGTGAGATTTACCTTAGATTCTATTGAATGTAACAAAATTGGTGTAAGCTATGAAGCTTTTAATCGACAACCAAACTTCTGCTCTTCACCCTTTTGGTCTTGCTTGCATAATCAATTGTGGAATTTTCGGGAGGTTGGTACTGTAACAATGATTTTTTTTTTCTTTAACTCTTATTCTTGTCTTGCTTTGTTGGTTTCATTTTTGTCACTTTCTTTTCACGTCTATTTTGCAGCCGCATTGATTCCAATAGTTAAATATTTCTTTGGTGGTATGCCTGTCTTTCTTTCCTGTAAGGGAACGACATTACCCAAAAGCTTAATATGTTAAACAAGCATCAAGGATGACTTTTAACGACCATATTACCACACATTTTAAGACGTGATTGTTTACATCAATAAACATAAAAGTTGTTTTTTATTTGAGTCAAAATGTCAAACAATTTGGTAAAAAAAGTTTAAAATTTTAAATTATTCAGTTGATCATTGAACTATTTGAGAATTTTCAAGTAGGTCTTAAACTATTTTTTTAATTGGGTGCTTAATCATGATATTCCTTATAATCGAGTCTCTTAATGTTTTAAAACTATCAACAATTTATCATTATTTGTTAGTTTCAAGCCACCACAAACTAACCTCATGGACTTACTTTTTTAGCTTAGGGATCCAGTTAAAAGAATAGTTTAGGGACCAATTGGATAATTTAAAAAGAAAAAATGTCTAACATTGGCCACGATTGAAGCCAAAATACTCCTTATAAGGTTCGGTGAATCCTCCCTACTCATGGTAACTTATGGAATAGAATAGTCTAGTTCATTTCTAATAAAGTATTAGAACAAATCCAATCTTAATTTGGCCATTTTGGAGATGCTGAGGAGCTTAGACTCTCATTTTTTATTGTCTTGATATTACACTTACTCATTTTCTCTGATTAGTGTTTATTATGCAAACTCTACATGTTCAGTCATGGGTGCGTTATTGGCTGTAGGAATATGGCTAAAACACTCTATAAGATTTGGGCTTTCCGTTTCATTTGAGTTAGCTTCTTGAATTGAGTTATTTTCTGTTCATTTCTAATAATTTTTCAAATCACATTGTTTGTCATCCAATTTTTAATTGAAACTTAATATGTAGTTTTCTTATAATTGTTGAAAATTTGAAAAACTTTCTTGTTCATAACAGGCTGACTTAAATAGAATAAGTAGGAATCAGGTGCCGCTCTATGGTTTGGAAGGAAGGTTTGAAAGGATAAACCAACATCCAGTTAAGTTGCAAAAAATTATTTATATTTAATATGCTGTCTTCTATTAGAAATGATTTTTTTTTTATTTGTCTGCAGAGTGCTGGGAGTTATTCGTTCTCCATAGGAATTACAGAGGTTCTTAATACAAACCTTGTGCTAGAATTAAGTGCGAATGATGTAGAGTATGTTTATCAAAGGTATTATTATTATTATTATTATTATTATTATTATTATTATTTTCTTGGTCTATATATATGATTTCAAAACGGAAACATTCTTCATAATTATAAGTCATGGATATGGAGCTGTCGTTTTTTTTTTTCCTTTTATAATTGTTTTTAAGCACTGAATCACAGATTCAATGAGATTTGGAAGGCCGTTTCGTTTCAGTGTTTCGTATGTTCAATTTGTATTGCCGATAATCAAGTAGACATAATGAAGTTCCTGATCACAAATGGATATATAAAGCCGTACTATGAGATGGTACAGAAAATATTTGAAAATGATGGTGGAAAGTTTCTATAGTCCACCAATTTTGTTTTTATTGACACTAGGGAATGACTTTTGGTTGTTAAATACTTCAAATGTCAAGCAGAATCATTGTTTTATAGTAAAAAGCGTTTCAAAAGTTGTTTGACATGGTTCTTTTACTTCAGGAGCCTAGGAAAGATTATAAGTGTTAGCGTCCCTACGTTTGAAGCCCTAACCCAATTTGGTGTTGCTATGATCACAACTAAGAATATGGGTGAGGTGGAAGCATCATATAGTTTGACGGTAGTCTGCTTCTCTATATTGTGCTTCAGCCATATCTATTATTGTTTTCCAAGTGCTCGTTATGCTTGGACAATAGAATGTTTATTTGATAATTTTTTATTTATTTAATGACATGCATTATTTTAATTCTATAATTGTGATATAGTTTTTTAAGGTTTGAAAGTGTTATTGGAATTCTGTTCTATTTCTTTGCTTATAATATCTGATAGTAAACAGGGTTGTGATGATATTTTTACAAAATCTTCTGACCTGTGCTCATTGTTTATAACTACGTCATTGTATGAAGGACACAATTGTTTAATTATCATGGTACCTAAAAGTCTCACAGTGCACATTAAGTCTTCCTTGCTTACCCATAAGTGTCGGGCAAAATTATTGATTGACTGCATCACATGAACAGGAATTTAACAGGTGCATGCTGCTCCAGATGCTTTTGTGCTGTTAGGGTTACAAAATTTGGTTCGAATATATTTGAGTCTTGCATTGTAGTAATTTTCTGGAGGGTTCAACAAGTTGTAGTTTTAGCTTGCTATATTGATTGTATTGTTTTGCAGTTTAATTGCTCGAAGGATATCACCCTAATGGAGGTATATTATGCTAAACATATGTCTAACATTTTGCCCCTTCCTGTTCTATACTCCTCTTTTATGTTTTTTTTTTTTTTTTTTTTCCTAACATGATTCAGGAGCAGTTTTTAATAATGAAGCCAAATGAGATTACTGTTAGGATCGAGCGCTTACCACTAGGCCAAAAGCTATAGCCATTAGTCAGAGCGCAACTCTTTTTACTTTAACAGCCCAAGCGCCACGATTCAATTGTGACTCGGCCCACCTGACCTTCGTCACAGGACAATTGATGCTACCTGCAACAATCTCCCCCTCAGCAATTATCCTACAAGGTATCCCACTCTTGGATTGTGACTTGGCCCACCCGGCCTCTGCCACGGGACAATTGTGCAACCCGCAACAATCTCCCCTCAACAATTGCCCACCAGGAATCGAACTCGTGACCTTGGCTCGATACCAATTGTTAGGATCGAGCGCTTACCACTAGGCCAAAAGCTATAGCCATTAGTCGAGCGCAACTCTTTTTACTTTAACAGCTCAAGCGCCACGATTCAATTGTGACTCGGCCACCCGACCTTCGTCACAGGACAATTGATGCTACCCGCAACAATCTCCCCTCAGCAATTGTCCTACAAGGTATCCCACTCTTGGATTGTGACTTGGCCCACCCGGCCTCTGCCACGGGACAATTGTGCAACCTGCAACAATCTCCCCCTCAACAATTGCCCACCAGGAATCGAACTCGTGACCTTGGCTCTGATACCAATTGTTAGGATCGAGCGCTTACCACTAGGCCAAAAGCTATAGCCATTAGTCAGAGCGCAACTCTTTTTACTTTAACAGCCCAAGCGCCACGATTCAATTGTGACTCGGCCCACCTGACCTTCGTCACAGGACAATTGATGCTACCTGCAACAATCTCCCCCTCAGCAATTGTCCTACAAGGTATCCCACTCTTGGATTGTGACTTGGCCCACCCGGCCTCTCCACGGGACAATTGTGCAACCTGCAACAATTACAACCAGATCATTCAAACTCTACCCCAGCAATGATCAAGCTTCAAAATATTTTTGTGCGGGTAAAGTTGAAGCTTAGGATGGATATGTTGTTATTTGTTCTGAGGATAAAGAACTCATTGATATTTATTCTGTTTCTATTTTTTGGGCGTTTTAACTAAAACCATACTAAAGGACTCTGATTATAATGAAGTTGATAGAGCTGAATGTCAATTTGCTACTACGGCAACTGTTCTTGACAATGGCACACAGGTTTGATCTTTCCTGTTACCTGAATTTAGCACGCTTTATTCTCTATGGTTATGAACACAATGACTTTGTTTAATCCATATAGCTGATCCAATCTAGCTAGGAAAAGTTTGTTTAATCCAATCTAGCTGATCCGTTCAGTTTTATTTCTTAACTATTTTTTTCTTTTTTCAACTTATTTCTTTCTTATTCTCTCCTCAAAACCTTATAGATCATAAAAGCTTCTGATTGACTATGTTATCTTTCTGACTAACTTATTTGATGTTGTTTGTGAACTTTAATTTATTTCATTGGTGACTTTAATCGAAGTGTTGCTGACTAACATGAAAATTCTAAAAATGCTATCAGTGCTAAAGTGGTCGTTGTCTAGAAAACATTTTTAATTCTAAATATTTTTAAGGAAAATATTTTGAAGATCAGAACAGTTCAATTAAGTGCACATGTAGTAATGGATTGGGAATTTGAACTTGAAAACCTATCTATCCCAATTACCATATAGTGAAAATGTGTTGCGTAACAGACAATTAATTGTCTGTTGTTCTTATTTGAACTTGGCTTGAAAACCTATCAGTGAAGATTTGTTGCGTAACTAGCAATTAATTGTGTGTTGCTCTTATTTTAAATTTGCCTAGTTTTGGCCATTGGTCTCTTGATTGAACTTAAACAACTAGAATTATTTTGAGCTGTTGGACAACAATGAAGACTGCACGGAAGTTTTATCTAGCACTATTACTACAAAAATACGTTTACAATTGTGTTCCTAAATTTTTTTTTTCTCTACTTAAAATGGTTATTAATAAGCTATAGGTAATGAATTAGCACTTCATTCCAGAGTCCTCAGGCATGAATTTGACTTTGTAAAATTGTTAACTTTTTCTTAAAGTTATCCTTCTGATTACTTCACAAAATATGCTAGTTATTGGCATGTTATACGGCAAATTATGATTGTCTAAATCATCTATTGCTGCAGGGTATGCCTTTCAAACCACCAGAGACTAGTCTAAATGGTTTCTTTGATTCTATTGAAAGCATATGGAATAAACTTTGGACCAGCTTAACAGAATTTATCACTGGAAAAACTTGTAGGTATTATTTCTACTATTTTTTACGTTTATAAACTTACAATTTAAATTCTAACATACTAAATATACAAAATGTGAGTTCCAGGACTTTTATTTATGGGGAATATTTTAGAGTTGCTTTGATAGTGACTAGAAATTTTACATATCAAACACCGATTAGTAGCACTACTGTCGTAAACAAGTGTATTGCATTATATTTTTCATGAAGAGAATCATTTGAATATTCCGTCATTAGTAGAATAAAGTATTAAAACTAGGATTAGTTTATGAAAAAACTGTTGCTCAGCAGTCTAGTCAGTAACAAAATGAAACAAAAGTTGGTGCACGTATTCGATTGTTCTCTTGTTGCATTTGGATAAAATCTTTCTTATTTATTTCATGACGTTCTTTGATATGTCTTAAACTGATAATGAGTTTTGCCATGTTTCTGTTCTTAGTGATTTAAATATTGTTATAAACTATGACCTAGACATTGAAGCTGGGTGTTGGAAGATCAATGACTACATTTTGGTTTCTTAACCATAAACCTTTATTTAAATATTTGGTTCATTTGACTAATTTTTTTATTAAATCTCATCCTCGTCTCTCGGTTTCGGTGGAAGAAAAGACAAAAATGCTCTGGTTTTTTTGACTTCAAGTGCCACATACAATATGTACGCTTGAGTTGGGTGACGATGTTTGGTCTGTTTTTGACAATTTTTCCGACAGGTATGACTTCTATTCAATATATATTATTTAGTATAATTTGTAAAGTCAGAAGAACAACTTAAAATAAATACTCTTGTTTGAATTGCAGTGCTTGTACTATTGTGGCTTTTGCACCAGAAAGGTCTATTTGATCCTCTTTATGACTGGTGGGACGATCTCGTAGAAGCTGATGAACAGATCGTCATGGATAAATGTAAAATCACAATTGACAACGGACATCACCATATTTATGATAACAAGCATCATAAGCAAGAGTTTAGGCAACCTAACTATAGTGCTCAACATAGGCGAAGGACCAGTTATGGGCATAAACACAAGTAGTCGGAAAGGAGCTCTAATTACTTTGATGATTTACACCATGTTCATAAAGAAATGCACAAACATTCCGGAAGTAATCCTGATTATTTTGATGATTTAGAACATGCTCGTAAAGAAATGCACAAGCATGGACATAAGAAAAAGAATATGGATAATCTGCAGCATATTGCTGACCATCCTGCACACCACACACAGAGAAAGAAATGGGATAGTTCAAAGGGACAACATAAAGAGACGAAGTTAAAGCATGATAAAGTGAGGCAAGAAAATCATGGCAAACACAAACAAGTTCTGCTAGATGAGCCAGAGGATGAGTAGATTGAAGGCCAAACTTATAATTTAATGTACACATTTTTTTTAATTTTAGCACTATAACGTTTAAGAGCGACTTCTTGTTACCTAATTCATAGAATCATAGTTATAAGTACAACTTTCCCTCTCTTCCATCACCGCCTTTTTGCAAGGTATTTTTTTGACCATGATAGTTTTTTTATGCAATACTCTCATCTTGATAAACGTACAAAAAAGACATAACCCACACTCTGCAAAGGTACACATCAAATATATATTTCATAAGATAACTTCAAATTCGAACACTCAAGTGGTAGTTTTCTCACTTTCCGGGGACAAAGTTTGTGGCATAGGCCCAAGCATTGTTGTTCACTGGATCAGCAAGGTGGTCGGCGAGGTTTTCCAGGGGTCCCTTTCCGGTCACAATGGCTTGAACAAAGAAACCAAACATGGAGAACATGGCCAATCTACCGTTCTTCAGCTCTTTCACCTTCAACTCAGCAAAAGCCTCTGGGTCATCAGCAAGGCCCAATGGGTCGAAGCTTCCACCTGGGTAGATTGGGTCAGTTACCTCGCCGAGAGGCCCACCGGCAATACGGTAACCCTCCACTGCACCCATCAAGATAACTTGGGTAGCCCAGATGGCAAGGATGCTCTGTGCATGGATCAGGCTTGGGTTGCCCAAGTAGTCAAGCCCACCCTCACTGAATATCTGAGACCCAGCCTTAAACCACACAGCCTCGCCGAACTTGACACCATTACGGGCTAACAGTTCGGGGAAAACACAGCCCAAGGCTCCCAACATAGCCCATCTGGAGTGGATGACTTCAAGTTCACGGTTTCTAGCAAAAGTCTCGGGGTCAGCAGAAAGACCAGCAGTGTCCCAACCATAGTCACCTGGGAATTCACCAGTGAGGTAAGATGGGGCCTCACCGGAGAATGGGCCCAAGTACTTGACACGGTCTGGGCCGTACCATGGGCTTCCGGAGGAAACAGACTTGGAGGCTGTTTTCCTCATGGAAATCCTTCCAGTGGAAATGTCAGGGGTGGAGGGGGAAAGCTTGATGGCTTGGCCAGCCAATGATGAGGAAGAGAGAGCCATTGTTGAAGCAGCCATTGTAGAAGAATGAAAAGCTTTGTAGGAGAAAGTGAAGAGAATGGTTAAGAATGCCTCGTGTAGTGGTGGTAACAAGATAGAGGAGCACTATATATATATATATACAATACGTAGGTTAATTGAGAGAAGGGCTCTTATCTAAATATCGTATAAGATCTGCATTTCAATTTCTATTGGTTTGGAGTTGGAGTATGATTTGTGGCCACTACTACTTCCTTCTTTTCTTACCACTCTTCTCTTTTTAATTGTTTGTATTACTTCCTTACCAACACAGATCAGATATCTTCCAACATATCATTGAAAACCTCTTCTACCAAATAAGAATTCGCCACGTGAGATTCTTTTAGATTACTCATGATGAGTATTAGATATAGAAGTGGGACACTTCGGTAAATTTTTCGAGTTTTACGGAAGGGGGACCATAGTTCACTGATTCTATTGCTAGTTGATTTCAACCCATAAGCATAAAATTTACGTAACACTTTCATATCCACGTTCTTTTAAGAAATTCCAGTGGAGGTGAGGAATTAGTAACTGCTAATTTCTTTCTATGCGCTTTCGCGTCTTTGGGATTCATTTTTTTACAGCTTTGCGTTTCACCTTTAAGAAGCATATAGAATTTGGAGATTCACTTGAAAAAACAGGATTGGATATATTTATTCATATAAAATTTTCACATTCTATAATAAAATTTGGAGTTTTTTTCATCTTTATTTATTTTTTGCTTTTCTATTAAAATTAATAGAAAAACTTACGAGTACAAAAATAGGAAAAGAAATGTAAAATTATAGGAACCACAAATTAAGAGGACCAAAACTAAAAAAGAATCACTTTTATTATACAGACTAAAAGCATATAAAACACATTTATAAAAATTAAACCTTCAAACAAACGGAGAGAGAAAAATCGAACCTGCAATTAAGAGCGATATTTTTTTTAATTATAAAATTGTGAATCAACTTCATAAATAATATATTTAAAAAAATTACTTAAATAAAATATTTTTACATTTGTTTATTCAAACAGATCGGTTTATTACTTTTATACAAAATTCAACAACGCAAAATAAATTCGTCTCATATAATAAAGTTATTTTCCTTTTACTTTTCATTTATTTTTTATTTTTCTCTCCTCATTTATTTTTTATTATATTTTTTCTTTATATTCATTTAATGTTTGTTTTCCATTTTTTTCCCTTTTTTTCTAATTCTATCTTATTCTTTAATTAAAAATTATATATTAAAATTTGATAAAATTCATTTTTTATTATTACTGAAAAAAATATTTAAATAATCTAAAAATAATATAATTTAATATGTTATATTTAAAAAACATTTTATAACAAAATTTAAAATATTACAAATATTATAGTTATATTATAATTATTAAGAAAAAATTAAATATTTATTTTAAATTAATTTTTTAATAAAATATTTTTTAAAATGATCTAATCTAACTAATTATCACAATTTAATCTAATTATAACTAGAATAAATTATTAAATACAAAAATATTTTACTTATAAATATTTGAGAAAATATTTTTAGATTAATTATTTATTATCATCATAATTTTAAATTATTAGTTATCGAGAGAAGAGAGAAATAATAACAGTACGAAAAATTAAATAACGAGTGAATGAGAAAAGAAAAAATAAATAAAAAACTTTAAAAAAAGAAAAAAATTATGTTTGATAGACAAATCTAATTTTATATATTAAAATGAAAGAGGTATAAAGATAAAAAAAAAGAGAGAGTAAAACATTCTTAATTAATATTTAGTAGTCAATTAATAAGATATTATAAAGTTGTAGAAATAAGGTAAACGATTATAATAAAATAGATTAAGGAAAATAGTTATAATAAACTAGACTATGTTTAATAGGAATTAATTAAAAAAAATCCTTAAAAATTAAAAATATTATTTAAATATAAATTCTACATTTAAAATAAGTGAAAATTATTTATACAGATGATTTTTATTTCTTTTCAATTGTTTTTTTTTATATATAAATAAATGACGCGATGTACACCGAAAATTGAGATAAAAGATGTTCCTCTCCCTATTAGTATCATTCTCACTTTTACAATTATTTCACCACTCTAACTAACCATCATCTCTTTATTAATATTTTCATTATCACTGTTACTCAATTAAAAATATATATAAGTCAAAAAATTCATAAATCTCATTAAAAATTAACAAAGAACTCAATATAGATTAATTTAACCAATAAATAAAAAAAGTATAGTACTATGATGTTTTCTTAATGAATAAAAAATATACCAAGATTTTTCTTATAACTAATAATATACTATATAATACATATTTAATTAAATTATTATTTCTATACAATAAATAAAACCATTCTAATTAAAATTATTATATATTGTTTATATATATAAAATTAAAATTAATATACAAATTAAATTTGTAGTATTAAGATAATATTATAAAAAATACTTGATACAGAAATAAAATACGGTTACAGTGCAACTGGTACAATTCCAATTTTCATCTACCTATAATAAATATGATATATTATTTAGTATAGCTAAATGTAAATAATAACACGTCATTAACAAATGTCATGACTCATCACTATAAAAGAGTAGTCATTCTCTGGAAATCCAGTTTTTTTTTTTTAATCTCCATCGCTCAGACATGAGACACCCGCTTACATTGCTTTCTTATTTATTTTTTTGCAGTTGACGTGATAAACCAGTGTATTTATTTAATGAAATAATTCTCAATACTAATTTTTTTTTTTTACTTTACTTAATCATTTTTTATAAGAGATTAAGTTTTTAAAATAAGTTAAAAGTAAGTTTTTTCTTTCATACGACATAGTGAACCAAATCATATTAAAATGTTATATTATATTTTAATCTTATGTTTTTTTTACAAACATGGTTTTTTATTCTTTAAAAACAATTTATTTTATATTTCTCAGTCCCAACAATTCTATAATTTTTATTATATTAGTAATGATGATGTTATAGTTCTTCTCGCAATAATATTTGGATATTTTGTTGATTGGACACATAAGATGTAACAACGTTGAAATTGGGATATTCATGTTCTTGAAAACGAATACAAATCTAAAACACAGTAATATAATTATAAATAAAGTAATTATATAAATTCCATTTGCAAAATAAAGTAGTAATATTTATACCGGTAACTAAATTTAGTGAAATTGTGGTGATGATTAACCATGACTTGGGGTTCTTTGCCACGTGGATTACGAAATGTAAGGAGTCAAATCTAAGTGTTGTTTGCAGGTGTCATAGTGCAGTCTTTACACGGTTGAATTGCCAACTCTTGTTCTCGTTAAAATCACCATCACAAACAACCCTATCATACAACACAATCGAGTGCTAGCTAGCTACTTCATTATGCACAAATTTCTTGGCTCCTGTTGCTATAGCTGTAGTTTCTAAAAATATAGAAAATCACATCCACCTACGAAAAGGTGCTGTCTCTTACCCAGCATGCACCCTACCCACACACTCCAGAGTGAAACAAAGACTTAGATTTTGACTCTTATACAGAAAGGTAGCATCGCTTATGAATAATGAACAAGCTGATTAAAGTGTAGAGTGGTAGGTACGCGTCAAATTGAAAAGTTCCAGAGTGAAACCTCAGCATCGAACATCTCCACGTCATTCCACTCCCTACCATCTCTTGCACAAGGAGGAGGAGACATCAAAGGCTCATTCGCAATTCGCAAAAGCAAATCATGAAGCTCTTCGACTTCATCCCCGTACACACCCTCTCGTTGCTGCAGCAGCAGAGGCTCTTCAATTTCTTCGTTCGTCTGCTGTTGGTTGACATCCTCCCCTGCAAATGCCTCAGCAGCCTCCACCGCCGCTCGTCGTATCTCCTTCGCGTCGCTAGTGGCAGGCACCGTGAGACGCCACACGGAGTCGGCGAAATTGAGGCAGGCGGACTTCCCCCTGAGAGCGAGGGCGGCAACATCATGCGCGCGCGCCGCCATTTCGGGGGTGGGGTAAGTCCCGAGCCAAATCCGGGAGTTATTGTTGGGAACTCGCATCTCGCAGACCCACTTGTTGTTGTTCCTCCGTCGCACTCCCCGGTACACGGGGTGCCTGGTCTCCTTGAACACTCTTCGCCCTGCTCGCTTCTTTGGCCGGGATGACGCTAGTATCACCTCCTCGTCGGAATAGCCACTACTCTGAACTGTTGTGAGGGAACTTGTTTCCGATGATGCTTCTGAGTCATGGTCGGGAGGGGATTTGAAAATGTTCATGGGATTGTTTTGTTCAAGTGTTGTAGACTGAGAGGTTTGGATTTGGAGTGTGTGTAGTCCAGTCAGTTGAGGAAGAAGGGAGTGTGGGTGGCATATATATAGCTTTTCGGGAGTGAATGGGAATGAGTTGGTTAGACCAGGTACGAGCTACTTTGCGGACACGCTCACGGACACCACACGACTCGGGTGGGCCAGCCCAACTCCAAGCCCACGTCATTTACTACTAATGGTACAACCTCACACAAGCGTAGCTTAATCTTAACAAGACTAATATGTATAAAAATATAAAATTTAATCTTAAGGATCAATTTATATAAATATTTTGTTAAGAGGTTAGAATATATTTTTAATCAAATTTTAAAGATTTTTTTACCTAAGAGGACCGAGACCCGTTAGTACCCTCCTTTCGCCCCTAATTAAATATTTCTATAAAAAATAATTATTTAATTAAAAAATATATTTTAATTAGTTGAAAATGATAGCAAACTGAATTTTAAATAATATTTTAAAATTATTTATTATTAAACATACAAATAATTTTTTATTTATTGATAGTGTAATTTTTTTTAATAATTAAAATTTTATATAAAAAAATGACTGAAAATGATTTTGATAGATTGTTAATTTTTTGTTGTTGTACGGATAATGATGAGACAGGAAAAGTTGATTTGGATAGTAAGTTGTGAGAAGGTGCTGTGGACAGCAGGAGCAGGGTGTTTCCCACTGTGGGGTCAGACTCCAGCTATTTAAAGGTAACGACAAAGGTTTAAAACGTGCTTTTATACCATTTTATCCATATTTTCATACTATTTCCTCTGCATGTGCTTTACACAATCTTTGTTCAAATATTTTATTCACCTTTAGTTTACAGTTATTTAGTGAACCAACGTTTCTAATTGTCTCATTAACACCCATTTTATTATTTTAATATACTTAACACTCAAGTTTCTAAACATTCCAATCATTATTTCAGAATATTTACCCCAATATACAATATTTAACTTTTAATCATCTTAAAAAAACAAGTATTAAATAATTTTATATTTTAAGTTGGACACCCGATATTTGGGGAGCTTTGTTTCTCTGTTTCATTTCTCGTACAAGTATTATATTAATATTTTATTAATAAATATTCGAAAAATTAAACTCATATTTAAATTATGTTAAATGATATTTAAATTTTTGTCTAATGTTATTATATTTTTATTAAATGTCTCTCAACTCTTTCATATTTTTAATAAATGATACGTATTTATTTTATTTTAAAATATTATACTGACTAAAAATAAAATTATTAATTATAAATATTAAAGTTTCAAAATACAAAATCTAAATAAAATTTATTTTTTTGAATAAAATAAGGAAGATAATGAACGTCTATATGAAATTATAAGAAGTGTGAATGTGATTTTTGTTAAAAATGCGATTGTCGTTTACCATAGTCAAGTAGTATTTTACAAAAATAATTTTTATTTAAATAAATTTTTGAAGAGAATGAATATAGTAGAGTGAAGAAATAACTAGTTATTTTGTTATATCTCCTTTTCAACATTACCTCCGTTTACTCTCATTCAGATTAAAAAAATATATATTATAAATATGTATTTGTTAAATAATTATATTTATAATTTAATGTATACAATTCACTCATTTCATGAGTCGCTGACTACTTATTATAAGTTTCATAAGTTTGTTTATCTAAATTCTATTTTGAACAAAAATATTAATTTATTTTATTTTAATATTGCAAAATGAAATTTAAAATGACAGTAATATTCTCATTTATACTATTTTTGAAGGAGTAATTTTTTTTTCAAATTTAGTATAATTTTTTTTAAATTACATATTTTAAAAAGTCTTATTATCAAATACAATTCTACTTAAATAAATCTTATTTTATAACATAATTTAAGTTTTTCTTATTTTTTTAAATTTGATCAATCTGGTTCTTTATTGGCTGGGAGAAATATCATCAATAGTAAATCGGGGTCCACCCACTCGATAAAAGAACTTTATATCTTTTCTAAGTTTGATCTTAAATATAGATTTTGGCAGTTAGGCAATGATCCTGCTGACCGATACAAAATCACTTTCTGTATACCTAATGCCCAATACCAATGGAAAATAATGTCCTTTGGACTTAAGACACATCGATTACTGTTCCAAAAAGCTATGACAAAAAATTTTGAGCCGATATTAAACAGAGCGATTGTGTACATTAATGACATCTTCCTGTTCTCACAAGACGACGCCCACAAACAGTTATTAGATCAATTTTTTAAAATAGTCCTTCAACATGGGATTATGCTCTCAAAAAAGAAGATTCACTTGGCCAAGGAAGAAATCAACTTTTTGGGATGCATTTTTGTCACGACACCTATCAACCTCAACTTCAAGAACTTCTTAACTTTCCGGATGAAAATCTGATCATCAAGCAAAATCAACAATTTCTCGGGATAATCAACTACATTAGAGAATTCATCACCAATGTTGTTAAATACACGAGTCTCATATCAAGTTCTTGAAAAAAAATCCACCTTCATGGGGTTCAGAGCAAACCAAAGCCATTAAAGAATTGAAGAAGATAGGCTAGACTCCTCCAACTTTTAAAATCGCAGGCAATGGAAAGCGAATATTGCAAACCGATGTCAGTGATGAATACTGGGGAGCAGTGTTCATTCAAGAACAATTCAAAGATTGTCCTAGTGTGGTCATAGTGATGCTCGTCACTTGGCCCAGTGATGAATAATGAAAAAAGGTACTAGTGTGGTCATAACAGTGGACAATTCAAAGAAACTGAGAAATATTACCACACTACATTCAAGAAAGTCTTGACCATCAAGAATGGAATAAAAAAGTTTGATTTCCACCTCAGAGGACATCATTTTGAGATACAGATGGACAACTCTTCATTCTCAAAAATCTTAGAGTTCAAGAACAAGATGTCTCCTAGTCCTCATATTCTCCGGTTAATTAACTGGTTTTCCAAGTATGTTTTTACTGTTAAACACATTAAAGGAAATCTAAACACAGTTCCTGATTTTTTGTCCAAACCCAAAAAAATCATCCAATTAATTATTGACACTTGTAGTCTTTCTTTCATTCTCATGGTCAAACTTTTTTTCAATAAAGTCAAAACTCTCAAAGTCTAGTCTAAACCTAACTACACTAGTAGAAATTTTCCATTATGCTAAAACCCATTACTTCTACTTCCTACACAAAATCATGAGATACAAATAGTCTCATCTTCTTTGTTCAATCCTGATATTTTCTTTTAGAAAAAATTGAATTATTATGTAATCCTGATTGAGACTTGTGTTTCATTCATATAAAATTGTGATTATAACACTTAAATCCGTACTTTTTTTATAATTTACATTAATTTAGTAAATTTTCAAAGAAATAATCCCTTTGATAAAAAAAAAAAAAAAACTCCTTTATACCTTAACTGAGCCTAACATAACTGATCACATTAAAGCAATTCTTCCATTCTCAAAATAAAACTTTGTTTCTTTCCTCGACCACCATTCAAACAAAGCAACTGATAATAGTCTCATCTTCTTAGAACCAAAAGCTCACGTAATTTAAAATGATGCGTGGCAATTTAATTGATGGGATAAGAACTGAAATATAATTGTGAGACAGGTGATTTTAGTCTGTTTTGTATATGTTTGTAGAAAATAACTATTACGGCGGCTTCTTCCTGTACCCAATAATTTATTCTACACCCCTATAATATATATAAAATCTTAAAAATATCTTTTGATGTTAGTTTTTTTTTTTTTTTTTTTATCATATCTCAATACAATATTTCTACCTCTATTTTCTATACGTAACTTCATTTAAGCGTCATTTTTATTTTAAGGTTAAAAATTTATCGATGATTTATATTTTGTAATTTCATTCAAGTATCATTTTCACCTCAAGGAAATTTTTTTATTAGTAATTTATACTTTGAATAGTATAACATATTGTATATAAAAAAATCCTGTAAAAAATTTTTAATTTATATTTGTGGTGTCAAAATTGTTTAATCTATAATACATTTTTGGTATATATAATCCAAAATTTTTGATAAGATTTTTGAAAATGTTCCATAATTAGTTTTTTTTTTAATGTTTACAAAAATTTGATTCTCGAACGTTTAAAAAAAATTCAGAAAGATCAATATAATTATTTTTTTTAAATAAACTTTTCAGAACCTATTTAAATTAAGAGCAATATTATCCTTTTTTAAATAGATACAGGGGTGCAGGAAGAAAACGCAATAGCTAGCCGAGGATGAAAAGAAGAAGGCCCAAAAAGAAGAAAATATGCAGGCCCACAGGAAGATGTAGGAAGGAGATAAAAGATGAGACAGACAACCTTTTTGTAAATAAGAATGGGTTGGTGCCTTGGGAATAGCAGCCATCCTCTATTGGCAAGGGATACCCTACCAGATTCCACTTGGTGTTTTTATACATTTCATATTTCTGGACATATTTGGAAAGTAAGGAAATTGATTGTTCGGTTTTGTTATATATAGTGTCAGCTCCAACCTGGAAATAACATCCCATATTTTTCACTAATCCATTTTATGCATATTAATGAAATTATTTATTATTAATATGAAATCCCAAATCAAATTGAAATTGGTAACAAGGCCATAAGTAGGGCATGTGTCAAAAGGACAAAGATCCTAGCTTTTAGGTCTGTTCTAGTATGAAGTAAGTTATATATGCCTCTACTTCCAAAACAAATGGTTAATTTAATTTGAAATTTAATATCTTTAAATTTAATTATTTTAAAAATATATATAAATATAATATTTTTGTGCAATAATGATAAGTAGCCGAACAAAGATTTGAAAGAAGGGGGTGGGGCAGCTTCAGATAGTAAAGACATAAACAAATGTCGGCTACGAGATATTGATCTTGATCGTGTTTCGACAGAAACTTTCTACGTTTTATAGTATAGAAAATTGCTTATGTTGGCGCATTATGAAGGAACTAGAATGGCCACGTTTCGCACCTTTTGTAAATAAAATGGTGAGTAGCTTTAGCCGAAAACAGACGGTGGGAAGACAGAAAGTGACGTGAATGGAGGTAGATGTCGGTCATTTGATGTGTTAGGATTGATTTTGGCATGTTGTTATGATTCCCACACTACACATAAAACCCCACCAACGTATGTGCCTCGTTCTTTGCTTCTCATTGGTGATTACTAAACAAGACACACCATTTCGACATCAAATCTCTCTCCGCACGACCCTTCTTGACTTCATGTGACCTTTCCTTCTATGATGACCCATAAATAACCAAAATACACTTCACCCACTCACCTAATCATGTTAGAGGAGCACTCTCAAGAAATGTATAGTTGGCTACAACGTGACGTCAAAAATATGTAATACATTTAATATTTACAAGAAACTAAATTGATGAATTTTTATTTAGCACTTTTTTTTTAATAAAATGTTAAGAATTTTTATTTAACACTTGCTTAACATTTTTCTTTATAAGGTTGTGAGTAAAGCTATTTTAATGAATGTTTCTTTCAACATGATTCTTACAAAAACTAGTTTTTTTATTTGTGGGTCAAGATTTTTTCTATTTTTTCATTTTTTTTTATTACTATACAGTTTTGGAGAGAATATTTTATATATTATATAAAACTCTTAAAACAATTTGTTGAAAAAAACGTTTATAACCCAAAATATATACAAAGGTGGTCAGCTAAATATTTTATTTTGATTACTGTGAAAAAAAATAGCACAAGAACGATGCAATTAAAATTTTGAAATATATATAATCGCTTTCTCTTAATTACCTTTAATCTATAATAATATTGTAGTGGGAATGGGTCCATAGAGGATTTGTTCCAATCATAATCTTAAAAGTTCTGTTAATATGCTACTCCAACACAAATAACTTCAAAAGTGCCTCCTTATTAGACCTAACATGAAACACTTTCTGAGATTCACTTTCAGAGTTGTAACTTACCACGATGTGATAATACAAAACATGCACTTTCACTTGTAATTTATCACCTTAGTTTAGGTGGTTAAGGTCTCATGCATTAATAGGATATGAACCAACTGAATATAAAATTATTCTTAATATAAAATCTTAAGCATTAGGTTATGTTTATTTTTTATCTATAAGTTATTTAATTTTCCATTTCAAGACTTTAAAATCACACTTAAATTCTTAACAAATTCTTCTCATTTTGAACGTCAAATATTTATAAGTTCACTGAAGAAATTAGGCAAAAATTGCATCTGAATATTTCCTAAACTGGTGCTTAACCATTTTTGTGACAGATACGTTTGTCTTCTTTCACTTCTGTGTGATGTATCCGCTCTTGTTTTCTGGTTTTGGTAATTAATCAGTTCCCCAAACCACGTTGAACAGCTTAAAGCATGCATTTATACATATATACTGTGAAAAGAAAGCCCAGAAAAAGAGAGAATTCTGATACAAGCATCCTAACAGGGAAACTCTATGAAGCACTGTGTTTATAAAGTTTGCAATTGTCACTTCTAAATTTTGTCTGTGAAGCCTTACATTTGGCCTTGTTTAAATCTATTATCTCAATATATTCAAAATGTCTCTTATAGTTTACAAGTTGAAAATAATCATAATTTATACTATTCTTTCTTTAACATATATAAAGATATATCTAGTTTAAGTATTTTAATACAAACAAAAAAAACATCAAAAGTGATAAAATGGAAGAAAATATTAGGAGTATACAGAGAAAATTTTAGTTAGTATGTAGTATTAGGAGTATACTTGCTCTACTTGCAAGTATATGAAGGATCTTTCATTTCATTAATATAAATTAAGAAGAAATCTAATAATAAAACCATTTCTATCAAAATCTATTCCATATATTTCTTTTGTTCAGTAGTTGAAAACCAAAGTGGCAGGGGACACCTTTTTGAGACATAAGTTGCTATCTCTTTTTACCATGATAGAGAATCATCACTTGTGAGTCTAAATACATATTAATACCTCTTTAGGAACCCTATAAAAGATAGTAGACTATATTTTCGAATGTTCTAATAATGTTATTTCAGGTCTCTCTTTTAAGGTCACCCTTAGTATAACAATTTTGACAATAAAAATGTATATAAGAAATAACGAAGACTTAAAAAAAATAATTCTTTGAGTCCCTCAAACAAGTTCTTAAATTTAAATATCATAAATGAAAAAAGATAATTAAAAGAAAATATTCACTAAAAATTGTCAATTAAAATATATATATATATATATATATATATATATATATATATTAATCATCGTGAATATTATTAACGATGCCATAGTCTACTGTTAATAATTAAAAAAAAAAAAAACTTAAAAACAGTTGTGATAGATAGTAGAAAAAGCAGAGTAGACATACCACATAAAAAAAAGAAAAAAATAGCATGCTATTGTTCTCAATTTACATAATCTTTTTAAAGTCCAAATGTCAAAAATAACTCCACAAAGTTTCTGCAGCTTGCTTCTCCGGCGAGTAATCGGACGGTGGCGGGCTCATTCTGGGAGGCGACAGAAGCATTCCTCCGGCCATGTCCACCAGTAAACTTGGCATGCCGAAAATGGCTTCCTCGTCCACGAAAACATTTTCAAACCACCAAGATGACGCATTATCAGTTGGTGATGGATTGTTGTGGGAAGCTTCAGTTTCAGCCTTTATCATTGCGGCTGCAGCGGAGGCAGCAGTGCGGATATCCGCAGGAGAGTTGGTTGCGGGGATTTCATACTTCGAAACGGAGTGAGGATGGTTGAGAACGGCCCCGTCGCCTTTCAAGGCCAACGCTGCGACGTCGTAGGCGGCGGCAGCCATCTCCGGCGTGGTGAAGGTGCCGAGCCATATCCGGGAGGCCTTGCGTGGCTCGCGGATTTCGGAGACCCATTTTCTTCCGCGGGAACGGATTCCGCGGTAGAGTGGGTGCTTCTTGGAAGAGGGTGACGGAGCCATGGTGGTGCTTTTGCTAATTTTAAGTGGTGATGTTATAGGGACTGTATGTATATATAAGAACACGGAAACCATGCATTCATAATTTGTTTGGTTGTTGGATATGAAAAAGATAGAAGAAACTGAAGAATTATGAATAGAATAAAGCATGTGACGTCACGGAAAATAATAGTCTAAAGATTACTTTTTATAGAAGTTTATAATTTGTTTCATTCTTAAAAGTTTTAATATAGTAGTATTTAGAAAATTTTATTTTGAATTTTAGAAAAATAATAATAAAACTTGTATGTTTGTACACTTAGCTAACGTCTTAACTAAAAAAAATAATATAAAATAATAAATTGGAAATTCTAAAACTATGTTAACAGACAAATCAATGACTTCTATTAATCTATTTAGTGTTTAAGTTAACAAAAATAGAAATGATTTAAAAAAATTTAATATACCAAAACGTAAAAATAAAATAAAAATATAAAAGACTAAAAGTAATATTTAGAAAATAAAAATAACGCGTTAATAAATATATAATATAAGAGTGATTATGGTTCAATATCTATAGTAATAATAAGTATATATTTTTATCTCATTTTCTTACGTAATTCTGTTTTTTATGATATGTCTGTAATTTTCTTTTTATGGCATTCAAGCGTTGCCTAAAAGTTTGAGCATAGAATCTTGACTAAGTACCCAGGTGCCATCTTCCCATTTAAAAAAGTTATTAAATAGTCATAATTTCATAAACAATCAAGTGTCTCTGATCACAATTATAAAAATCTAACTCACGTAACACTAAAAATAATTAATAATATTTTATTATGAATTATATGTATTAACTAAAATTTTGATAGTCTTAAACTACTAACAATTTTCCCACTCCATCGAGTTTAGTGGAACAGTAAGTTACACTTATACTCATTTTTAAATTTTTATCTTTCTCTTCTGTAATTTGATAAGAAAAGAGTTTTGTAATAAATTAGTAATTGTAATATAAAAACCAATTCTTTGGTTAGCACTCACATCGATAAACTATAATAGTAAAAATCCATAAATATGTAACAGCTTTTATAGAAACTACCTTGAAGACGACGGAAAATGATAGTTTGAGAATTCAAATCTATACTACAAATCTCTTTTAATATTATAATAATAATTTTAATTTATTTTTATTTTTATTAAATCATTCAATAGATTATTATATTAATAAAAGTGAGTTATTTAAAGGATGGTATAAGTTGTGGTTATCAAAATATTACCACCCGAAGATGACCATAGTTTCATTACCACGTGTAAGAGAAAATTATATTTATATAATTTTATTTTCCATATAATTATTGTCCAATCTTAATAAAGACACAGCTCGTGATTACTGTAATAGAACGGAACATACAATTCATTTTCTAGTATTTTTTTACTACATTAACTATTTTATAATTTATTTTTAAAAAGAGAGATTTCTCGTACCTTTACAAATGTTAGCAAATCTTTGCCCCTCATACTGTACTGTTACAGCGTACAAGCCATTTGAACTCTTGTCTATTCAGTTTCATTACTATTCTATCATTCACTGTTTTGGTATTCTAGGTCAAATTGTCGTTGGTTTCATTTACAAATGAATGTGATACTTAAAGTTTTATATATATAAAGTTTACATTTTGAACCAATCTAATTATCAAGTCACTGAAAACACTTACTTTTACAATACATATGTTAAAAGTCATTTCAAGAAGAATTATTGTTATTTGATTCCGCTACATTGTAATGATGGAGTGAGCATGACTTAAACCTATCTTACATTGTTATTTACGAAATTAGTTTTTCATTGGGCATTGAGTCTACTACAATGATGGTAGATTATTTGAATAAATTCCAGGTCATATACACGTAACATGACAAACAGAGATTTACAAATAGGAAGAAAAAAATCACATAGAATAAAGAGAAAAAATGGGAATAATAAAACTATCCAAATCACAAACCCCATATTTCTATTTAGGGCATCAACTCCAGTATTCAATTTTTCAAAAAGACGAAAGATATCCAACTCCTTTGGCGTGGATCTACTTTGGACAAACTCACCTAGTGCCAAAAAGGTTGGCCTGGACGCATACAGACACCAATTGTGTATACAAGTTCATTACATAACAAACCTATTTGCTATTATCAGTTATTACTAATATACATTTTTTTTTAAAAGTCAGAGCTACAACCAATTTTGTAAAAATATTAAAATAATAACTCATGGCAGTGTAATATGAACTAAGGTTGACAGCTTTCTCAGGTATTCCTTTCAAGACCCTAAAATATTCTTGAGTCGGTCCATTTCATTTCGAAATAGATATTTCGTAATCATGTAAAATTAACGGTCTAATAAAAAAAGGGTGATTCACGAATGTTACAAGATGATGCAGGGATTTGAGAGCAACTTTGTCTCATCCAGGCAAAGAAAGTGGATTAAACAGGATGGTTGATCCAAGAATGTCACAAGTTTCCAAGTTGATAAACTGTTAGTAAAAATGGCAACGCCGCTGAGGCTACAACAACAATATGGAACTAATCCAACCTTTGGCGTTGATAGAATTACACTGTTTATTAAATGTAACCTGAGACTAAAGGGTCTGATCCTCAAATACAAATAGTTTAGGCAGAAACCATCCTTAAGTATGGAAATTGTTTATATTAACAATGAAAAATTCTAATATCTCCTCTGAAGAATTTGTTTAAATAGAATAACATTATAAACTATGTCTTGTCTGGACTGAATCACAGACATCAATTTCCGCTAAACCAACCCCGCTTAAAAAGGAGTTCAAGGCTTAAGTAAAAACATCCAGCAGTAAAACACGATTAAAAGACAAAACAGATGAAGTTCATAGTGAATTTAAAAAAACTATATTCACAATAGTGGAGATGTGCAACTTATTCATTTCTTCTGCTCATTGTCAGCCTTGGTGTCTGTTTGCTCTGGAATTGGTTGTATTCTGACATATGGTTTTCTAGTTAAAGTCTCTCCTCTTAGAGCAGCAACATAGCGGTCATTAGTATCCTCCTTCCTCTGAAGCTCTCCTAGGTACTCTGCCAGTCTCTCTTTATTGACTTGCCCCATCATCTGATACGTAATTAAAGCAACTACATCGTTAGGACTTTCACCACAGAAAAGGAAATCACCTCAAATAAACAAGTGTGAACATGACTATTTAATTCAACTTAACAAGTTATTTAACTTCCAAGATAAACTGAACTTCTATTCCAATCCAAGACCAATTTTGTTGGTTACAGATGTCGGTTTAAAATAATTACTTTTTAAACAAAAACATGAAAATGTCTCATCATAAGAAAAACAAGAACAATTAATTGGATAGAAAGTTGAATCCCAGATTATTTAAAATGTGGGATCCATGATACATTGACTATTCACCCATGGTTACCAACAGTTTATGGCCTCACACCTGCAGGCTCAACATATATTTCACGTGGAAGGAAACAAACTTTTTTCTAAAGAAACATGCATAAATGTACCACTAAAACACAGTTAACTCGTTGTGGAGTAAAAGAATAGTCAAAACAAAGTCGATTGAGTAATATATTGGTCTTAGGCATGAGATGGCCCATAGGATCTTAAGACTTGTTTTTAAGCCAAACAGTACACCAGAAAGTTGCACAATTATTTATCATAATCGTCACATCACATGGAAAGTACGGGTCCAGATTAAAAATCGCAGAACGCAAAATGAAGGCAAGCACCACCTGATAGCACTAGAAACCAGTAACAAAGATTGAGGTAGCCCATAAATGAAGCTCATATTTTTCAAAATGGCTGAAGTATTGGAATTGTACCTGAATCTACTGATACACACATAGTAGTTTTAGAAATGTATCCAAGGAGAATACTCCAATTTTATTGACTGATATGTTTCTGATGAGGCTCCAACATTTATGTAGGACTATATTTTTTTGTGACATTTTGACGTGGGTTGAGAAAAAGCATGTAAATTTGAAACATGTTCATAGGAAAACAACATATTATGATACAGTATATAATATGGGCAATTACATAGAGCAAAAAAATTGAGTAGGACCAATGATGATTTTTTGACATTTTGACAGGTATTGGGGAAAGGCGTGTAAGTTTGAAATACATGGGAAACGAACAAATCCAAATATGTAACAATGGCCTTTGTTGTCATCACAAGTATTGTTTTTGTAAGTGATCACCGTCATCCACTGATATAATTGTGTATTACAGTTCCAGAATAACGATAAATGATCAATGTATAAATATTGTGCATTTATGAAAATTACTTCTAAAATTTATAGCAGTGTATCTATGCCATATCATATTTCCATTTTTTAAGAGTTTCTTGTATCCCTATATCTGTTCTGTATCATTCATAGCAATGTCATATCAAATATCCAGGCTTCTCTTAGTAACTAAATTAGCTTAGAAAAAGAAGAAATAAAGAAAATGTAAAATGAAGGGGACTCTCCCACAATCCCCTCACTCCATTCCGATGGGCAAATGCAATCCGCATACCTTCTTCATTCTCTTCACTCCTACTAATTAACTGCCTGTTCATCTGCCATAACCCTCGCAAGTAATTTTAATTTCCCTTTGCTCCCTCTCTTAGCCCTTCTATTTCACACGTTTAATATAGTTTTAAATTGTGATCCACAATTATGGTTCATATAGATAGGTTAAGGAGCTTCTCCTAAGAACAGAGTAATGGATAGCATATATTATAGCATCACAACACAAGTGGCTTACTCCAAAACCACTACAGATGTATAGCGGATCAAGTATCAGCCAGCAGCCGCAAAAGTATATACTAAATTTAAAGTCGCGAATAAAACATACATAATAAGCCTAATCCTAATCCAGGTAGGTTTAAACTTGATGCATAAACAGAGAAAAAAGAAAAAAGGAGAGAGTTACCAATGATTCGGGACGAGCACTTCTGCGAAGATGGGTCTCGAGCTGCTCGTTGCGCGTGTTAGTGAGTTGCATAACGCCATAGCCTATGACGCCCGGAACGACGCCGCATATGGTGGCGAATGCAAGGAAGAAGGGTTTGGATTCGCGGGTCCTCCGAACGATCCATTTCCACGCCATCTCTCTTTCCTCTCTCAGCCCTTACCCCTTCTCCAAACTTCTAATGTATCGTTCCAATTTTTTTTTTCAAAATTATTAGTTATAATTTTTTGAAACCTTTTCTCTAAGCATGTATTTATAGGAAATAACTGAATACATATTGGTTTAATAATATGATAATAATAATATAAAAATTTAAAATTTGATTACTATAATATTAAAATGAGTTGTTAGATGATCTCTGAATTAATAAAATTTGTCAAAGTATCATTTCTGTTTATTTTTTTTATTTTTATTTTTTTTAAGAAAACCTATACTCGTATAAAGGGACGGTAAAAAGATTCCCATCCACTTGTATCCCCAGTAAAATTTACAATGATAACTTCAATCCGGATACACAGGAACTGATATTTTATATTTCGATAGTATTTTAAAATCAACTTATCAAAAGTAAATTCATAGATAAGGAAATTACAATTGAAAAAAAAATTATAATTTGATTTTGTAGATTTATGATTTTTATTTAGATTTATAAATTTAAAATTATGTAAAAATAATAACTTTATGAAACTTATAAGAATGTTGCAATTCATTTGAATTTATTTTTTAGAAAAATGAATTTTAGTTATACAAATATTTTATGATGTGATTTTATTTGCATTAATATTAAAATAAAAATGTATTTGAATTTATGTTTAAAAATAATATAAAAATAAAAATACTATCCATTAATAACGTCAGGTATAAAATAATTCTAGATACAAAGCAGATTCTTTTGAAGACAAAATGAGTAACAGATAATTGCATCCACTGTCATGTCAACTCATATAAGATGTAGAGAAACTAAGGAAATAGGAAAATATGTTACAGCATTGACCTAGAAGAAATGTCTTTAATGATGTCTTTGTGACGGGGACATACGTCTCTACGTTGTTGGCGCTCATGTATTGCAGATATAGCATCTAGGCAATCAGATTCCATAGAAGCTTTACGAAAATCCATATTCCATGGATGTAGTAAGAGGCCAAGTTTTATGGCAAAGAGTTTAGCACGAAGTGGTCGCCACCATGCTTGGAGCTATCACACCTCCAATACCCATGACGTTCGTGACTTCTCATTGCTAATTCGCAGAGCCAAAACATTACAAAATTCATCCAAATTGGGTTTGACCAATTTTATTTGTTCCTCAAAAGCACAACAGACGATCAAGATGTAATCAGCGAACAGAAGGAGCAATAGCGGAGGCCCTTTCCAAGTTCCATTTTCAATGCAAGGTACCATTTCCTTATTTGGAATTAGGATTGTGATGCACCAATTCTTGTGCAAGGATAGAGTTATTGATTGTGCCTATCCCAAGAATTAAGCTACCCTGACAGTGGTCGATGAGGGATCAAGATAAGAAGGAAGTTTGTTAACGGGAATCTTGGTTGTAATTTTTGTAAGCAACGTTGCATACGAGGAAAGCTGTGTCTGTGTTTACGCCCAAACATGAAACAAGTCAAAATAAAATACAACATGTGAATTAAGATTGAATTATAACTTCCTTGTTTTTCATTTAGCTTGATTTCGTCTATACAAAAAAACTCAAAATTGCAGTACAACAGCAGTGCTTGGTCAAGAGGAATTATGAGGAAAATGCTCAACATCCATGGAAGGGAAACCGGACTGTACGGTTCGCATCCCTCTAAGAATACTCTTTGCTGTTTCTCTCTCCTGTAAGAATTAATTAAATCATCATACGATTTTAGAAGGCTAACTAACAATTTCAGATGGAAAGTTGAGTTGAATATTTACACTCACCGGTCCAGTATAATCCAGAAGACGTGTACAATATACCTCGGCTTCTTCAAACTTTTTCTGGGCTCTGTAATACTTTGCAAGATAGAGTAAAGCCTCAACCATTTTAGGCCCTTCCCTCTCCTCAGATTCCATTCTTTCTAAGTCCTTTTTGTAGTAAAATGCAGCCTCTTCAGGACGCCCCAGCTCCGAATGAAGTCTTGCTAGGTTGTGGAGTGCAATTGCTTCCCTGTCATTACAATTTGCTGCTCTTCTGTAACACTTTATTGCTTCATCAAGCATGCGAAGTTGATCAGTTTCATAACACTGTGCCATTGCAATCCACAACCGAGAATCATTCGGCTGCAAAAATACGGATTTTTTGAAGTAATGAAGTGCATAGAGAGGCATGCCCATCATCTCATAAGCCTGTCCAAGTCCATACCAAGCTCGATAATCACGTGGGTCAATGTCTACCGCCCGACGATAGGCATCCACAGCAGCAGGAGTGTTTTTCATCTCAACAAACTCATGTCCCATTAGTGTCCAAGCAGATAAGAAATTTTTGTTCAATTTAAGAGCTCTCCTGAAATAGACAACTGCTTTTTCATGCTGCCCCTTTAAACTGTAATAATTTCCAATAATACAACAAGATTCAGGTCTGTATTTATCAGTCAAGAATACTCTATGCGCAAGATAACTCAAAGCAGAAAAACATTCCTTTGCGTAAAGCACATTGGAGTACATGTCCATGTCTTCTACTCTGTAAGGATCATTACTAAGCAGTTCTTCAAATATTGCTTCAACTTGATCAAATTCTCTCAAACTGTACTGGGCTTTTGCAATTTGTGCCTGTATGTAATTACTATTACCAAAGGTTCCCAAAAGATATTCATATTTTGACAGAGAGTCATTGTGCATCCTTAATTCTTGGTAAACACTGGCAAGGAAAAAGTCCTTCATCCAATGGCTATTGAGATTAAGACTATTCAATATATCAACTGTTTTGCATAAAGATTGCAGTTCAGTCCAGACATTCCAGTTCCAAGGGTAGCTATTCACGGATTCTACGAGAACTGTACGTGCAAGGTTTTCACTGCCTTTCTGTTTGAGCACAAGACCATATAAGTACAAACCAAAAGGATCAACTTTACCGTTATTGCGAAGTGTTGACAACTCCCTCTCTAAGGATATTAATTCACGATTGACAGCATCACTCTTACCCAGAGGCCCCTCAAGTTCTATCATTTCTTCCTCTTTTCGCTTTTCTCCTGCCTGTAAAATGTATACTTGGTTATTTTAGTTCTAGTTTCACTAGAGAAAAAAGTAACAAATAATGCAGAACATATATTATGATCAACAGTCTCTCTATCTACCCATGTCTCTCTCTCTCTCTCTCTACATATATATATGAGTAGGGATCTATTTAGTCCAAGAGTAAGTGGAATGACTTGCTTTTAATCTGGAATTTCGATTTTAGTTTAGATTAACAACTCAGATTATTTTAGTATCAGTTCCAATCTTATTCACTCTTATGGGAACATTAACACATTAATGAGCATGTGCTAGTACGTAAACAGTCTCATTAAATGTCTCTCTAGTGGATATGCCTGCAGCATCTAAGAGCATACAACGTAATTCACTCCAATATTCATAAATAGAAAGTAGTTCATTCTAATCTTCATAAATATTTAATACCTCCACTCTCTTTCCCTATATTCATTCATTCCTCCACGTCCACACTGTACAATTATGATAAGTTATAATCCTATAAAAAATAATTTCTAATACAACTATATTGAGTAATAATTCTTTAATAAATAATTCAATTCACATTGGTGATTTTTGTATTATTATTCCTTTATTATATCATTATAAATGTCTTTCTTTAAAAAAAAAAAAAGACAATTGCATATTACTATAATTATAGTTCATGGCATGAGTTATGCATAAGACAAAATCACTCAGCAACTTTAAATTTGGTTGCATCTCAATGGCTGACTTACAAGTTTAAATTTGATTGCATCTCAATCTCTGATGTTATATAGCCCTTGAAGCCATCTATTTCCTTCTAAATTATTCTGAGTCATTAAATGATTCCCTTCTCCTTCAAATATTTGAATACTGGGTGAGTCTCAAATGCATCTTTTAAGGTCAACTTGAAACAAACCTTTTATGATATATATGAGCTAACTGCTCGTAAAACTTCTTCATAATGTTCCATAAGCAAAGAAGTTAACACGTTTCTGGAAATAATTTTGCAATAGCAACTCCAATTGCTCAACCTTGATCAGTTATGATATAATCAGGTTTTTTCCACCCATTGCCTCCAGCCAAGTTTGAAACAACCATGCATAAGAACTCTGTGGCTCGTCTTGCAATAAGGCACAACCACTGTACTAACTTTTTTTTTTTGTTAATTTTTTAACAAATATCACATATTTTCAAAGAGTTGAGTGAATTAAGTTATATTCTCGTTTATTCTGTAGGCACATCCCACTAGAGAAACATTTAATGAGACTGTTTATATACTTGCACATCCCCTCAAAAAGGATAAAAAGAATTACTAAACTAATAACATTCATGATTAACAATACAAGTAAATAACAACAAAAGTCAAATACAAGTTTACTAAATAGGAATTATCAATCATCATCTTCTAAATCCAAGTCTTCTTTATCATCATTGTTATTACATCTATAGATTTCAATTTTAGAAATTAAAATTCCAAAAAAAGCTCTCCACGAAAGCTCTAAGTCTCTACTCAAAGAGATTCTTTTGGAATCAACACATAACGCATGCAATGACTGCTGTTTGGTTCACTGTGGCCACTACACTACAACGGTCCCTGGTTAATTCAATGTATTATGGAGTAGAAGAGTAGCCAAAATGAAGTCAATTGAGTGTAATTAGACTTTTAAAGTACATTGGATCTGAACACTTGTTTTTGAGCCAAACAGTACACCTTGAAGTTTTGCATGATTATTTACTGAACAGGTCAACCCATGTGGAGAGTACAGGTCCCAGATTATAACAACGTAACATAACACATAATTAAGGTAAACAACACCTGACAGCAACAAATTCTAGACACCAAGAACAGAGATTGATGTAGCCCATCAATGAGGCTCAGTAATCCAAAGATGCCAGAGTATTACTGCCATACCAGAATTTGTATATCTGATTACTGATACACGCATTATACTGTTAGATAGGTATCCTAGGAGAATACTCCAATGTTTTGAATAGCACCAAAATTACATACGAAGGGTTACCCTATAACCATGAGGCTATAGTAAATAGTAGGCAATTACAAGAGCAAACGCCTATTTTGCGTGCTACGACCAACAATGCTTTTGGGATATTCTGACACTGGTTGGGGAAAACTATGTAAGTTTGAAACATGTTCATGACATGTATTCTGATATGGGCAATGGAATGGAATGGAATGACATATAACAATGGTCTTTGTTATGATCACAACTATTGTTTTCGTAAATTGCGATCACCATCCACTGATCAATGTCTATAATATTTTACATTTATCTAAATGAATTTTTAAATTTATATTATTATTTCTGTGGCATATCAGATTTTCAATAAGAGTTTCGAATTCCCCTGTATCGTACCAGTGTTGATTCAAGCAAGAGCTTCATAGTAACCCTGTTTGCTTAGAAAAAGTTGAAAAAAAAATAAAAATAGGATAAAGACCCTCTCCAACGAAGAAAGTGGCGAATTAAATATAGCAGCAGCACAGTGCGTCTTGCCACCTATTAATTGCAATCTATTTAGTGGATAACGCACATCTCCAGCCGAAACAGATTTTGCTATGAAATTGAACTGAAATGCATGCAGTGTCACGTTTCTATACTTCCACAAACTTCTCATAAACCCTTTCTCTCTACTAATGTGAAGTTATGGAACTTCAATCATCAAAGAAGATTTATTTGCCAAAAACATACGAACTGAACGAACTATCAAATTCTCTTCAATGTCACATACAAGTTATTGGAAAAAGAACGTCCAACTCCAGAATGCATCAAAACTTAGAAGTCCAAGTTTCACTACACACTAACACATAAAATCCTACTAGCACATTCAATACAAAACAAAAGAAGGGAACACAAAACTAACCAGATAGAGAGCATAACAGCGCAAGAATACAGATTTTCTTCCGTTTTGATCACGCAGAACATGAGCAGCTCGCTTATACTCACGGCAATCAAAATAAGTCTTTGCCTGCAGGTAAAAATCATCATCTACAAGATCATCTTCCTCCATCACGGGTGTGGCGACATACGAAACACCCGCAATTGGTGTCACAGTGATATCATGAGTCTTGTACTTCCGGCGAATGCTCGAACTCCCACGCTGAAATCTGGTGTTGGAAGGAGTGAACTTAACAGGGTCGTGCTCAATACCCACCAACTGTTCTGCTGCCCTGAAACCACATCTTCATCAGAACCAAACCACCCATTTGCGGAAATGATATAGAAAAGCGAAGGAAAACTTAAAATATTCAAACTTGAGGTCTGGTTGAAAATCCCAAATTTTCTTTGAACTAGGGTTTTTGTGCGAATACCATTTAGAAGCAGAGTAGAGACATCGATCGCTGAGTTGGCGGATCGCGATGCGAAGTTCGCTTCTGCAACTCTCTTTGGAACTCATTCCTTTCGGCTACACTGAATGTAATGAAATCGCGCCCTCTGCTTTTTTTCAAATTGCTCTCTTCACTTGTCTTTCCTCTCCCTACTTCATTCCTTCCTACTACCTTTTTTACTATTTCTCTCAGCCTCCGTTTTTTATTCAATTTTTATTTTTAAAAAACCAAATAACCCACAATTCTATCTCAATAACTTTATTACAAATTTTATTTAAAAACATGGTTGAAAATTCATGAATAAAGAGACTTACTATATATTAAACCTATTTTTAAAATTATTATACAATAAGATAAAAAAAGATCATTTGAGTTTTCAATTATACTAAAACAACATAATATATGTTTACATAGAAAAATACTCATTTATACATTAGAATCTGATTCATAGGTAACGAAAATCCCAGGTAAATTCCGTCAAAAGATGTTTTTTTTTTCTTTTGCACTAGGGACATTTTAACTATTTTAATTTTTAAAAAGATTCTTATAAATAAATTTTAGACTCACGTATATTTATCATTTCTAGCATATTATTAGTATTTATAATACATGAAAAATAACTTGTATAATATAACAACGATAATATTAAAATTATGATATCGTGTTTTCGACGAGTTAGAACAGAATATATATATATATATATATATATATATATATATATATATATATATATATTTATTTATTTATTTATTTATTTATTTATTAAAGGGCAAGGTTAAATGGTGCAAAAGATTTTTTTTTCTCAATCATTTATTTCCTGAAGCTTTTTTGTATTTGGGCTATTTTCAAATTGAGGATGGAGTTACATATACAAACCAATTCTTCTTCTTCTTCTTTTAAATTGATTTAATTTAAATTAAAATAAATAAAAAAATAAATAAAATGACAAAGGTGGACGAAATTGGATATTAATAATAAAATTATTATAATTATTATTTAAAATTACAAAAACTTTAAAATCAAATAAATATGGTGTAATTACTTTGAAAGATCATATATCTGACTCCATTCGATTAAATTGTAGTAACATAAACTTAGGTTGAATTCACCATCAGTTTATGAACAGTAATTATACATTTTAAAAAATATTTTATTATATATATATATATATATATATATATATATATACACACACATATATATACTATAATTAATATATTAATTAATTAAATAAAATAAAAATTAATTTTTATTAATATATCTTAAAATAAAATATATAAAAAACTGTTTTAAAATGGTCTATTAACACGCTAATCCAATCAATATAAGTTTAGATATTTTAAAAATATGATTTAATTTCAAATATAAATTAGTCTTGTTAGAGACCATTCTTTTTAAGTGGTCTAGTTAGAAACATAATGTGCATTCAAGATAATTTATTATCTAAATTACTGTGTTCAGAAAATGTTTAGTAAAATATGGATATTGTTAAAAAATGTATCAGTGTATTCCCGTCATAAATACTTGATCAATAAACGAGAAGATGTTAAAAATAAACCCCATGACGTTTTCTTAATTAGCTTTTAAGAGAATTATTCAATAGAGATTACAATCACCATGCATTTTCTAAACGAATGTGATAATTGACAACGTTTGTACTTAAAAGTTTTTTTCATAAAAATTTACTTTCTCAAATGTAAACATTATAGTAACGAATCACTTATTTCACACGGTTTTAATGATAAAAAAAAAAACAAAAACAAAAAAAGAGCCCAAAATCTCAACTTAAAAGAGCATTAAGTCAAACTGCCTGTTTTTTCAAAGTCGGTTTACCCCATAAAGAAAAAACAGGCTAAACTCAATTCTGTCTCATGGTTTGGATACATAAATTCCAACACTTCCTTCATGCTATTCACCAGTTCATGAATTCAATATTATGAAGTTACACAAATCAAAAGCCCTCAAATTAAGTTCAGGAGTTAAATAGTTATTTACTTCCCTTCATAACTGGAAATACTATCCATTGAAACGGTAATTTATTCCTACAAGGTTCTATACACATATCACGTCCAAGTCCATTACCTTACCTCATTGACCTTGCCTTTCTTTTTGTTAGCACAAGCACTATTAGACAGCAGTGTTAGATACACGCTTATATTTTTTCTTGTTTAGAAAGTTTTATGTGTCACTTTGAGGGGGTAATACTGGGAAGTTGGGAACCACCAATACAATACCTGTCAAGTGTCAATCAACACTGTCTTTCACCGTCATCGAATACCTATTCCATATTCCAAACACGCCTAAATATCTTCTGGCGAACCACTCCTTTTAAATACTCTCCATACACACACACACACACACTTGCAGACGCAAATCTCCAACCAAGATTTTGTTATTTACGCACAAACGAGCACTCGTATCTCCATCCAAACCAAACCATGTATCAGTTATCATCGCCTACCTCCATTTTGGGTGAAACTAACGAGAGTCAGCCAAGCACGGTGAAAACCAAAATTCAAGACCCTGACATGTTTGCCCTCTTTATCCCTAAACCCCAAACAACATTCGAACAGGGTCTCAAAAACCAAAAGCCCCATGAAAGCAGCCATTTTTCCCTGGCCTTCAAAGAAGCCAGATGCATAACAAAGACAGCATTACCCATGGTGCTAACTGGCCTGTTGCTCTACTCTCGCTCCATAATCTCCATGTTGTTCCTTGGTCGTGCAGGTGAGCTTGCCTTGGCTGGTGGTTCTCTTGCCATTGGATTCGCCAACATCACAGGTTACTCTATTCTCTCGGGCCTCGCCATGGGAATGGAGCCCATTTGCGGCCAGGCTTTCGGGGCCAAACGTTTCAAACTCTTGGGCTTTGCGATGCAGAGGACGATAGTCCTGCTTCTTTTAACTTCAATAGTTATATCATTCTTGTGGCTCAACATGAAGAAAATATTGCTCCTGTGTGGCCAACAAGAAGACATCGCCACCGAAGCTCAATCATTCATACTTTATTCTCTTCCTGATCTCGTCGCACAATCGTTGCTACACCCTCTGCGAATCTACTTGCGAAGTCAATCCATAACTCTGCCTCTCACATACACTGCATCGCTCTCTGTTCTTCTTCACATCCCCATCAACTACCTCCTTGTCTCTGTGTTTAAACTTGGAATCAAAGGCATTGCTTTAGGTGCTGTATGGACGAATTTCAACCTCGTATTTTCTCTGATTATCTACATCTGGGTCTCCGGCATATACAAGAAAACATGGACCCTTATTTCATTGAAGGGTATCTTCTGCGGATGGAAAGCGCTTTTGAATTTGGCAATTCCAAGTTGCATTTCCGTTTGCCTCGAATGGTGGTGGTACGAAATCATGATTATATCATGCGGGTTACTGATTAATCCACAAGCAACTGTTGCATCCATGGGGGTTCTGATTCAAACCACCGCTCTGATATACATTTTCCCATCTTCGCTCAGCTTTGCGGTTTCCACACGTGTGGGAAATGAAGTGGGTGCGGAGAATCCAAAAAAGGCCAAACTCGCAGCACACGTGGGACTTTGTTTCAGTTATGTTTTGGGATTGTCGGCCTTGTTTTTTGCTATTTCGGTAAGGCACGTGTGGGCTTCCATGTTCACACGTGACGCGGAGATCATTGCTTTGACGTCGATGGTGTTGCCCGTCATTGGGCTGTGCGAGCTTGGAAATTGTCCGCAGACAACGGTTTGCGGCGTTTTGAGGGGAACCGCGAGACCGAAGTTGGGAGCGAATATAAATTTGGGTTGCTTCTATTTTGTGGGAATGCCCATTGCCGTGTGGTTGAGTTTCTTTGCAGGGTTTGACTTCAAAGGCTTGTGGCTTGGTTTGTTGGCCGCTCAAGCCTCTTGCATGATCACCATGTTGTTCGTCTTGACTCGCACCAATTGGGAGGGTCAGGTTCGTAGAGCCAAAGAACTCACCTCCTCTCATTCTACTGAGGATGAACAAGATCAAGAACAAGATGAGGAGAAAGTCTCCTTGAGTTCAGGCGCCACAGAGGAATGCTCAGACTCAAATGTTTGATTAATCGTCACAGTGAAATGACCAGGATTCTTTTATATTTTGCATTCGACACTTATAGCATGGGTTCTTTCTTTTTAGATTCTTCTAAATTTAGTGTACATGGCGGAGATGAAGACGCATAGCACAAAAGCTTGCACTCTACAATGAAGAAAATAAGTGTTTATTTATGTGTGTAATTAATAAATTTTATATTGACAACATGCCAGTTTTTAATCACTGTAAGACCACTTGTTAAAAAAAAAATGGTAACACTATTAAAATTAATTTAATTACTTATAAATCATAAAATAATAATCAAACAATTTTTCATAAAATTAATGGTAACACTAATTTTTTTAAATTAAAATTGGTCATTTTTTTATCTCATTAAATGTTTTAATAATTATTTTATATAATCAAAATATACTACAAAATAAATTATTATTTAATTGAATTATTAATTTTATATAATAAATTATATTGTATATGTTTTATTTATATAAATAAATAAAATCAAAATATATTCATTACTAAAAATTCTAATTTTTTATAAAAAAATAACTAATTTTTTAATAGTGGTTAAAATGAAAAAAAAACAAAATTGACTAGTATTTAATAAGTTTAGTATTGAATTTAATTATAAATGAACCTTATTATCATAAATTATATGTTATAATAGATTATTAATTTAATAATTATAATGATATATATAATAAGTGGAATCGTGATTAAAAATATAAAATACATAATTAATAAGGACAAATATAAATTGATGTTAAGTGATTTTTAAAATAATATATCGTATGAATTTTTGGAAATTTTATTTTAAGATAAATAATATAAATATACAATGAAATATAATAATGATCTTGAAGAGTGTTTGTTAAGATTAATATTATGTTAAAAATAAAATAAAAAATAACTATGTTTTTATGTTTTATTTTCGTGATACTTAATAATAAATTTATTGATAGTGTAGTAGATTTATAAAATATATCCAAATATTTCAAACACAATAAAGAAAACCCGAAGACATTGTTTGGAGTGGTAATTAACTAGTTAAATAATTAATACAAAAACGTGGTCTGCGGATAATACGTTTGCGCGTTTTGACTAGTGGTGGACTTGTGTAGGTTGGTTGACGTTGTAAACGGGTGAGTCGCACTTTCATTACCCTCCTCACTCCTTCACCTGCATCCATCCAAACCTTAATTTTTTGTGTTTTAAGAAATGAGAATTTACATATTAGAATGTTCCACGGTTATATCAACTCAATTTTTTCTTTTATCCTTTGCCTCTCCTTATTTACGGTACAGAGGATTTGTGAAGATATTTATAAATTTATTTATGATCATTTTAGTGAATTTGAAATAACGGAAACATGATTTACACATCTTCATAAAATAATAAGAAAATGGGAAATTAAATAATTAATATTTTAACTGTCTTTATTAATTTTTTTCATTTATATAAATATCTTATTGCATTCCATAAAAATATTTAATCATTATATTAAAAATATTATTATTCAATTATCTTATATTCAATCACATAATTTAGAATAAATCTATTTAAATTTTTTAAAATTTATTTAAATTACTTCATATTCACTTTTTAAAATCTTCATTTCAGTCCAAACAAGCTTAAAGAGAAACAACCATCAATTTGGTTTATAAAATATTCTAAACACTTTAGATCCGTATTTCAATTTACACCTTCTTCCTCTAAATTCATTATATTTATTTCGTATAATCATAAGTTTGACGTGGTTTAATGTTGAGATTAGTAAACTTTTTTTTCATTGAGTCACATTTTTTTAATAATAAAATGGTAAACAAAAAAGTTGAATTTGAACATCAAAACCAACGATACAAATCATTCCTAGTAATTTGATTAGAAAGAGAAAAAATAAATAAAAAATTACGCAATGTGATGAAAAAAGATATAAAGAAAAAAAATATTATACGCGTGTAATTTTATAGTGTAAATATAAAAGGTAAATTGTCTTATATGTTTAATCAAATAAAAACGGCTTCAAGTGCATGAACCTGAAATGATTAATTTATAATTAAAGTTTTTGTTTTGAATGAAATATCATTATAGGGAGATTTTAAATCCGAAACATGTTGGACATTAATAAAGTTTATATGGCATAAAATTGTGTTCATTTGTTTGGTTGGAAAATATAGATTAAAGAGAATGTATGATTAAGAAAAAATGAAGGAAATAAAATAAAATAAAAATATAAATTATATTGTTTTCTCTTTTTATGTCAATAAAAATTAATTATAAAAAGGACTCTCTTTATATATTATTATAAATTGTAAATAATTTTATCTTCGATCAATCAAAATTTGTTAGATATTATATTTATATGTCTTTTTTACTTATGCATTATTTTATCTTATCGTTCTTATTCAACACACATTTAAAATTTAAAAGAAAATTGTAATTATTTTTAATGTGAAAAAAGTGAGTTATAATAAATAAGGACTATTTGTTGAGAGTAATAAAAAGGTAAGATAGTGGTAATAACAGTGATGAGAATGGTTCGGTTTATCTAAGAAAGGGAAAAATATTACGCAACACATGGCGTAGAAAACACAAAGACCTTCTTTCAGCTTCCCACACCTTTTTCCTTTCCACGTTTATAAAGCCATTATACCCACTTCACAGTTCATTTTTACATACTCTACTTTTCAAAATACATTTAATATAATCAAATTTAAATATGTTTTTAATATTTATATTTTAATGTTAAATTGAAAATAATCTCTTTCTCACACTTAATATAAAAATGATTCTTATATTTTTAAAATAATTAAAATAAGTCTATATTTTAAACGATCTTAAATATATACTTACTTATTTTAAAAAAATTATATGATTCATTCATTATTTGACACTTGTAATTATTTTATAAAATAAAATTAAAAGGTATCAAGCTTTTAAAAGTCATTTAAATCTATATTTATAATATCATTTAAATCTATATTTAAAAAGAAATTTAAATTTGTCTGTCATTTATAAGTCATTTAAACTTTTCTATCTTAATTTTCGGAAATGAAAACTCTAATTATGGTATAAGGTATACCACCGTCGCACACTGCCATTGTGCATCACCGTCACACTGTTAGTCGAACAATAACGAATCGATGAAACCCTCGATGAAACCCTCAAACTTCAAAGTCACTTTAACTTCATATAACATTTACAGATAAAAGGGAAAAAAGAAAAGACATTTAATGTGTGACGAGAAAAGAAGAGAGAATGAAAAGTAGTTGTGACAAGAAAATAAGAGAAAATGAAAAATGGTTGTGATGATATCTAAAAAGTTTTGGTGCGTAACCATAAAAGAAAAACTTCTACTTTTGATTTTTCTTTTAATAATAATATCAGTTAAATAATTCCTTTTTTTAAATAATAATTTTGCTTTTTTAATAATTACATGTGTTAAATTAATTAATGAATTATATTATTTATATTAGACCGGTCTTAAAATAAATATCTATTCCAATCATTTTAAAAATATAAATATCATTTTTATGTGAACTTTATCAGACTTGAAGGATTAAAAACATAATTAACTCTTAAATATATTACCTCACTTTTATGTTATTTTATATTAAATATTCATACAAATTTATATAATAAACAATATTTTCAACGCATAATATTATATTATCAATTCATAACTTCAACTGTACTTAGTTTGAAATTCCAAACATTTCCATCTCTAAAATCCAAATGTTAGTAGTTAGAGAGGAAAACGAGTTATTCATTATTTGGCACGTTACTTTTTTGGTCGATAAAATATATTAGTCTTTTATAATAACAACATGTTATATATTTTAGTCTATTTTATAAAAATATGGGTTGACATTCAGTTCATCAAATATTTTATATATAATTTTTTATATATTTAAAAAAATATATACATTATATAATTATTTTTTGAAATATTTATTTATTAATTAATATTTATTTATTTATTAACTAGATTAAAAATCATTCATTTACGTATCAAAATATTTAGTTATAATTAATCATTTAAATTTAATTAATTAATATTTATAATTATAATTATAATATATTTATATATGTTAACAGTATAATAAAAAATATTTAAAAAGATAATTATTTTATTTAATATATAAATTATTTAAAAAAAACAAGTTAATAATTAATCTATCCATCTCTAATAAATTTATGAGTTTGATAAAATGATTTTGTTTTCGTCCGACGTGACATTATACTTAGATAAAACATTAATATATATTATTGAAAATAGAGTTTCACACCATTAATATATACGTTCTTAATCTCGGCTCAAGTCATGTTTCGAAAGAGTTTTGTATTATTTAAAAATTAAAATTAATAATAATTTATATATATTTTTATTTTTTTAATATACTAACATATTTTTTATAAATAAAATAAGATGAGTTAAAGCTTTAAAATTAATTATTTATAAATAGAAACATGACAAATTAAATTTATAAAATAGAGAGAATACCTAAATTATAAAAATTAATCTTTAAAGTACTATTATACATACATGAGTGAAGATACATGTTCAAAATAAATATAAATGTAGAAACTTAAATTTTTAATTTGAAATGGATTGCAAACATCCAACCTAATTCATTTTGTGATTGGCGAATCAACAAAAATTGAAAAGGAAAGAATGGATGGATTGATAATGCAGTGGTGCATAGTTGTTGAAAGAAAAGCAGCCGAAAAATTAATTTGAAAAGAAACGTTTGAAGGCGGTGATCCTCGCCGGCTTCGCCAACCTGCGTATACTATATATATTCCATTTAATAATATAACATGGAAGTGATGTTACACTGAGATTTGACTAAAATAGATTAAAACCGAATTAAAGTAGTAGGAGACAAGTATAAGATAATTACAACGTGATTTCTGTGGGCAGGTCAGAATCATCCAATAAATTACTCACAGTTTCACCAGAGGAAGAATAATCATCTCCCTCGCCAAACAAAGCTCACAACAACTTA